CAAAACAAAACCATCAATTGGAACGATAAATGCTACTTATTCTTAAGCAATTAAAACTAAGTAAGGGGCGGGCAGCAGCCTCGCATAATGCAAATACGAAGCAGAATGAAGTCAGGGCCGGACAGGGGGTCGGGTCAGTCTATAGGCAACCTGCAGTCCGGCCCTTGCTCATTGCATTGCTGGGACTGCCCACCAATTAAGCTAAATTATCGGCGTCTCGCAGCTTCATTCAAATGGCACTTCCCTTCGTCTTTCCAATGTATTCCATGAATAATCATCATCATCCAGCCACTCTGATGTGATGTGATGTGATGTGAAAGCCCAATGATCAGAAAAGCCCCAGAGTCGTCGTAGGCCCTGACGTCAAACGTAAAGTTTGCGTGAAATTTCTTTGTCTTGGAACGATGAGGAGGAAAGAGGATTGGCTTTCTGCACGCTTCAGTGGCCGGAATGGCCACGAGACAAAGACAAAGATGGAGATCGAGGCACGGGTTTAAGACAAAGAATCTCTCCGGACAACGGACCAGCCGGCGCTTTCTCCCATGTGTCGCACTGGAGACGGACTTTTGTACTTCGTCATTCTGTTGTTGCTGTTGTTGTTGCTGTTGTTGTTGCTGTTGTTGCTGCTGTTGTGTCACTTTTGTGCTTTCGATTGACGCATTTGAGTGTCACTTGACTTTTTTAATCTCGCGACTTTATCGTAGCTGACTGGCTGAGACTGACTGCCGGACTGGCTCAGAATCGGTTTCGGCTTAAAAATCGCTTCGAATCGCGATCGTTCGTCATATTTCTGTAACTTAATATTATGCTCCTCAGGTAGTATGGAAGCTCCCTCTGAAACTCTGACGCTTTACTGGCTCCAATTCCGCTTACGCTTACGCTTACGGTCCTCCTCCTCCTCTACTGAATTTTGGCTTAGATTTCGATCATACTCCACACAGAATGTTTGTTTGTTATAATTTTGCCAGCGATCGCTCGCTGGCGCGCTCGCTCGTTTTTAAATTATAACTCAATGACTTTCCTGACGTCACAGTATTAAGCTCTCGAGTCAACAAAACGAAAAGCAAAAACAAAACAAAACAAAAACTATACTGAAAAAACTACAAGTGTTCCTCATTAACATGTTCTCCATGTATACAAAATAGTGTGGGAGTGTGTGCTTGTAGCCGATGATCTTCATGCACACAGCGAGAGAACAGTAGACGAAACACAAAAGAACTGCTGGAAAATGGCCATCATAATATGGAAATGTGGTATAAAGGGAAAAGCTACATCGGAACAGTCGGTGAATTCATAAGGGGAGACCTCTAAAAACTACATATCTTGAAATATGGAAGGATACCAGAAGAATCTATTGAAAAATTCACATTTGTAGAAGAACTGATTGCAGAATCTTAAGAACTGAGTCGATAATACTGTTTTCATTGTCAGATATGTATAGGGTTTCCCTTAGTTTAGTTTACTTTGTTGTGGCTTAATGAAAACCATGTGTTTAACCAGTTGTACTCGTAGTACTCTTAGTACCCGCAGTCATATCTCAATCCCAATCTAAATATGTCAACAGTCTGTAAACCGCCTTGTGGTTTCCCACCAATGGCAAAAGTCTAGACAGAACGGAGTCCAAATGCCTTGGGGATAATCCCTTAGCTGGCGAGTGGAGCAGCTTTTCCAATGAATGCATCGTCACGAGAGTCCGTGGAGCATTCTCCAGTTGCAAGACAGGAAACGAGAGCCATCAAATTTTTTGGAAAACTTTCCTTGATATACATAAAAACTGATTAATTGACTGATAATTGTATATATTGTATGGTCTGACATCGACAACGTCACGATCTGAGCGCGCTGAGAGATGCTGAGAAGTGGGAATGATGATAACGTTTTCTGATGAAAGATTTCTCTCAAATACGTCACAGATTCCTGATTCCTGGGAATTTTGTTGAGAAAAAGCACCCTAAAGGGGAATTGCAATCTTCCGAATTCCCAAGCAGTATTCCCACAGGGAGTCGATAAAAAAAACTCACCAGTTCTTCTCCCAGTGGAGACATCCCATGGCAACAGATCGAGGCGAATCCCTCTAGGAATGCTCTCATTTGTGAGCTGATAGCAGAGTTTTTTTTGAACACTCCTCTGGGGGCTATCAACCTGCTAATTTGTGCCGACTGACATTAGGTTTGTGAATGATTTTTCGCAACTTAAAAATAGTAGTGTCGCTTCCATCCACTCCATACACACATGTGAGTGGCGCGAGCTGCAGATAGAAGCGTCGCAATCTCCTATCTACTGCTGGACACTGAGATCGATCTGGGGGTCACAACCGAAATAAAACGCTCGACTGCCGAGTGCAGGGCAAAAACAGCAATGAAATGGCGAAAAAAAATAGCAGGAGAAATAATTGCTGGCCGAGAACGAGTGTAAAATTAGAACCTGAGCAAGAAACAAACAAACGAAAACGATAATAAATATTTATGTGCGTGTAAACAGTTTGATTGATTCGAGCCAAACGATCTGAAACGGAGATGAAAACAACGGCTGTGTTCTGTTCTTCTCGCCATCTCGGAATCGCAATCGTAACGAAAGGAATTTTGGTTTATGAAATTTCAATTAAGACATCTATAGAGAAAATGTATAGAGAGGAGAATGATCGTTAGCGTACGAGTAGGAGTACTTTCTTTGGCAGCATTATGTCATTCTCTGTTAATTTTTGGCAAAACAATAATCTCGCTCTGATCTCGAAGATCGTTTGAAGTTTGTTTTTAGCACATGGATTGTGGATTGGCTTGTTGCTAATTGGGATGTGATCGGAAATGGTTGCCTCACGATCAAATGGCCAAAATGAAGGGCATTTGGAAGTGGAAACAGAAACTGGCACAACAGCTCCCCTTGTAACAGAACACAACAGCCACGTTCCTTCATTTTCTTTCGGGCAAGAGCAGGAGGTGAGAGATCTACGGACGGAGACGAACGTTCGATTTCGAGTGCAAAATCAATTTGCGTCAATTGCAGCTAAAGATTAGCCTCGCTCTAGTTTCGAGCGAATGCGAACGTCCACATAAATCAACGCCTGATAATAAATATACACCACATCATACACATCGTGCAAGAAAAGACAATACAAGACAACAGGCTGCTCCCCGGGGGGGCCTCTGCCTGGAAACAAAACAGTGGATCATCTCTTATCATTAAAAACAATGTGGGTTTACAGCAAATAATGCCAAAAATAAACCTATTGGTCGCGTCTGATTGTGGAAGATGATGATTCGGGCAGGGATAATACAGTTGTTGCACTGACAGCTGGCTTTACCTTACCGTTGCTCGTGACGCAAGTCGAGCGGCGTACCGTTACGCGGGAGGTTTATTTATAAGACCACAAACCGAAAATAACCCAACGCGCAACAAATTCCCAAGCCCTTGTTCTCAGGCGTTGTCAGGCGTTGTCAGGCGAGTGCATCTGCACCAAGGAATCTGAGAATCGACTAATCAGGGAATCATCCCAGATCCATGCATTCGAAACGCCTGACTGTCAGCAGCAGCTGATTCAGAGCGCCAGTGCCGTGCCGTGCCTTATCGGGTCCCGACATCGGAACCATAATTGTGTAATATATTGTCAGACGCGCGAGACGCGACACAGAAAGTCTCTCTCAGGCACGGACACGGGCACGTGGCATGCAAATGAAGGCGGCGGCGAAATGCCCGCTGAATATCATTAGAAAGATTTTGGTCAGCCTTGGCCAAAATTCATATAAAATGAAACAAAAACAAAAACGACAAAAAAAAAACCAATTAATTAAATCCATGCGAACTTCAATTCACGGAAAATTTATGGCTCTTACAGTTCCATTGAATTCAAATATTTGCACGGACCACAAATCACAATTTCTCGTAAATATTGCGAGAGGGTAAATATTTGTGGCTATGGTTGGATTCTGGATAAACCCCGGAATCTGTGTGGGAACCATGTACATAGATTATAGGCAATACTACAACAGGAAGTTCTAAGCTGGGTTAACATTCGTCATGTTGGGTGAATTTAGTTGTTTTGTTAAGTTTAGTTGGAGGAAGTTCAGGGTATGCCTAAATGTCCCAGCCGTGGGAAATACTTTCAAGAAAGATACTGTCTTACTAAACAGGAATTTCTTATGATGAAACATTCTTCATTGTTCATAATCTTAACACAGTAAAATTTCCGTGCGTACATTTTTAATCAAATTTCAGGAGCACACAAAAGTTTATTATACGAATGAGATCAAAGATCGAATGCAAAGACTGAACTCTAGGTATAATATTCCTCCCGCTGATCGTAACAGCTTTTGGGGACATGCTATAGTGGGAGAGGAGGGGCACTGCTTAAATTACAATCAAATACTAGGTCCCAATTCTCAATGAGCTTATCGCTTGCCCAATGTGATTCCCGATGATCTAGACACATTAATTACTTACTCTCGAGTGTGGTGGCTGGCGGTGGCATTGTACCGTGATAAGAGGAATCGTGAAAATCAAAATAAAACATATTGGTAATCTGCGGCGACACTCGATGCGAATCAGCTGACAAAAATACAAAAATATAGAAATCAAGAAAAACCCAGTCACAAGTCTGAGTCCAAGGCGTTAGCAAGGGTGTACGAGGAGGAGGGACACGGACACGGGCACGGACAATGACATTTGGCAGTTCAACAAAAGGAGACGCGACCTGAATATAATATTATATCGTAGTTATAGTTGAACGGGTGGAATGGAGCGGGGTGCAATGGAAGGGTGGGTGTGTACTTTGGTTAGACCAAATAACAATAAACTCATTAACAATTTGAGGGGGAAAACAATAACAATTACGATTGTGGGTCAGGCAGCCGGGGAGGAGCGAGAGTAGGAAGCATATTTGTTATAAACAATTTCCTATTCATATTTGTGCAGCTTATCGCACGAGTGCCTCGGAAGCGAACTTTATGGATAGACAAATAATGTGTGGATAATTGTTTTTCTCTATTCTGCTCTGCTCTTTCCAGTTGGGGGCGTGTGATCACAACAACTGATTCAATGCACACACGAATACCGAGAGGTGAAAGTACTTCCATGATGTTCTGTTGATTGTGGATTTTACAACTTAAGGGCGTGTGGCTGGCAGGAATGCCATTAAGGCACTCCCACGGCCTATATATACGGAGTACACTTCAGGTAAGAAACACTTTACAAAAGTACACCATACTCTAGCTAATACCTTCTTTCGATTTCAGACATGACTGCCCTGAAAAGAGAAGAGTCCCCGCCTCCAGTATATACGGTTTATTTTGAGGACTATCTCAGGCCAAAGAAACACCAGGAAAAAGCACATCTGCAACATTTTGTGAGGCCAGCAGGGAAAATCTCAGGCGTAGCCAGGAGCTTAAAGCGTCTGAAGATACTCCGATGGCACTCTAGAATCACCCAACGCTTTCAGCAGCTGCCTTTGCCCAGTTTTCTGGGCTTCCTGCGAGCCCGCAAGGATGATGGCCTATGCAAGCAAAAGTCTGGCTTCGAGATCTACTGCGAAATGGCCAGCATCCATGGCTTCCATGTGTTTGTCGGCGCTGAGACCTGGCATCGCATTTTCTGGTGGCTTCTCATTTGTACCGCGGTGATTCTTTCGAACGTCATCCTCCTCACGGCGCCCAAAGAGGGGCCCACCATACGTTTCATAGACAGCATGATGAAGCCAAACTCAGAGATTCCCTTTCCGGCGGTCACTATATGCAGTTTGAATCAAGTTTCCAAGGAAAGGCTACAGAAAAGAGCCATGGAATGGAAAGTGTCGGAGGAAACGCTGCTGAATGGAGCCATGGAGGAACTGTTTCGAACGAATCTTAGCTGGTCGCAGCTTCTGGAGGATCTGGCTCCCCCAATCTGTGAGCAGATCCGTGCGTGCAATTGGGAAAATCGTGTAGAAAGCTGCCTGGGTGAACTAAAACCATTTTGGACCTTTGATCATCGTCTCTGCTGTAGCTTTAACCAGCAAAAAGAGCTCTACACTTACCAGTTGGGAGTTAGTTTCGTCTTAAACCCTCGAAAAGAGGACTACGGTGGCTCAAGAATTGCATCCGATGGCTTTGAGGTGCTTATCCATGAATCCCAAACGGTAACAAATGCTGCCACCATGAGGATTCTGATTCCAAGTGGTTCAGAAACCCACCTAATGGTGCGACCCTTTTCCACGAAGTTCACATCGAATCTGGCAAGGCTTCCCATCCAGCAACGTCGCTGCTTTCTACCCGATGAGCGCCGTCTGTGGTTCTATTCGACATATAGCCTAAGCAACTGCCTTTCCGAGTGTCGCAGCAAAAGAATCCTTGATTCCTGCGGTTGTGTACCGCCCCATGCTCCTGGGGAAAGCAGCTGGCCCATTTGTGACCTAAAGCAAGTGGCGTGTGTAAGGGAGTATGGCAAGTGAATGACATCTACTGCAAGAGTAAGGCGTATTGATTTATTTCCCATTTGCAGATGGTATTTGTGAGCAGATTACGGCGGTGGAGAGGGACTGCAATTGCCTGCCGCCATGCAAATTCCATCGCTATGAATTCGAGAGTGATGTGAGTCCCATAAAGGGATCCCATTCCAATTCCTGGAACGAGGTCCGCCTGCAGGTCTACTACGAACTGGCAATTAGCGAAGAGCTGCTTTTGGACGTGTACGAGACCTGGCTGGCATTCATAGGCAAGTGTCCATGGGCATATTCCATTAACGAAACGACCTACAAGACAAAGGGGGGCGTATTAAAGTGTCATTCATCCATCCATAATGGGCAGGAACCTTTGGCGGCGTAAACGGCCTATTTATGGGCTGCAGTTTCGTGTCGGTCTTCGAGCTAATATTCTTTACGTGTGTGCGACCCACTTGCAACTGGCTGGCGCGCCAGCAGATACTCTGGCGACGCCGCAGGAAACAAGCAAAAGTGGGCTTGGCTCATTAGCGGTGTGCAGTAATTAAGTGCGGGACTAATTGCCGCGAGCCGCCGCGGCAACAGTCGTCGGGCAGAGGTCAAGCGGAAGAGATGGCGTTCCAGAAGCGACGTATCTTCGATCTGCGGCAAGTGCAGGCCGCCCAACAGCTGGTCGCCTCCAGCCGCAGTGATCCTTCAAAGCGCTCTAATCCTGTCGGCCACCGGCCCATCCCTCGCTTGCGCCAGTTTGGAGACTGGTTCAGCGAGAATATGCGCAACTATTGCAAGACCACGTCGCTGCATGGCTTCAGCTACATCACGCGCCAGGACATTAGCCGGAACGAGCGCCTGTTCTGGCTTATTGTTGTCATCCTGTCCATCATTACATCGATTGTGCTGGTCGTCGTCTCGTGGCAGTGGGCCCGCGAGACGCCCACTGTTACGGTCATCGAGAGCTCCCACTTCCCCACCTGGAACATACCCTTTCCGGCAGTGACCATATGCAACTTCAACAAGATATCAAAGCTAAAGGCGATCAACCTGCTGCAGCAAATGTGAGTACACATATCATAGATTTTCATACGATGTTTATCTAAAGGGTATTTTATTTCGTTAGGCAAGTTCCTGTTGGGGTCAATCGATCGGAGCTGCACAACCTTTTCAACCTCACTCTGTTGCCCGTGGACAATATGATCAGCAACAGTTCGCTGCAGACTTATGATCGGATCCTAAAACTGAATAATATCACCCTCACGACACTAACGTCACAGTTGTCGCCGGACTGCATTGACATGATTTCCAGCTGCATCTGGAAGGGCATCAACACTCGCTGCGACAGTCTCTTCCAGCGCATCAAGACGATGGAGGGACAGTGCTGCAGCTTCAATTATTTCGGAGGGAAAACCAACAATTTCCCAGAGTAAGAAAGACTCCGCTCCTTCCATACGCCATATACCAATCCATTTTAATTCCAGAAAAATTGCCTATCAGGTGCCGAAGCGTCCGTATCGCGTCACTGGCTGTGGCTATCCCACGGGTCTGACTGTTCTTCTCAGTCCCATGGCCTCTGATTACTACGGCACCTTCTTTAGCGGCTACGGCTTCCAGCTGCTGCTTCACGACGCCTACAACTTTCCGGATGAGAATTCAGAAATGAAGGTCGTGACCTCCACGCGTGAGAGCTTCGTGCGTATTAATCCAGAGTCGACCTATGCCACCAACGACATTCGCCGCATGGACTTGTCCTTGAGGAACTGCCTGTTCGGCAGCGAGCGGGCGATGCATGGACTGAGGCGGTACTCCTTCATCAACTGCATGTTCGAGTGCAGGGTTACCATGACCCACAACCTCTGTGGCTGCATTCCCCCCTATGTCCACAACAATGGCAGCTACAGGGTATGCGATGTGCTGGATGCCAACTGCATGATACAGAGCAAGCGTAAGTGGGGTGGGGTATATCTACGAGTATCTCTCAGCAAACGTCCACTAATCCATGTTCCTCTTAGGTCTCTCCTACCATGCCTTGGCTAATTTGAATGTGTCGCTTTCGATTGTGCGGGAGACCAGCAGCTTTCCCTGCGGCTGTCTGCCCGATTGCCAGTCGAATCATTATGTCTCGGAGAGCACCATGGGCAGGCTGGATGTCAGCTACTTTTCCAATCGTCCAGGCAGCAGGTGAGAGTGTTGGATCCCTACTCGGAATCAGAAATAATACATTTATTTGTTGTAGCAACGACACGGACAGGATTCTGTTGCATGTGTTCTTCAGCGACCTGATGAGCACCAGATATCGTACAGACATCTTCCAGAACTGGCTATCCGCCTTGGGTGAGTGCAATTAGAGCCTAAATAGTCCCTAAATAATGATAGATGTGTTCCCTCCTTGACAGCTTCATTTGGTGGCTTGCTGGGTCTAATTATGGGCTTTAGCATCGTGACGGCCTTCGAGTTTCTGTACTTCTTGACCTTTCGACCTATATTCAACTACATCAACCGCGATTAAAGGGAGAGAGAGCCCTCACTCTCTTTTACACCCCCACCACTGTACACTATCTCACCGCTTGACACGCTTTAATTAGAGTTCTGATTGATGAGCAGCACTCGGAGCACTAGCACCACTCGCAGCACTCGCATCGCTATAAATTGACTGAGATTCGAGCACACTTCAGGCACAACGCATCACGAACATGACTCAAGTGGAGTCCCGCTCCAACTATCGCCGCCTGTTCACAGAGTTTCTGCGCCAGAGCTCCATCAATGGCCTGCATCCGTTCCTCTACCCCACACCTGTCCGATACGCCAAGTGGGTGGGAAAATGCATCTAAATCGAATCAAAGGCTAAAGTACCTTATTTACAGAGCACTCTGGCTGACGCTGATGGCGGCCATTGTGGTGTGGACACACGTTGTTATCGTCAATCTCACGCTGGAGTACCTCGACCAGCCAACGGAGATCCATATGGCCCCCGATCTGGTGCACGTGGCCAACAGCCCCTTCCCGGCCGTCGGCGTCTGTACCGCGAATAAGATCAGCCAGCGTCTGCTGCGGAGCTATGCCGTCAAACTGTGAGTCCTTTATTTAGTCTCTTAGCCTTAGATTTAGTTGAAGTAGCCCAGGCTCTTGACCTCAGCGGCCATGGCCACGATGGAGTCGAGAAGCTCCTCGCTGGCAGGCACGATCTGGGCGGCTGGGAGCTTGAAGCCGGTGAGGACGCTGTTCGAGGAGGGACGCAGCTCGTAGCAGAAGGCCATGCGCACATCCTGGGTGCCGTAGGCCCAGTCCACGCTAGCGCCGGCCGCTGGGTAGATGGCATCGTAGATGTTGCCTCCGGTGTATGTGGTGCCGTAGCGCTTGTTCACGGCGGCAACGGACACGTCGTAGACCTTCTTGAAGTCGGCCACATTGTCGGGCAGATCACCGGTGTGTCCGTAGGGGTAGAGCAGGTACTGGGAGTAGGCGTGCAGGGAGATGTACAGCTGGATCTTGCCCTTCAGCGATGCAAGGTAGTTGGACAGGGAGAGAGTCTCGATCTCGGAGAAGGCAGAGGGGCCGGCGTAAGTGTCGGAGCAGGGGTTGCTGCTAGCGCCCACCTCGTTCCAGTGGAAGGCCCAGTTGCGGTTGGGATCGGCGCCGAAGCAGCTGCTGTAGGGGGTGCGGGTCTTGCGCCACATCCGGTCCGTGGTATGGGTGTACACATAGCCGTCGGGGTTGGCATGGGGCAGGACGTACCAGGTGTAGTTCTCGGCCAGCTGCTTGACGGCCTCCACCTCAGAGGTCAGCAGCTGGTTGATGATGTAGGTGGCCGCCGCGGGGGCGATCCACTCGCGGGCGTGGATGCCAGCCTCCAGAAAGATGCCAGGCTTCTCCTTGCCGCTCTTGGTGATCTTCACGCCCAGAATAGAGCGTCCCTGATAGGTCTTGCCGCCCTCGATGAGGGTAACCACTCCGGGGTAGGTCTTGGCCAGGGTCTGCAGCCAGGTGTAGGTGTCGTCCAGCTCGTAGTACTGCTGCCAGTTGTAGGCTTCGCCGGCGCGTCCCTTGATGGCAACCTTCTCGTCGGTCTCGTCGAGGGTCTTTTGCACATCTTTCGACTGCAGCAAATACTTGATCTCGGCCTTGCCGAGGATCTCCAGTAGATCGGGTACCTTGTGCGGGGCCACAACCATCTTGACATCGGCCCCCACAATGTGCACTCCGTCCAGGAACAGGATGGAGTCGCTGGAGCTCTCGAGCTGCTTCAGCACGGCCAGCTGCTCGGCATTCTCCGCATTCACCTTGTACAGGCGGTAGTTGTCATAGCGGGCGCGCTCGGCGCTGATTCCCGCCAGGGCCACGATGGCCAGGAGGGCGAACAGGAGGGACTTGGTCAGCGACATGCTTGTCGTTGTTTGTATGAGCTCCGAAGGGGAGCAACGGTTGCTTTTATAGGCCAGGCCAGCAGGCGAAGCCGATAAGAGCCAAATCTAATTTATTGTCCGATAGTGCGAGGTGTAGGGCAGTAAATATCTCGGGGTAATCTCTGGGTGGGCCTTATCACAGTCTCAACCGCTTCGCATGGTAAATCATTGTATGACGCCCCCGAGAATTCTCCAAGAAATTGCCATTTCACGAGACACAAGTGTCTCACACTAGTCTCTCAAGTCTCGAGTCCCGAGTTTCCTCTAAGCCTCCTCGCCATAAACAAGTCTTCCCTTCACTTAAACGTATTTACTTTTTATTGCAACTTGTAGCCCTCGATAGCGGCAGCGGCCTTTACCATTTCCACCAGCGAATCCGTTGTCTCCTGTCCCGTGGGGATTATCTGTGACGCCGGCAGCCTGAAGCCTGTCCAGAAGCTATAGCCCGAGGGTCTCAGCTCGTAGGTGAAAGAGTACTTGGTCTTGAGCACCCCATAGGCCCAGTCCATGCTGGAACCTGCCGCCGGATAGATGGCATCGTAGACATTTCCCCCCGTGTAGCGGGTGCCAAATCGCCGCTTCATACCCCCCAAAGCAGCGGAGAAAATGCGCTCCAGCTGGCGATGGTTCTCAGGCAGCGAGGAGGTGTGTCCGTACGGATAGAGCAGCAGCTGGGAGAAGGAGTGCAGCGAGAGGTACATGAACACCGGCTCTGGTAGGGTCATCAGATACTGCGAGAGTGACTCCGTCTCGGGCTCCGAGAAGGCCTTGCGTCCGGCATACGACTCCGAGCAGGGCTCATCGCTGGCTCCCACCTCGTTCCAGTGAAAGCCCCAGTTCCGATTGGGATCGGTTCCCATGCAGTTTTTCGCTTGCGGACTACGTGTCTTGCGCCACAAGCGATTCTGAGGAGTAGAAGACAGAGAAAATGAATAAGACAAGGAAATGTCTTCTGATTTCAGGATAAGTACCGTGGAATGAGTGTAGACATATCCATCGGGATTAGCATGAGGCAGGATATACCACACGTAGGAGCGCGCCAGGCTCTGGATTTCCGGCTGCTGCGAGCTGAGCAATTGATTGGCAAAGTACGTGGCGGTGGCTGGACTGATCCACTCCCTGGCATGCATTCCCCCCTCCAGAAAAATGGCCTGACGTTCGCCCCCGTCCGACCCAGCACTGTGTCTGATCCTCAGGCCCAGGAGCTCTCTTCCCTCGTAGCTGCGGCCAGCCACAAAGGTGCTGACGATGCCTGGGTTCTTTTCTACCAGGTTCTGCATCCAGCGATGGGTGTCGTTTAGTTCGTGGTACTCCGTCCAGGAGTAGTCATCGCTGCGACGATTCGCATCCGCCACGGGTTCGATATCCAGCGAGAGGCTCTCCTGGGCATTCGCATCCAGGAGCTCTGGAGCGATATTCCAGATCTTGAGTAGCTCCAAAAACTGCTCATTGAAGCTGGGAGAAACCAGCACATTAATGGCACCGAGATGCAGATCATTCAAGAAGATGACTTTCTCGCTCGTGGCCTCAAACGGCCGCAATTTCTCCAACTGCTCTTCGATCTGTGGCTCCAACCGATACACACGATAATCCTTGAACGTTCGACGTTCGCCCAGGCACAGGGCCAGAAGAGACAGTGACACCAGTAGAACTTTCATTCTGGTACTAATCGAGGAATGCCCACAAACTAGGGCTTTTATACTCCCTCTTTGGATTGTGTCTTGCATGCTAATTTCTTTTTTCGCCACTCCCCCACTCGTTCTAGCTATCAGCACCAGGAAAAGTCCAACTCCAACGATAACTCTAAGCTGCAGCGGGTGGCTCTAAATGTCGACGATATGGCGGAACGCCTGCTGGTGCTGGCACAGTTCTATCTGAATCCCCTGGAAACCCCGCGGCTGGACGAGGCTCAGCTGCAGCGCCTCCACTGGCTGCTCTCTAGCTACCACAATGACACCGGCGGCTACTCGGTGCGTGATATATTGCGTCAACTGTCGCCTGACTGCGGCGACTTGATAATCCGAGGCATTGTCTACGGTTCCCCTGTGAACACCAGCCAAATGTTTTTCCAGCGACCAACCTCGTCGAATGTGTGCTGCATATTTAACTATCGCCGTCCCAGCTACTCCCGATTTACGTGAGTGAACCCTACCCCCCCATAGAGGAGATGCAACACTAATCAAAGGAATTACAGGCACATACGAGAGGCGGACAACGCAGAGATGAGGGCCCTGCCCAAGGTGGTCTTCGAGTCCAATTCCATTTTGAACAGCGTTCAATTTGTGCTGCAGGACACCCCAGAGGATGACCACACCAAAACCTTTGTGACCAACAATGCATTTCATGTGAGAGATACTTCGAGTGATTTATTTCACCCTCTGATCTTCGGCTCTAATCTTTTCGTATTCCTTTCCTTTCAGCTGATAATATTCCCGCAGGAGGACTATGCCACCGTTCAGTCCACCACTTTGGGGGAAATACTCGTGGATCACAACACCATAGTGGAGATTCCCATTCAGCCGACTTTCTTCAGTTCCAGCGAAGGAGTGCGCACTGTCTCACCCCAAGCACGTCGCTGCTATTTTCCCGAAGAGGGGAGAAAACTGCTCAACCAGTAGGCTACAGACTGCACTTTCCCTTGGGACAGTCAACTCATAGTTCTGTTCCAGATCGAATTACTCCATTGACGAGTGCCTGCTGCTGTGCCGCAGCCAGAGCATGATGGATCACTGCGGCTGCGTGTCCCCGCCAATGATTGGGAGCTCCACAAACGTAACATACTGCGGTCTGCCCGATCTGCCCTGCCTGACCAAGTGGAAGAGCATCTGGTATGGCTACGACGAGTTCTCGTATCTGCAGGAGGGCAAGGACCAGGTGGCCCAAAGGCAATGCAACCGCTGCCTGCCCACCTGCAATGGCGTGAGCTTCAGCATCACCAGCAATGTGGCGCCCCTGCGCCTCACCTACAATGGCACGGGCTACTTTACGGGTCTACTGTGAGTCCCCCCCTTCAGATCGTCTCTTCGTAACTTTTACTCAAATGTTTCAATTGCAGGAAAGGATTGACCAACGAACGTCCCTTGGCAATCATTAAGTTATTCTTCAAGCTGCGCTTTGCACAGGCCACCAAATCGGAGCTAGTCAGCACTTGGGTGGTGCTGCTCAGTGAGTATTCCATCTCTATATTGTACTCTGAAAAGATTAATTTTCTCATTTGTTTTCCCTTGCAGATCGCTTTGGGGGCATCCTCTCCCTTATGTACGGCTTCAGCATAGTCAGCTACATAGAGATATTCTATTACCTCACCGGCAAATGGTTCGTCTACATCTACAGATCATTTAGCAAGAGGCAACCGCCAGTCCGAGGCGGCAACAGCCTCTACTGGGATGAGTTGATGCCCAAAGGATTCAGGATGCCCGATTAGCGCGTGAATGAATCCACTCTCCGCTGATGTATGCTGAGCATAAATACTCTTTATATTGAAATCGCTTTGAAATACGGTTACAAATGATCAACAATAGAATGGACTTATATCAAAAATGTATATAATGCAAACTCTGCTGCTCGCCGCTTACTCACGCGCTCGCACGCATGAATGCACTTAATAATCGTCGCCGCGGGATACGATCTCCTTGCAAGTGGGACGCAGCATAATGGTGTGCTCGTACTGGGCCGTGTAGCAGCCCTTGATGTCGCACAGTGGCGGATAGGCCTCCACAATGCCCTTGTCGCACAGATCCTTGAGAGCCATCTGGTATTTGGTGGCGCCAGCGCGATCCAGCCAGCGCTTGCAGAAGGCCAGAGTGCCAAAGTTCTTGTTGATTGTGCCCAGAAGCTGCTTGGAAGACTGAAGACGCAAAGGCACGAACGGCAGATCAAAGTTCTTCATGTAATGCGAGCAGTCCATGTCGTCGTGCACCAGACCGCGTCCCGTGGAGCCGAAAGTTTCAATGGCATAGAACTCATCTTCCTCCATGCGCGTAGACTCGCCGCCCTTCACAATGGGAACAGTTTTGCCAGCATGAATGCCTATGGAAATAATTAAAGGAAAGAGAATAAAGATTGGGGTGAGTGAAGATACTTCTTTATACATATTAATATTGATTTATGCTTACGGTACGGGCTAATGGAGTGTCCGTTCAGATTACGTATGGCCTTGATGGGGTATGTCTTGCCATCCAGCTCGATTTCGTATGATTCCATCACCTCTTGAATGGCAGCCCCGATATCACATAGACGCACGTCAATGCCGGCCTCCTTGATGCCGGTGTTGGTGGCCTCCTTGACGGCCTGCAGCAGCTTGTCGTACTTGTTATTGAAGGTCAGGGTGAAGGCACAGTCGATGATGCGTCCCTTGATGTGTGTGCCAAAATCAATCTTGCACACGTCGTCGTACTGCAGGACTGTGGGGTCGCCTGCATTGGGGGTGTAGTGGGCCGCACAGTGGTTGAGAGAGCAGCCAGTGGGGAAGGCCAGACCAGCGTCGAGGCCGTTCTCGCCGATAAGGCGACGGGCCGTGTTCTCCAGCTCCTCGCAGATCTGGATCATGGTCATGCCGGGCTTGATAAAGCGCTGCATATACTGACGAGTCTGGCGATGGGCTTCGGCTGCTTGGCGCAGCTCCTGGTAGATTTCGTTGTTCATGCGGTCCAGGGCACGCTTCTCCTCGGAGGTGAAGCGATCCTTGGCCGTGCGATCATCCGGCATGTCCTTGGGCGTAGGATGCTCCACAATCTCGCCCTCGGGAAACACGCCAGAGGGGAAAAGCTTTGCAATCGGTATGGTTGGGGGCTCCGTCTGGCCGTTGCCGGCTTTCTTTCCCTTATTGTTCTTCTTCTTTGCTGCCGGCTGGGCCGAGGCGGCGACTGCGGCTTTTTTCTCGCCGTTTGTGGTCTCTGCATCTGCATCCGGGGCAGCTTCGTCGCTGCCACCCTCAACGGCCTTCTTGGCTGCGGCCTCTGTGGAAGGGGTTGTGAAATTGAGGCGTGTTCGGATGCGGGGCAATTATTGCATTTCGCGCAGGGAGGTCACTCACCTTGCCGCAGTTTCTTGTTGTTCGGCTTTGGCTTTTTCTGTTTCTTCGCGTCCTCGCCGGCTACACCGTTCTCGGTGACGGCCGCCTCCACGTTTAGTGCTTCGGTTGAGGACATTTTATAACGCAATCTGATACAATTAACGAAAATCTAACGCGCACTGATTGCAGCCTGGCGATGGCGATACAGAAGAAAGAACAAAAACACGAGGTACCAATACCAGTGTTAACTAACAATGTCAGTCACAGTCACGAAGTATTTTAATAATACTGTCACGGTTTTTGCGGTACCTACTAAATACGGCGATTCCCCTTGTTTCTCGATTTACGAATTTTATATTATTTAATTCACGCTGCGACACGAAAAAAATGAATGACTAGACTTTATTCTAGTTGAATATTATTCCTGCATTATATTTTCGGGAGTTTCAAAGATTGTGAGACCCTAACATTTAGTGTTGTAAAACACTTCGATTGCTGTATGTGCTGACTGTCCATCCCTGGGAACTTTTTGTTTATAAACGCGAGTTTTTTTGTTGTATAAAATACCCTTAAATGGACGAAATCCTGTTTCCCACACAACAAAAAAGCAACTCACTCAGCGATAGCGACGATGTGGATCTCAAGTTCTTCAACACAGCCACCGGCGAGCGGAAAGACAGCGACACCGCCTCGGACACGGCCAATGAGACGGATCGCGATGCCAAAGACGGCGACATGGACACCAAAAACACAGATGGCGATGGCGACTCCGGCGAGCCGGCCCTTAAGAAGCTAAAGACCAAGAAGGAACTGGAGGAGGAGGAGCGCGAACGCATGCAGTGAGTAGCAAGTGGATATCAAGATGGTAAACTCCAAATCTCCCTCCCTCCCTTCTTGCCCAGAGTTCTGGTTTCCAACTTCACGGAGGAGCAGCTGGATCGCTATGAGATGTACCGCCGTTCAGCCTTCCCCAAGGCGGCCGTCAAGCGGCTGATGCAGACGATAACCGGCTGTTCGGTCTCACAGAACGTCGTCATAGCCATGTCCGGCATCGCCAAGGTCTTTGTGGGCGAGGTGGTGGAGGAGGCACTCGATGTAATGGAGGCCCAGGGCGAGTCGGGCGCCCTGCAGCCGAAGTTCATCCGCGAGGCAGTGCGTCGGCTGCGCACCAAGAACCGCATGCCCATAGGACGCTACCAGCAGCCCTATTTCAGATTAAATTGATCGCATTGCATGTGTGGAGTGTGGAACCTAGTGCGTAAGGTAGAATAATATCGGTTACAAAATAATCTTTATTGAGTTTTGGTCTCTAATCTACGAAGTCCTATGCTAGTCCATCCGCCGGGCCTCGGCCTGCATGGTCTGGAGTACGATGTGGGGGACCAGGTGCGTGGAAGCGTAGTTGAGGGGCACCGTGGCCAGCGGCGCCGTGCCGTCGGAAGGGAAGTTCAGCTCCTGTGCCATGGGCATGTCCTTGTCGATCACGTCCTGTGCAATCAAAGTCTTTGTCTCCTCGTACTCCATGCCCGCCTCGGGCTTGGCGCCCATCAGCAGCTTGCCCCGCTGCACGCCCATGTACTGGGTGGCCTTGGCGTTCAGTGGCAGCTGGCCACAGGTGTCGGCGTGCACCTTGCGGTGGGCCTGCAGGTTGGATATGCACGTGAAGCGCTTGCCGCAGTTGTTGCACAGGAAGCGCTTGATGCCCGTGTGCACCGTCATGTGGGTTAGCAGGCTCTCCCTGTAGGGGTACTCCTTGGGGCAGAGGTGGCACTTGTACGGCTTGTACTCCGTGTGCCGCGTCTTCAAATGCGACTTGTACTGGGCCTTAACCTTGAACGTCTTCCCGCACTTGTCGCACTGGTAGGGCGTCTCCGACTGGTGCAGCAGCAGGTGCGTCTTGAGAATGCCCGCCGTGGAGAGCCGCTTGCCGCAGACACTGCACTGGTAAAGTGGCAGACGGCCGCAGTCGGAGCGCACGTGGTCCGAGAGGGAGGTGCGGCCCGTGAACTTCTTGCCGCACTTGTCGCAGATGAGGTTGCGTGGCAGGTTACGCGGCTCCTTCTTCGAGTGGAAGTTCTTCTCGTGGTTCTTGAGGCTGTCGTGTCCGGTCATGTACTTGTCGCACTTCTCGCAGTACAGCAGCTCCTTGTGCTGCTGGTGGGCGTGCTCCGTGGCCAGCTCCTTGCTGGCGAAGAACAGATTGCAGTAGCAGGGACACTTGAAGATCAGACTTCCGTCCTCCCCATGGACCTTGAGGTGCGTCTCGAGGCGCTTCTCCACCAGATAGATCTTGCTGCAAATGGGGCACTTGAAAACCTCCTCGTCCAGCTTTGCATGGACGTCGACGTCCTTGAATATGTCCTTGATGTCCTGCTCGGTGAGCTTGTGGTCGTCCCGCAGATGCTTCTCGTAGGGCTTGCGTATGTGGTAGATCTTGACGCAGTGCGGACACTTCCAGGTCTTCTCCATCTTGTTGATCATCTTCAGTCGCTCCTTCAGCTCCTTTTTGGTGATCTTGGCCACGCGCTTCGGTGTGCTCGGCGCCTCCTCGGGCGTGGGGGATCTGATGGTGCCTCGCTTGCGGTATTTCCGCTTGCCCGTCGAGTCCTTGGCCCGTTTTTTCTTTTCCTCGTAGCTGTTCCTCAGCGACAGGACGTCTTCTTCCGTCTCCGCCGTCTCGGTGTGCTCACCCAGCGGCACAGCCGCTATCTCGTCCAGTATCCCGCCGGCATGCTCCACCTTGAGGCTCTCGAAGGGCTTCAGGCCATCGCCCTCATCCGTACTAAGCAGGACATCCAGCAGCTTGTCCTTCTCGCTGCTGAAAATGTCCGCACTCTCCGTCTTCACAAACAGACTGGCGTCCTGGTACTCGAAATCCTCGTCGAAGGCCTCCACCTTGACCATGGCAGGGGCGGGCAGCTGGAATTGTGCAGCATCTGCCTCCTCGTCGCTGTTGTTCGGCTCAAAGTCAGGGCACTCGTCGCCGGAGTCCGAGGACTGCTGGTCGCTCATGTTCTCCTCCTTCAGCTGCGGCGGTGCGTGCACCGCCTTCGCCTTGATTCTGCTGGCCAGGGGAATGTCATCGTCGCTATCCGATCCGGTCGCATCCTCCTCTTCGGATGTGCCTGCCTTTAACTTTGTTCTCTGTCTTATGCGGCCCTTGATCTTCTTCTGATCCGAAGGGCCAGGATTGTGTTCTAGTTTTCCGCAGGTCTCAGGGCGACTGCGTCGATGCTTGGCAAGGTTGGAGGAGCAGGAGAACCGTGTTGAACAGCACTTGCACTCCACTGGGCGCACTCCTGCTGCATCTGTGGACTCGTTAGTGGCATGACTCTCCTGAAAGAGAAGGCGGTTGAGTACTTGAGTCCATAGGATTCGAATTGATTCTACTCACCTTGTGGGGCGTCTCATGTGGGTCGCTGGTTTGCTGGCACTTTGTCTTGCAGTGACGCTTGTACGCCTCCAGATACTTGTACTCCGTCCCGCACTTGTCGCACACATACCGCTTCCGTTCCTCATCCGCTGCGGAAGCATGCTCACTCTTCACGTGCTGCGTCAGCTCTTCCTCGTGGCAGTAGCGGACCTCGCACTGGCGGCACTGGAAGCCGCCCGGTGGCTCGTGCTTCTTCACATGCTTCACATAGCCGGCCAGGGAGATGAGGGCCTTGTTGCACACGGGACAGTGGAGCTTCGGCACTCCGTCTGTGGTAATCTCCACCAGCATTTTCTGGACTAATCCTCCGCTGCCGCTGGCCATTGATTCTGCTGTTGTGGAACGGATTGATTAGTTTTTGAATATCAACCACTGCAAATTTCATCCCTGGTTGATTGTTTGGGTGGGGTAGTGTAGTGTGGTGGGTGGGGGGATGGTAAGGAGGAACAGCGGCTTGGCAGACACAAAATGCAAGATGCATTCATTGCACTTTGGCTTCCCGACCGGACAAGACCTACCCATTGCTTGGCTCTTCAATTCACGATTGGCGTCTCCTTGGGGGTACGGGTACAGACACTCTCACAGACACCGCCTCCGCCGCCTGTGCTGCTGCTGCTGCTGCTGCTGCGGGGGTCAGACCGTCTCGTCGTCACTCAAATGTGCTGCACTCAAATATCTCCAAAGGATACGATCCTGCTGCATCTTATCGCACACCGAATGGGGGGGCTCTTATTGTTTGTTGCTGTTTTGCGGGTCGGCACTGGGAAAAAAATTAACAACTTGCCAGTACACTTTAAAAAATGAAAATTTGTATGTGTCGATGCTGGCGAGTAAATTATTTTTCTTTGTGCAGCCTGGGGTGGCAATGTAGCCCTGGTCGGAGCGTTCATACCAAACCGTAGGGAACTAGTTCGTGAGCCGGCCTCTCAGTGAGCGAGAGAGAGAGAGAGAGAGGGAGTGGCGACAGGGTTGCATTAGCAGTGGCTGAGCGCGCGAATTTGAAAATGGAATTTGTAGTTTGAAGGAAATGGGGAAAATGCAAAGCTAATAAAACATTCAGAATCCTCACGTTTATGTTAGTTGAATAATAATCTTAAAGAGATTGGATATTATAATTGAGAGTAGATGGTATATATTTTGAACATATCTAAGTACGGGTCTCTCTGTGAGGTTCTCTTTAGGAGCTGCTCTATATATAGAATTATCAACATGTAAACAACTGTGCAGAGCATACGCCTACGTTTATCGCTATAATTAGATATGCGTACCATTGATGCGATTATATCCACCAATTTTGGTTCTGATTGAGTGTGACCCAGGGAACAGTTCGCCCTTTACAGTCCGTGTGCACGATACTGATTCCGATTCCCAATCCACAATTCAGAAATCCGAATTGCCCTGTTGAAGCACGCCAAGGGCACTCTTTGATTTTCGGAGGGTGATTACATTCAGGAAATTTACACTCATGCAGTTTATTGGGCTCGAAGCCTGATTACAATTTAGTGCCGGCTATGACTATGACTATGACTTGACTATGACTACCCACAGCCCTACCGCTGCTGAAAGTGACGTCAATCTGAACATTTGTGTGAATGAAATCGAATTGTGTTGGGGCGGCTTATTTGCATATATAAACAAGTACACGGACGCGCTATATAGACGCTATATTGTATGAATGGGAAGGTCAAAGCTGATGAAGTGCCTTTGAAGAAGATACTCTATTGGGGCTCGCTCGAAATCTCGTGCCACAAGTGCCCAGACCTGCTATTAAATTTCAATTATAATAATAACTAGAGAAACCCCAACATTTGGAATACAGAAGAGAAACAGCCAATGCGTCAGTCATGCAAGGGTTTTCCTCTACCAAAGAGGAAAGTAGAGTCCGATCCGTTTATTGTGTTGCTTCATTATGCAAACTTGCATTAATTTTTCGATTGCTGCACACGTGAAGGGCAACAACAGGCATTGGCTGTTGCATTGGCAACTGTTGCTGCCTGCGTTTTGGGGCTTTCAAATTGCTTTCGAGCGCAAATCGTCGGCAAATGTCATTAAAAATGCATATATCGTAGGGTACACACTGTGTACTTTGTGGTGGGGGAACCCCCAGTGTGTCTATATGCAGATGCTCTCCTTACTCTGCTTCCTCTGCTCCTCTGTCTGTAGCTCGTGTTTGTGTGTGCTCCTCCCTTGAGATAAGCGAGCAAGGACATTTTGGAATCTTTTGTTTTATAAATAGTCGCCTTTGATAGACAATTAAAAATGTATTTTGCTTTCGGCATGGACAGGCATGGAGGCCTATCAATAGATGGCAGATTGCACTGCAAGAAATGGGCTGAAACAAGAAACGAACACGTGATTCGCATCTTGGTTCCTTTTTTACCTTACGAGTTGTTAGCCTTAAGAAACGTTGTCCTCCCTCCACCCGCCCTCCTGCCCTCTGACATGTCTAAGCACTTTGTACAAATTGTCAACGCTGCTGTTGCTGTTGCTGCTGCTGCTTCGTCCTTCTACGCATAGAGCGGACAACAACAGGAGCCTCAGCCTCAGGAATGGCAACAGCAACAGCCTCGGCAACAAAGGCTTCAGGTTATTGCATGCATTTTAATTAGTAGACAAGCCAAGTGGGCTGCCACTGTATAGAGGCAGGCCCATGCATTTACACACTATTGTGGGAGGCCCTAGCCATCCAGTAAGGCCTGCCATATTTGGTATATGAATCGTATGCATGCTCAAGAAAAAGCATTGGATGAATTGCCTCTTCCTCTGCCTCTGCCTCTGCGTCAGCCTTAGCCTCTGTGCGTGGGTGATGCCAAGAGTTCCGATGAGATGAAAGAGGATCTGCATCTGCATCTGATAATGATCCGAATGATATATGGAAGGAATCGATTCCATTATCCAGAGATGAAAGAGTATCGAATTGACAGCAGATGACATCGATAGGACATCCTCCATCCGTCGTTCCTTCCGTCCTTCCAGAACAGACAATACATAGATGCTGGGCATAAAAAATCTCGGCTCATCAGCGTCACAAACAAGACAATGATATATGGATTTCGGGGGAAGCCTTTGTCAATTCAAACTATTCTCGTGGATCCCCACATGCCCCATATCTCATGCGCTCCACCCCACAGTCGCGAGGAGGACTGTAAGCGAGGACTTCAGCGCAGAGCTTCCTCTCAATCTATCATTCTGCCCTCGCTCTGCCATCACCCACAACCCCACCACCGTCACGTTCTGCGCTAGTTTCTTGTATTTATTTTTAAATTGTTTCACACACACAAACACACAACCACAAGGAGAAACATACACTGGCCCCGGCAATGGTCCCTCTCTCGCTCCGCTCTCTCTCTCCATGGAGGACGCCGGCGACGACGACGACAACTCATGTTTGTATTGGTGTGGTGAGTGTCCTGCCGCCCCTCTAGACTGTGTGTGTGTGTGTGTGTGGGTGTAGGTTTGTCTATAAAAACGTAGAGACAAAAATAAATACTACAAGGAAAACGTATAGAGAATAAAGGATACCCGCTAATTGGGTATGAATATTTCTTAGGGATAGCACCTTTCGGGATAGAAAGAGAAGGTAATATTTGCCACCAATGTTGCAGCTAAAGGTATTCAAGGGGATTATAATAAATTTAATCTTTATAATTATGGGCGTTTAATTGCATTTAATTCTCAGAGATATAGCAGTTGGGTTCTTCGGGTTCTTCCTCTACACTTTATTTTTCATCGACGACCACCGGGTATACAAAACATACAACAACAAAATCTGTGTAGCTCTCGCATCTGTCAAGCAACCAAATACCCCGCCACCACGCGTGTCCCTCCGCGTACCAGCGCATGTACATATGTATGTGTTTGTGCGCCTCTCTTTCTCTCCCTGTCTCTCTCTATCTGGCTTTGTGTGTGAGTGCGGGTTTGTATGTAAATGTCCTTGAGTGCTTGACGGATGACATTCATAAACGTCACTTCAATTACCTCCACGCGCCAACGCCATCGCCAGCGACGATGCGGCACCATCCCTGGTCGCCAGACCCCCATTTTCTCCATTTCCCCATTTAGCAGGCCATCCCCCCACCAGGCTGCCCGGCACCCAACACTCGTTTACCGCGAAACTTGTGAAAAGTCAGTCAGCCAAAAATTAAAGTACTTTCCACTTTTCCGCTTTCAGCATTTCTTGTTCTTCTTGGATGGGGGAAGTTTTCTTTTCTTGTATTTTATTTTCTCTCTATTTTGTTTACTTTATGCTTATGCAGCAAAACTATCTCAGATAAATTGATAAAATGTTGCGACAGAAGGCAACACCATGGCAACAGCAGGGACGGGGCTCTGCAGAAGCATTCTCTATCTGAGGGATGCCATCTTTGAAACTTTCTTGGGTTTGGAGACCATCCAGGAGCTGACTGCAGAAAGATCGCCAGCACTTGCACGCAACTGCTTAAAAGATGTACGATATTGGGGAATATTTAGGGACTGCCTGTACCGCTGTACCGCCATTTATTGGCATCCCATAAGCGATTCCACTATTTGGTGTGTGTTCTTCAAATAAAAGGTCTTCTGGCCTTTTCCGACCTGATCTTGATTCATGGTCTGCCATTGATTTTCTCTCGACAGCCTCCAGAATGGGGGCGTGGACTGAGGCGTAGGGTTTCGAAACATTTGCGGCATTTCTTTATAACTGTGTATGTGTCCTGCTGTTTGTGTGTGTGTGTGTGTGTGAGTGTTTGTTACGGTTTCCTTCACTTACACTTGTCCTTACAAATTTGTCCTTTTCTCAAATGTGAAAAGACGCATAATGTCCTTTTTACCCGCCTTCCTTCTCCCTCTCTCTCTCTCTCACTCTGTTTTATCCGACTGTGTCCGCTTCTCTTCTTTTCTTGCTGTTGTTTTTCTGTATTTTATATTTCTTTTTGTAGACGACATTTTGTGTGTCGTTTATTTTGTGTGTGTTTCTCTTTCTTTTACTTTTGCTTTTCTTTCGTTTTTGTTTTGTCCTTTCTCTCTCTCTCTCTCTCTCTTACTCTCTGCTGACGTTGGCTGCTGTCATGCTGCTGCTGCTGGCGTTTTCCGCCCACATTTGCTACTTGTAAATTATTTGCATTAGTAGCCACTTGTGCTTTGTGTTGTATGTATTAGTATTAGTATGTATGTATTTTTGTGTTTGTGTTTGTGTGTGTGTGTGTTTAGTTGCGGCTCAGCAAGGTATATTTAACAATAGGGGTACGCTGTGGCAGAGAGCAGCCCCAAACGGAGCGAGAGACCGACAGCAGAGTGGTCTTGCCTTACCGCTCTATGAAATATACCTTGCTTTTTGTCCTGAGGCAACTTTCAGTGCTCCGACCCTCCCATCCATTCCCTTGTCGCACTTCTTTCCACTTTTGGGGATGAATCCACTCAAAGTGGAACTTGACCCACTGTGCGTCGTGGCCCCCGCCGTGTGCGTGTTTGTTTAGACACACACATAGATATAACACACGCACACACACAATCGTTAGCAAATATACGCAAATATACACATACAAACATACATACATATATTTGTATATTTTCGCATTGAAATTTCCATTTTTCTTTTCGTTGTTGCCGCTGCTGTTCCTTTGGCCTGCTCTTCCTTCCTCTACCTCGTGTGGCATCGTCTCATTCGTTTTGTTCGTGTGTTGGCCTGGCCTGCACTTAAATTAACTGATTGCAACATTCTATACAGCTTTTTATGGCGCCTGCTGCTGCTCGTACTGCCTTTGGAGGTGGTGGGGGGTGTTGGTTGCTTAGCCTTTTGCATAGTTTTTCGAGAGCTTGAAGGATGGGTGGTTGGGTGGATGGTTGGCCACATGGGAGTTCTCTCTTTTAAGTGGCTAGTAAATGTGGTTTCTCCGTGTCGTCTCCGTGTCTCTCTGCTCTGCTGCTGGTTCGGTTTTCTCTTTGAACGTGTGCTAAACATGTTATGCGGAATTGCGTGCTCACAACGTGGCGTATGCGCAATATTTACTTCTTTCTTGTGGCTGAAACTGAAATGCATTAAAACAGGCAGCGCGCAACAACAGCAAAACTCAGGGCCAATTTTGCAACTGCTAATTGCGTTTACGACATGTGTGCCCCCGCCTCCGGAATTGATTGGCTGAAAGATTGGATCCCAAAGATACTTTTGCATACTTTGCGGCACCCCAGAGAATCCTCCTTCATTTCGCATGCGAGAGGAGGGAACTCGAGGGAGGGAGGATGGGGAGGCAGACCTCTTTGGGAGCACGAGAATAAGCCCCAGAGGATTGAGTGGAATACTATGCCCGTAATAGCCCCTGCAATCGATGGGCCTGAAAATAAATTCATTTGTACGGGGGAAGCTGCCGAACAAATGGCCAGAACAATTTACATAATCACTGAACATTCAGCGGCAGCCAGTCCCAAATATAGAAACCAAATGGGAACCGGAAATAGGAAGCCGAACAGTGGAGCAGTGGAGCAGTCGAGCAGAATGAATGCCCCAACTGTGTTTTATTCGGACTTGTCCTTCGCCTCGCAGCGATTTATCAAAGTTCATTGAAATTGTTTGTTTGTACCCCTGCCCCTGTCCCCTGTCCCCGCCCCGAAACCTCCAGCCTCAGTTCCAAACATGTCCTTGAGAGGGTAGGGGGTGGCGAGAGTCGACCTTGCCGCTGCCTCTGCCTCTGCCGCTGCTGCTGTTTTTGCTGCCACTGCTTCTGCTGCTGATGATGATGACTACGTCATTCATTAAAATTTTCGCCCAGTTATAAGTTTGGGCATTAAGCAGCATTGAGATGTCAAGCGAATTACAGAAGCCCCAAACAAATGCCATAAAAGCCATTCCCATTCCCCATTCCCACGCTCCCTCGTTCACACTGTGCAAAACTTTTCCCTGTTTTTCTTTTTGCTTTCCTTTTCCTTTTTTCATGGATTTGATTTATGGCCTCCCAAAGGGAGATGCAAACGTAAGGGGAAAGGCACTTTTTGGAATGTTATTCATGGCCTTTCCTCGTGTCACGTGCTCATCTCTCTGTGGCAAATGAAAAGTCAATGCTCAGCCCTTGATTAATACTCATATTATATGCTTTATTAAGCAGATGCCCGCATGCCAAGCCCATCTGTTCTATTGTTATAGGAACTCTTTTGTTCAGACTTCGACTTGACTCCATCTCCATCTTCCATTATGGGATGTTCTCCTTCTCGTGCCATCTCCAATACCACAAATTATAATTACAAATGATATATATTTTGGCATTTTTATGATGCCTGGAAATGAATGATACTTCGTTGCAGAACGCGAAATGCCGAGCCTCTCTCTACTGCCGACAAATTTCGCCCCCGACTGGCAGTCAGTCTGTCTGTATGCCTCTCTGTCTGTCTGTAAGAAGCACAAAACAAACAGGTACAGGATCCACAAACTCTCCACCAGACAGTGGTGCTGCAACAAAACAAAACAAAACAAAACAAAAAGAGAGAAGAGAATAAATACAAGAGAAAACAAAAAAAGACAAACCTTAAACCTGATGGTCCTCTTCGCTTGGCTTCGAATCGGCAATACCCTGTCATTGCAGAAGATAAGAAGTTCCGAGAAGAGGAGTCCCAGGTAACAGCAAATACTACAGTAAAGAACTGAACTTTGGAGTGTGACCCGGGGCCAGATTCTTCTCCGTCCGAAACGCAGGAGGGTATACCCGATCGCACCTACGACAGCGACTGGCTGTTGGGTTGTCTAATCAGAGAAGCGAGCGAGAGGGGAGAGCGGAGTCCGAGCGTGTCCACTACTATAAAAGACAGTCACACTATCTGGTGTTTGTCTTCCACGATCTGAATTTGTGGTTTGCTGTTTTGGCTTTGCTGGCGCTACCAGCCGTCGCAGTCGGATGCTCAAGGAATTCAATGGTCCAATTCCTGTGCCCGTGCTGGGCCCAATCGCGTGGGCAACACTCCCGCAGATTAGTCATGACTCCAGAGGTTCCCCCAGCGAAGGGGGCTCGCAATCGAACAGCACAATCAGTGGAATGAGATTAGATATGGTGAAATATGTACAACCAAAAGTGGGCTCGTACCAAAGATCCCACTGACCTAATTCCCCTCTCGTGCTCGTGACTGCACCGCAGAGATACTTGCGACAGTATTCGATTGGTGGCAAGAGTACGGCAAGGAAAACTTCGTTATCTGGATTGGGCTCAATCTGCGCCTTAGAGAGCGGAGACACTAGTTTGTTTATAGGCTTACTCTTCTACTTCCAATTTCCCAATTTACATATGAATAATGTTACGACTTGTGACTCTTTATTGGTTTGTTGTGGGATCTATTGTTCCCGATATTCGTATATCTGATTATGAGAGATGATCAACATCAGACCAAAGGAAAGACCATCTTGCCAGTTTGCCCATGGCTCCAGCGAGTCCCAGAATGAGAAATGTGATAGTAATATATATCTTCATTTTCAGTTAGCGAATGACTTGTGTCTGCCTCCAGTCTGTGGATCTTGCAATAGAAATCCCAGCCAAATCGAATTCGCAATGCATATCTGCGATTATACGAGCTGTTTGCGTAACAAACGTCTGTTGCTTAGATTTCTGATTATGTCCGCATTTACAGTTCTTATTATAAGATCTAACGTAAACGTAACGTAACGTAAACTGCTCCCCGCCGTCGACGAACTCTTCTCCACCGATAGCCAGCCGAACACCTTCCTGGGACTCACTCTCAAGTCTTAGAGAGCGGAGACACTAGTTTGTTTATAGGCTTATTTTTCTACTTCCAATTTCCCAATTAACATATGGATAATGTTACGACTTGTGACTCTTTATTGCTTTGTTGTGGGATCTTTATTCCCAATATTCGTATACCTGACTAGTTATATTCACTATTAGAATAAAGGAAAGACCATCTTGCCAGTTTGCCCATGGCTCCAGCGAGTCCAAGAATTAGAAATGTGATAGTACAATATATCTTCATTTTCAGTTAGCGAATGACTTGTGTCTGCCTCCAGTCTGTGGATGTTGCAATAGAAATCCCAGCCAAATCGAATTCGCAATGGATATCTGATTATACGAGCTGTTTGCATAACACACAGTCTGTTGCTTAAATTTCTGATTATGTCCGTATTTACAGTTCGTTGGGATAATTAAAATATCTAACGTAAGCACTCCCAAACTCAGCTTGAAGGCCTTTTTGCTCTGGTTATAAACATTAATTGCCATTTAGGTTTGATCCTAGGCTGCAATTCTGTAAATAAATAAACTCCAAAACTATATCTGTGAGCATAGGCTTGTCCTATAATTAATGTATATTAATTCAATCCATCTTTCAGTTAAATGTTCATTATTCTGCATTTTTCTTGAAATGCATCTTTTGAGTTTATTTTTATTTTCTCTTGCTAAAAGACCAGCCTACTCCAATGTTTGCCATGGCCCCAGAGAGTCCTAGAAGTACGAGTGCTCCAACGCAATATATCTTCATTTTTCGTTTACAAATGATTTGTGTTCTCCGACTTCTGTGGCTTTTATTTATCTCAAAAAACACTTCCCTAATCGAATTGGCAATGGAATTATTCGATTTTCCCTTGCTGATCCGTTCCTTTGATGCAGATGCGTGTCTAATATTTAAAAACCAAAACGACAGACTCAAAATTCATATTCATATGCTCGTAGTTCTTCGATTGACAGAGTTTTCTACTTTCGAGAGAGATAAATACTTACGTATCTTAAAGTCAGAATCCCAAGTTTTCTGCTCTCTCGCTTGTTTCCGTAAATATTTGATATGACAATAGCTGTGGGAGTGGAGTTGGATGTGGATCTGGGAGCCGTGGGGTTGAGAGTTGGGGGCGCTGGGGGTTGGCATTGTTGTGCGTAGAAATATCCGAGGTATGCGGCGTACCAAGCCGGGCATAATCAAAATACAATTGTGCGTAGAGTGGAGTGTGCTTGTCGGTGTATTTATATCTGTATCTGGCTATCTGGCTATCTGTGTGTGTGTGTGTCTCCCTTTGGGCTTGTGTGTGTGGGTGTGGGTGTGTTTGAGAGTGTTTGTAACGCATGCACAAACGTTTATTTCTTTCTTTCTTTTGGTGTTTGTTTGAACAGGGGGACAGAAGGAGACTACCTGGAGGAGTACTAAGGCCAACAAAGAGAGAGAGAGAGAGAGTCCAAACAGCTGCGCGCTCTCTCCTTGAGCCCAAAATTATGCTATAAACTGGAAGAAACCTCAGACTGAGAGAGAGAGAGAGCTAACCAAAGGAAGAGAGGGTCGGAGAATATGTTTGTCTGTTTGGGTTAATGCAAATATATGCGAACAGAAAGCATCGTAAATTAATTAATTATAGATCGAGCAACAAAAGATGGCACCAGCCAGGAGACAGGATACCGGAGAAGCAGGAGACACAACCAGGAGACAGCAGACGACAAGAGCCGGGACCGGAGCCGGAGTCCCCTCTCATTTCGTTTGTGGAAGGAAGTCCGCTCTCTTTACGTCGGCTCCTGTCGTTGGCTACTATTCGCCATTTGCCATCGGCTTCCAATGGCTTCGTGCCCAGTGGGTCTCCAGATTCGTGGTCGCCTGTCGGGACCCCACAACGTTTTCGGGCGCTGCGCTGACAACATCCTCGCAGGACCAACGAGCGGACGGTGCGTCCAACGGGTCTCCTCCCCTATGTGTATGTGTGTGCAGAAACTTTTAACCGTGTGCCAGTCCGTGCTCCTGTGTGTCGTCTGTGTCTGTGTCTGTGTGAGGTGTTGGAAAATTTATTGCAGTTTGAAATCAAAGGAAAAACTTAAACCAAACCAAAGCATACCCCAAATCGGATTCTCTTGTAGCAGAAATCCTGGAATAATCGGGGCGCATACATTTTCTATTTGGAAAATCCGAAACATGCGGTGAAAACCCTATTCAAAGCCAATTTTTATATAATCAAGCAATAAAAAGCCGCAGAACGGCTAGAGGGGTGGTGCATGGAGGGGCCATGCACGGGCACAGGCACGGGTACAGGCAAAGCGTTTTTGGTCGTCTGTGTGAGTGCAAAAACGTTAATGGCAGGCAGCCTACGTTTGTGTCCTGTGCCTCTGTGTGTGACTGTGTGTGTGTGCGTTCTCGTGCTTGAGGCCTTTTTCATAAAGAGGTCAAAACGTTGCTTTCTGCTCTGCCTGTTCTCTGGCTGCGTGCAAAAGTTCTGCTTTCTGCTATGCTTGTTTCTATTCCTTTTTTTTCGTTGCGGGCTGGTCATGAAGAAAATTTAACAGTCAGACATTCCGCAGGGCCTCGAGCCGCGACTGAGTCTGTTACCGTATCCGACCCCGTTCTTAAAGTGGCCTCTGCCCCGCCCCTTTAAAGTTTCCCCAAGCAAATGATATAACAATTAGCGAGGCGGAACCCTTAGCATGCTCTGTTCTTAAAGCATTTTCTAGCCAAGGAATCATGCAGTTAAGGAGATCTTTGATGCGGTTTTTGTGGCATACTTTTTGGACAAGATTTCGATGGGGAGAATTACATAAATGGGGCGTTCCGTTCTCAGGCAAATACATATGGAATAATGATCCTTAAGATTTATATTTCAACTATCTTCTATGATTATGGATTCGCAAGTAAAGAAAAGAAGGAGGACTAACATTTTTTTACAAAATTAACTTTAACTAAAATGTAGTAAAGCTATCCTGATTGATTTTCATTAAAAGATTGTAGGAAATATCTGTTTAAACATTTTTAAAGAACTACTGAAAATCCTTAATTTAAATTGTGTTATTTGTTAGGCCAATTTCTTTCCAAAGAATATTCATCAAAAATTACCATCTATAAAATATGTAGATCAAATAGTTTCCGAAAAGCCTTGAGCTTGACACATACTAAATTATGTAAATCCCAGCATAGGGATGTGATTAATGGTGGGTCCTGGGAATGAGTTGAAAGGGAACTATTTGGGAACCATCTCCCCCACCCAAAAATCAAGAACAAAGAATCAAAAAGTTCTAGAGTTTCTCAGAGGAAACATTAGAAGATATCCTATGTCAAAAATACTTCCATCAGTTTGATGAGGCAATTATGTAAAGAAAGCGAACAAAATGTTACGCAATTTGCTAAAAAAGACCAAAAAAAAAGAAAGCAGCAACAAAAAAGGAATACAAAAAAACCACGAGGGAAAAAACATAATTAATAACAATGCCACACGGTTGAATTCTTGGCTAAAACTCTGGGCCATGGCTAAAAATAAAGGCATAGATAGGACGAGAGACAGGAGATTATGCAGGGGATGAAGAAGGATGAAGAAGAGGAGGATGGAGTAGGAGAAGGTCTAGGAACAGCGGGAAGCTAGTCAAAGCATAACAATGAACATAACCGCACATTGAGCCAGGCAGGGACCGTAAAAAACGATGGGAAGGAGCAGCCATTTGTGGGTGTGGGCCACTGTATGTGGCTGTGTATCGTCTCTGTGGGTCTGTGGGCCAGTCGAGTCACCTACTAAACCCAAAATGAAAGTAAAAATTATAAGCGTAAGCTAAAACAACAAACACAGCAGAAAACGAAAGCAAAACGAAAGCGATAGGCAGAAGGCGGAAGGCGGAAGGAGCTGACGGAGAAGCAGTGGCAGTGACAGAGGCAGAAGCAGAAGCGTGAGCAGCGATAAGGCCTCGCAGATAAGCGGCATAAGCGGGAGAGAGAGAAACTGTGTGCTTGGGAGAGTGTGTGCTTGGAAGACAGCAAAGAGAAACGACCACCGAATATCCTTTAATGTTCTCTCTTATCTGTCTCTATCCCTCTCTTGCAGGCAGTCATCCTTTGGGCGAACATTGAAAATGTAAACAAAAGCAACGCAGGCGCAGCAGCAGCATCAGCTCTCGGGAACTCCCTCTCTTTTGCTATAAAAAAGAGAGAGGAAGCAGTAGCAGTAGCAGCAGTGAAGGCAGAGATTGGATGAGCTTCCAGGCTCGTGTCCGCGTATCCTTCGTCGGTTTTCCAGCGGCCAGGCTGCCTCAGAACGTTAGCAGAGTGCGAACCGTGCTGTCGTCCAGCTCCGGCTCCGGCACCAGGCACCAGCAGCAGCAGCAGCAGCTCCCGCCACAACGGCTACAGAACTCAGGGAAACTTTTCCACACTCACACACAGACACACAGTCACACACACACACACACACACTTACATATATTGAAAGGACACAGGGGAAGAGGAAGCGACAGCGGAATAGCCTCAGACAAATGGCCAGAACAGCGAGCAACGGAGCAGCGGGCCAGGCCAACCCGTGACTACAAACGGGATACGAGAACAGAGGAGCAACAAAGAGTATAACAGAAGAAAAGAGTGGAGGAGAAGGGGCAAAAGTAGGAGAAAGGAAAATCTTGCCTGCTGGAAATGGAAGGAGAAATGCTGCGGCTTCTAATGTCGACGCCAGCAGCGGAAGTAGCAGCCACAACAGCAACAGCAGCAGAAGCAGCAGCGGAAGGAGCAGCAGCAGGAGCGGCAGTGGCAATATCGCCCACGTCGTACTCCTCATAATTTCGAGTCCCGCTCTCGCTGTCCCCCCCGTCTAAAATCTGTGTGTCTATCCCACGTCTCACGCTCTCACAGTCTGTTTCGTGTTAATTGTTATTTATGTATAGTGTGTTGTATATATAAAGTTTGTGTGATAACAAAAGGGAGATCGAACATCGCGGATATCCCAATCCCGATCCAAATCTGAGTCCCGATGATAACCCGAAATCCGATAAGCGACTAAGCGAAAGATAAACTCCATCTTTAGTCAAAAATCAAAAGCGTACAACGAGAACAAACAAACAAACAAACAAACAAACAAAAAAAGGTTTTGCCAGCTGAAACAACCAACAAAAAACCAAAAACCAAACAACACTCCAACGGGTCCAATGTTGCAGCCAACAACATGCAGCAAACAGCAACAGCAGAGGCAGCAAACAGAACATGCAGCAGCAGCGGCAGCAGCAGCAGCAACAGAGGGAACAGAAGCAGCAGCCGATCAGCAGGAGCGGCAGCCGATAGTTAAAGATCATGGAGCCCTAGCCTTAGCCTTAGCCACTGACAGAAGCAGCAGCAGCAGCAGCCCCCGCAGCTACAGCAGCGACAGCAGCGACATTCTGTGCCACAGCAACATGTTGCCCGTAACCAGCACAAGCAGCACAACGATAGATTTCAATAGTCGCCGGCGAAGGGGTCGTCTACGGGGCATGGACGAGGCAGGATCTGCACCGGCAGCAGCCTCAGCCTCTGAATCACCCAAAGAACAACACCAAGCAAAGATACTTGAAGAGTGTGTAAATATTTTCAAACGCTTAGTATTATTAACATTAAATACAATATCAACAAGAACAACCGCAACAATAACGAAAGGGAAGACAAGAGGCAGAACCGCAAAGGAGCATTCCATGACCAGCAGCTGCTGCTCATGGCCACAGCCTCAGCCTCAGCTTCAGCATCAGTATCAGCCACAGCCTCAGACACAACGCTGCCGCCGCCTCCGCCTGCCGATCTACTGCATTCTGTTGGTTGGCTGTTGCCTGGCCACTCAGGGACTTGGCGTTGAGGCCGCCAAGCCCAAGTCCGCCAAACAGCATTACAGTAACAACCAGAACAACAACAACCAAAACCCCAACAACAACCAGAACAACGATGTGCTGAATGGAGTTAATGCACCGCCCTTGTATCAGGGGGCGCCCTCCCAGACATCGGGCGAGGACGAGGCCGAACTGATGTACCCCTTCCAGTCCGGGGAGCACATGTTCGGCGAGGAGGAGGAGCAGGACCAGGAGATGAACATGAATGCAGCGCCTGGCTCTGACGAGGATAATGCTGGCAATCAACGTGGTATCAATGGTAAGTGTCAGACCTCCTCCTCCATCTCCATCTCATCTTATTTAAATCATCCTTTGAGTCGGAGCGGATGGTGCCACATGGCGTACGATGCTCGTATGTGGAATTTACGCTTCTTCGCGTCTGAGTAGGAGCCTGACTAATGGCATTTGTATTTAAATGAGAGGCAGAGGCAGAATCGAAAAGAATCCGAGGGCAGGGACGGATTTGTATGAGGGACTCGTATGAGTCTGAAGAAGAATGCAAATTGGATTTAATTTGCATGGGGCACAGATGAATCCGAATGAGGGAGAGAAAATCAAATCGAATAAAGTTCAGGGGTTGCGTGCAGAGCTCTAAGCAAGACATCCCATCTATCATCTATTTAACTATCCATCCCACACACTGACAATATCTTAAGGTGGAAAAAGTCAAGCAGCGAATCTCCCATACAAATTCCACTAAAGTTAAAAACTTAAAGACAAAGACAGGGTTCGATTTCGGTTGAAATTCTTTGCCAGACGTAGTATTCCGACTAGCTTAAGGGGCCCCGTTGCGTATGCGTGATATTTATGTGGTAATTTTGTGGAAGACGGAAGCCATGGACTCTTTCCTCGCTTCCGCTGTGCTGCCTTCGGCACATAGTAATTCTTTTTCACCGACGGTACACACGGCTGGCGTATGCGCGATATTTATGTGATGCCACTGCGTATATGTAACGTATGGTGTGTGGAGTGGCCACTACTGAAGCGAAACACGCGCCCTGCGTATACGTAATATTGTGAACATAAATTATCCCCCATTGCAGGCCAGGCCGCATAAGCGACTGCAAATGAACATAATGGAACATCTGTCTGCAGTTCTGCACTCACACTTGCCTCACACACAATGATATAAATTTATGTTTGTGCACATATGTACATGGCACTCTTTTCCTTTTTTTTTGTTCAGTTTTTACAGCCCTATCAGCGAAAGTCAAGCTGGCTCCCCTTTCTCACCTTTTAACCCTGATTCTGGCCCTGTCTCTTGTCTGCCTGCCTTCCATGCTCCACGTGTGCGATGCAGTCACATTTTGGCCAACAATTAAACCCAACATTGCACTTTGTTTGCTTAGGCGTGCGGACCCTAGAGCCATTTCTCATTTTAATGACTCAACAGAGCTGTCTCTGGTCTGGTCCTGTCTCTCCTGTGTGTTCCGTGTGTGTGTGTGTGTGTGTGTGTGTGTGTGTGTGTGTGTGTGTGTGTCTGAAAGTGGCTGAATGAACAAAGGAAAATTGCGGCACACAGTAATCGACTATATGGCACCCTATAAAGTGTGGAATGCCAATGGCCCTAAGTGGATTCCATTGATGATGATGTCAATCTGAAAATCTCCAACAAATCCGTGCATTCTCTATTCACCTTTTATCACCCACTGAAACCGAAATTGGAAATTCGTGACACATAAAACTATTCAAAGAGGGTGGGAAAAGGAACAGTATACTCACAGAAACTGGATATCGATGTTCAATTGAGACATCATCCATAAATCTCCTTCTCTTTTTGCTGCTGTGCACCCAACTGCAGTTCTGTATTGGATGTTGTAGCTGTGGATACATACTTACTCGCATATCTGTATCTCAACCATGAACGTGTTTTGTGTGTAAATCAAGCTTTAAAACTAACGCAGATTGGTGGAACAAGCGACAGGCAACGAGCAATTAACATGAAACCAGCGGGAAAAACTTGGAAAAACAAAAAAATGGAAAAGCTCACCCAGCAAAGGCAGACAGACCCTCCACCCCCACCGCCACACACACATACAGCAGGAACTCAGCAGTAGAATAGTAGTAGTACAGGTCACCCGAAATACATATGTATGTATGTATGTATGTATGTATGTATCTGTGGGGATATACTATTTATATGTGCATGGCATGTATGTGCGAGTTTGTATATATTTTATGTGCCACGGTGGCACTGGTCTTCTCTTCAACGACCTTTGTTCGAAATTTTATACCACGTATCGTATGTGTATGCACGTGGTACTAGTACGAGTGTACGAGTAGGTGTGTGTGTGTATGTTTTTTGGGGTGTGTATGTATTTGCCTTGCTTTTGGCTTTTCTATTTTACCATCGACCCAAATTGCGAGCCCGCTTTTCTCGCACACACACACACACACACCCGTGAGATATAATATGTAAGTGTGTGCAGGACTATGGTGTATCTGTGTGTGTGTGCGTGTGTGTGTGTGGGGCACACGCAAACGTGGCTGTTAACGACGTTTCAAGCTCTCAACGTCGACGTTTGTCGTGTGGGTGGGCCCGGGCCGAGCGCAGTCAGACCCTGAACAAAAAGCAAGAAAAGGAAAAGAATATAAAGTTAAGTAAAGACCTCGACCTAAACGGCAGGCGGCCAAAAAATACAATATATGTACATACATATATGTATGGATGTGTATGCAAACATTTTGAAAAATGATTGAGAAAAAACAAAAACAGAGACAGAAACAGAAGCAGAAGCAGAGACGCGGAAAACGAGTTGCCCGAAAGGAAGAGGGAAATCCCCACTCCAACCCCCCGCCCCCACCGAAAGAAAGCACGCACGGAGCGCCTTAAACACAAAATTTAAATCGATAAATCAAAATGCCAACAACAGGAAAAAGCAACCACAGTACGTCGAAGGAGGTGAACGAGGAAGAGGAGGTCCTGGCAAGGACGTGTGAGTTGCATGCTAAAAGCCACGAGAAACGATAAACGTGAAGGGGTTGGAGGAGGGGCCTCAGAAAATGGCTGGTTCGTGTGTGGGTGGCAGGAAGTCTTTCCTTCCTTCCTTCTACCATTTGTTTCCCATGTTTTTGTTGCTGCTTTGTGGGCCTGGGGTCTGGGGTCCTGAAATGACAACATTTGCCCGCCTTTTTAATTATTGACATTCCGCTCAACCTCTTCTCCCCCCACAACCACATATGTACATATACATATATCACCCATGCCATGTCCTTTCGGTCCTCGGTCAACGGTCCTCCCATTTCTTGTGGCCACACTAATTGTCCCTCGCTGGTCCGATTCTGTGCGTGTGTGTGTGTTTGTGTATTTGTATCCCCCGACTGTGATTCGGCATTAATTTCAATCCCTGCTGCAACATGCAGCACAATTGGATCTTGGAGCTTCTGGTCTTCTGGCCACTCTGTTCCTCGGGGGCTGACTCAGCTAATCGGATAAACCTGCAACCCTGCTGTTCCCAACAGGAATCGGAATCACTGTCCCAAAAAACACACACACAACAGTTATGATTGGATATTCCACAAAACCCGAGCGAGCCGTGATTCGAGCATGATTCATGATTGAGGGCCCCCGAGGGGTTTGCTGTGGTTCATCTCGGCATCAATGACAGGTGCACGCTTCGTTATCATTTAATGATTCATTCAATACGGGGATTTGCGGTATGTCTGTCTGTCCGACTCTCTGGGAAACCGGTTATCAAATGTGCAATCCGTAGTCTGGTCTCGGTATCGAATGGCACTACTACGCCAGCAACTGCGTAAGCAAATCTTTCTCGAATACCGAGTCGAAAACCTCTCGAGCATATACTAGATCAAAATTTGTTCCATTATGTTAATTTGTAAGTGGAGTTTATTTATGGTTGATTAAAGCAGCACACAAGTGAATGAGCGAATCAGCTTCCACTCATATGTAGCACTCTACTCCAATGAATGATACAAATCAGGTTCCATTCAAAACCCTATATCACGGAACACTGCAAAGAAAGTTATCTTATCAGAGAAAAGCTTCACCAATGGTAAATTTAGACACACTGATGTGTTAATCAATGAATTTTGAGACATCAGTTTGCATTAGAAAACCATATAACATTCCTAATCACATCAAAATGAATCAAAAGCAAATTGATTGAGCAAAAAACCGCATAGAATGCTTAATATGCTGTACGTACGTCTTATTATTTTTTGATTTAGAAAAACCTTAGTTGAGTCATTGCGATATACCGTAAGTCACTTTCCGGTAATTTTCATTACTATTGGGACTACGCCGTGAATCCAGAATTAATTCATGGACTTTTGATGAGTGACAATGTTTTGCACTCGAAAAACTTTCAAATGAATCTCTAATTAAGTTTCTAAAGATCTCTTTTATGCATGGGGAAACTTTAATGGGTCCATAAATTCTTGCAAGTTGTGAAAATTAGTTGAAGAAATGTTTCCCCGGCTTTGGCTCATTAAAGAACGAAGCCTGTTCAGTTTATGGCGTTTATGTAATGAGTGTAATTCCGTTCGAAATTGGGTCAAGCACATGGTATGGTATGGTAGGAGTAGCACTAGACTGCTGCTCTGTTCGCACTTTGGGGCTTGGTCCACAACGGGATTGCCCTGGGGACGAAACGGTTTGATTAGGCTAAAATGCGGCCCACTCATGTGTGTGTTTTTTGGGGCCGACAACTATGCCAAGTTATGGTAGCCATAACTTTCGAAAGTGGCCCCAAAGCAAAGGTAGCAATAGGCAGTCAGCAAGGGTTGCCATCGGGCAACCTTCATTGACAGCTGCTCATAGCCGTGATAAAACTTTCTATGGCAATCCTTAAGTGCGCCCCCGTCTCTCCTTCCTTCCACTTCCACCCACTGTTTATTGAGCACACTGCGGCAGGGCGAGTGGCTGTTAGAGAGGCTAGAGACGAGGCCTGGCCCAAGCCTGCATTGATTCAACAGCCACTTGACAACCCTGGCTCTGCCTGGCTGAATGTTGCATGTGCATTGCACGTTTCGCTTGCTTTCGGTCTGATTTTGGCTGGGCTAATCGATTCCCCAGAGCCACCTTGAAACTCTTGCACCGCTGTGCCGTTCCGTTCGTGCCGAAGCGCGCTGTCGCTCTGATAAATTAGCAGCTGCTTTCACGGCAGACTAGAGCCAGAGAACACTGCGGGTCAAAGCGAAGCGTGAAAAAATGCGGACACTATCATTCCACACGTTCCAAGAGGGGTGTATGTACTCGTACCCGTGGGAGGGGTTTGTGTGTGTTTGCTAGGGGCCGCTTCCGCTTCGGGTGCTACGAGCCTCCATAATGAACTTCCGGCCATGGCAAACGCTTTTTCTTTTTCTTCTTTTACTATTACTTTTGTTGTTGTTCCACCATTGGTTGCTCCTTCTCCTGCTCCTGCTCTCGCTCTCGTTTGTGTAATTTTCATGCGTTTGTTCAGCCGTGATTTATGCACATTGATGACGTAGCGGAAAGGAAAATACAGCCAACGAGCCTGAAAGCCGCTCTCTTTACGGGCCACGGGTCTTATCAGCCCCCTAATGACGTTTAACCCATTGGGAGCTCAAAGCAGAAGAAGAATTTTACTCGATCTATCAAATAATACTTTTTATTGCTTTATCATAAATATTCATGGGGGGTTTTTTTCTTCTTCTAATAAATATCGAACATAGTTGGGGTTTGGATTTGAGTTTGGGTCTGGGGAATAGTCATTTAAATTGAAATTTTGGCAATGGAATTTCACTTTCTTATGTGTTTCACTGTAGCTCCTGCTCCTGGCACTTAATGGGTTAAGTTAATCGATTAGGGCGCCTCCTCCTCCTCTTCCTCTGCATCCTCTGCCTCTCTTCTAGTAGTCTCTCTTTGTCACGCGATTCCAGCCACTCTCGTACCGCTCCACCTCAAAGAAGTTGTTCAGGGTCTGAGGCAGATTCTTGCTCTTCGCTTCGGTCCCCATTATCCGCGGGGGCGTGTATCGCTTGGGCGTGGTCGCAGTGGCCGCACTCCCCGCCTGCTTAATGCATTTCGCTGCCGTTTCCGTCGCCTCTGGGGTGGGGCTGGGGCTGGCCGTAGGCGTGGGTGGCGTCGCGACCTGTGTATGCCACTCGTAGATGCGCGGCGGGGCAGCAGGCCCGAGGGTAGCTGGCGACCTCAACTGCAGCTGAATGGTGGCCCGGCTAACGAAGAGCGGCTCCTGGCCGTAACCATGGCTGGCACTAGAACGGGGACTGTGACTGACTGTGGCGGCCATCTGGGCGAATCGGGTTCCACTTTGCAACTGATTGCGAATTCAGAATGCGAGTGCCAGGCCAGGCAGAGGCAGAGGCAGAAGCAGAGGCTTGTTTGCTCTGTGGTTTTGTTCTCTTGTTACGTTTCGTTTTCGGTTGCTGCTCCGTAAACAACGCGTCTCAGTCGCCTGGTGACGCATCCCCGAGATGGGAGAGTGCTGTGTGTATGGCGATGGGAGCCACAGAGACTATAAAACAAGTCACGACCCGCGGACAAAAATTACTCATTGATTCGCCACAAAATTGTTAAGTGAATTAAGATGTGATGGGCCTCTTAAGTACAGCAATTCCTCAACGAAAGGTTAGCTCTCGTGAGTAATCACGCGACCATCGCTAACTTAAGTACAGTCATCGCATGAATTAGCATATTGATGAGGAAAGAACATGTCTGATTCAGAAGGAACAGCTTCTTTTAACATCTCTATGTTAATAATTTCAACTTTAAAGTGCATTCGTGACAAGTCACGCTACCATCCCTAGGAAGTGGTTATTTCCATTTTTATAAGATTTCTTAGCTCAATTATTGTATGAACGTTGATAAGAACCCGTCACTCCCGCAATCTGAATGAACTTCTTCTGCAGTATTCCACCCCCCATTCCACTCTCTTCCGGTGCTTATCACGCTACCATCGCTAGCATATGTGCTCTAGAAGCTATCTGACGAGGCTCTGGGCACGACTGCTGCTGCTGTTGCTGCAGTCGCTTAGTCAAATTTTAGTGCCATTTCAATAGCGGCACTCGAAACTGGTTTCTGGGCACTGGCACGGGACAGGGGGGACTGAGAGACTGGGGCAGCAGGCAGCCATCGAGGCAGACGCCCACATGGGCAATGTCAATAAATAATCATAAGCACAACAAAAAAATTAAAAATAATAATAAATAATATTTAATAGTCATTATTTTGTTACCTTCGCAAGTGAACCAATAACAATTTGATGACCAACTTCGTGTGGAGGTTCTCAGATTGGATCTAAGTATTGCTTTTTGCCCCTAGATTTCATACGTAGATGGCGCAATCGGTGTTACTTTCGGGGGAATCTTTTGATTAATATTCATCTGGAATGAAAGGAAGAGTTTGAATTGAGTATGGATCTCATCCTCCCCAATAAATATCTTCTTCATGAGTGGACTTTATCTGCTAATAGTTGTATGGGAGTGTGAGTAATGAGTGCAGGCAATGCGAATATCTAGTATTTCTCTTTATGACCCGATAAGAGGGAGTGGTTCTACATATGTGATTCATTAACATGAGATATTTAGCATTATCTTCTCTGCCATTTTCTATGATTTGAAAGCGCTTCTTCAGTTGAGATACCGATGCCATATGCTTTCGACTTAGGCCGCTTTCCCAATCATCGACCAACTCATAACCGAATGAGTAACTCACATCAAAAGAGTCTGTTCCCATTTGCAAATTACCCAAGCACTGAGGCCTGGGCCGATGCTCCACTTTTGATATGCAGGGCACCACTCACCCACCCAAAGCGAGGGCTCCAGCCTAAAAATTGAAAATTGTTCAATCCAATCGCCTTCGAGAGGCGTCGTCGTCGTCGTCACTCATTAAGCATTTGGCAGGTGATTCATAAGAATCATTCATTTGTGGCTCACGCTCCCAGCGGGCGTCGGGCTTTGGGTCTCGAGTGTCCGCCCACCGCCCCCACACAGAAAGGTGGATTAATTGAGTGGGTGTGGCGGCGGAGCATGTCGGTGGGGTCCGTTCTCCGTTAGCTGCATGCAAATGCGAGCGAATCGGGAACCGGTTGTAGAGCAAATTTCTTTGTCTGTCTGCCTGGCAGTCTATCTCTCTGTCTGTCCCCGATCCGACCACAAAGTGAGTCAACCTCCATGTGGAGTGCTCTATTTCAGGAGCGTAGGCAACCTCTGACTCCGCTCCTGTGGCTCTAATGAGCCTATGATATTCACAAGATTAAATTGAAGAAAAACACACTCCGATAGATCCGAGGGTTGTCTGTGAATATGCCATGAATCAGACAAGTCGATGCCGACGATCGACGGCGACGAGCCACGCGAGCGATTAAAGCCGCGTCAATTATTTGCTCGGCACACGCGCCAAAATGATTGCTCACAGTGCAAATGATTGATAAACATTTACATTACCAACATTTACCATTCAACATCCACATCTACTGCCAGTATAGCTACGAGTACATCATCATCATCATCATTGACATCGACAGTTGGCAGCGCGAATAAGTGCAATTTGTTAATTGTTGCAAAATGTGCTGCTGCATAATTTACTCTAAAGATAATTGCCCATGAAAATCGCGGCTCACAAAAGGTGCCGCATGCAACAAGGGAGTTCTGCCAGCGTTTCCAAAAGGTCGAGCCACTTAATTGAGGATGTCTAATGGGGGATGTATAGTCATTGAGGGGGGAGCAGCACTATTAAAGGTAAAGGTCAGTAAAATGACAAATTTGTCAGTCAACTGAGGAAGACGATTTCAGTGCCTTTTTTTAAGCTATTTTTACCGCTAGCTACTATTCCGACTAAGAAGCGTTTTAATTCGTTATTTTAATTGAATGCGAAAGGATTCCCCGAATCTACCTGACTAATTAGCAAATACTGACATTATTTTTCTTCCCTTTCTGAATATTTTACAGACACTCACAGCGAGAACTCGACCGTCACGAAAACGCCACTATTCCCGAAAGATCTATTCACGAAAGAACAGCTTGAAAACGGCGCTGTTATCCTGCACATCATTGGAGTAATCTATATGTTTGTGGCGCTGGCAATTGTCTGCGATGAATTCTTCGTGCCTTCCCTTGACGTAATCATTGAAAAGCTCGGCATTACAGACGATGTGGCCGGCGCGACTTTCATGGCGGCGGGTGGCAGTGCCCCCGAGCTCTTCACAAGTGTGATTGGCGTTTTCGTGTCGTTCGACGACGTTGGCATTGGTACGATCGTTGGCTCTGCGGTCTTCAACATATTGTTCGTGATCGGGATGTGCGCCCTCTTCTCGAAGACGGTGCTCTCGCTCACCTGGTGGCCCCTCTTCCGCGACTGCTCATTCTACAGTATCAGCCTCCTGGTGCTGATCTACTTCTTCCGCGACAATCGCATCTTCTGGTGGGAGGCCCTCATCCTGTTCACCATCTACATCGCCTACGTGACCTTCATGAAGTGGAACGTCGAAGTGGAGCAGTGCGTCAAGAAGTTGATTACCAAAAACAAGGTGACTCGCGTCCGAAGTACAGATCAACTTATGCCAGCAGTAAGTAGTTGGGAAGTTTTTTTGCAACAAAAAATCAAATCAAATCAATCCAAAAAAAAAGTCCAACAAAATCTCTCTCTCTCTCTTGAAAATTTAAACAAAAAAAAAGAGAAATTAACATTTAAATTAAAAAAAAAAACAATTACAAAAAACGTAAGTCAAGAAAATCTTAAACGTAAAAGAGAAAGCGAAATTGAAAGCCAAAATTTTGTGTGCCACAAGAAAAGAAAAGAATCAAAGAGTAAAACGAAAACGAAGATCCTTTGCCAGGAACGAAATTTCGTTTTTGATTTTCGTTTTGTGTATGTTTTTCCTTCCTTTTTATCCCCCTAAGCCCCCACTAACCCCCCATCTCCATCATCCATACTGATCCATCTCCCATCTCCATCTTTCTCCCCATTGCATTCGAGCTGTTGGCGCGTGCCAGGCACTAACCAGTTGGCAGGTGTTTAAGCTTGTGTGACTAAGGGCAGCACCTCAGATTGCTGTGGTTGTTTTTGCAATCGCAGATGAAGCGTCCATGACTAAGAGATCTCTGCTGTGACATTGAAAGCACGACTCACTAACTCAGCCTCTCACTCCCCAGAGTTCGACTCAAATTTCACCTGCGACACTGCCATTCGAGTGAGTCCGTACCGAAAACAGGTCCAGGAACTGAAAGCGGCCCACTCTCCAGTACCTTGACCTACTCTTGGTTTCATTACAAATTGAAATCGGAAATCCGAAATCCCAGTTTTTTTAAGTATATGGCATTTCTAGACCCATCTTTGGGGTCTTTCCCCCCCCTAGAAAACCGGTTTTTTCTAGTGTCTTGGGGAAAATACCAATAATATATAATAATTTCAAACCGGTTTAAAGCTAGAGGGGTTATTTTTACGCCCGATGGCGCAATTTAGATCCTCAAATATATATAAAAATATAAGTAATAGAGAAAAGTTAGTTTAACCCGGTGCGGCTCTACGTCGATCAATTTTCTAGTAGATTCTCGTAGTTTTAGACTTAACCTGTACTAGCTATATTTAGGGAATTTGTAGCTAGAGATCCTTTTTGGATTGTTCTAGAACCGAACATCTGCCAACTGGTTGGTACCACCGAGTGCGTTCCATCTCCAATTTCTACTAACTTTTATTATTATACTATAACTATTCTTTTAAATACTCTATCTCTCGATCACTAGTTAAACTCCTTGTTTTTTCTTTAGTACTTAGCTTCGAATCATTTGTTAGTCAAAAGTTTGATTTGCTATGCCGTCTTTTCGACTTGAACACCCTAACACCCTAAGAGACACCCACACACCTGAGCAGACACACCCCCAGACACTCACTTACACTGCTGATACCACACACCTACACAGGCATACACTATGTGCTCCTCACACGATCACGATCCGTAGAGAACAAAACTCTTCTTCTGCATGAAAGTAAAGTAAATCTAAAGCCCAAAAAGAAACTTTGCACACAGCTTGAACTTGATCTTGAGCCGAGACATAAACCAGTCGTCCGTCGCATGCAGAGTGCGCCGTGAGTGCAAGTGAGAGCGGAGCGAAAGAGTGAAAATGAGTGAGAGAGAACGCGTGCGCATGCGTAGAACAGTTTTGAGTTTTTTTTCTGTTTTTTTTTTTTGTATTCTACGCTTCTTGCTCTGTACAATACATCCATCTCGTTCGCACACACATTTCATTTGTTGTAGCACACTTTCGTTATGTGGTGAAAACTATGCTCCTTTGCCACGGGGGGATGGTAATAAATCCTGGTAATAAATCCTCTGGGATGGAACTTTTACCTTTAATAACTTCACTCTACTTGGAATCATCTTGGGCTGAAGCCTTTATCCTTATAGTTCCACAATATGCTTGATTGATTCATTTAGAATGCGGTCTCCCGAACGATAAGACGATTATGAAGTATTTCAATAAAAAATATTCTTGCTTTATTATAAAGAAAGGCATATGACACATATGCAATTAATAATTACTCACATTACAAAAAGGAGTCTAAGACTATTAATAAATATGTAATATATTTCGCTAACTAAAGTTCACTCGAATGAACACTATCGAACTCTTTCTGCTGCAAGAAGAGCCTTGTGCTGTTATGATTGACTAATTTCGTGGTATTTCGATTGTCTTTTCGATCTTTGGGCTGTAGCTAATACTTGGAATGGACCTTGTCATCCTTCTCAATGGAATATGAGTCTGTCTCTACACCATGTCTGGATGTCTTGGCATCAGGACCTTGGGCGACATGATCACACCTTGGTTGTAGACGTTCGGCGGTTGCATTGGCACTGGCGGGGCACATCTCAGGCTAGGACTCGGACTGGCGTGGACCTGGGCGCGCTGCAGCCTCGGGAGGGTGGCACTCTGTAGGGGCCGTGTCTCATGCTTGACGTGGATGCGGGCCAAATCGCTTTCGATAAGCAAGGGGTTGCTGATGGTCCTAATCATCTTGGGGGTCATGGGCCTTTTCTTCCCACTGTCCACAGTGTCAATGTTTTCCGTGGACACAGCCTGGTAGTGGGACTTCTTGCTCAGGTTAGCCTCGGGGTCTTCTTGGGTCTTCTTCAGGTTGTGCCACATCTGGATGTCGCAGACCTTGAGCTTCATATAGATGAAGATCACTATCCGGTAGAGGATCACGTAAGCCACCATCAGGCAGAGGCCGAAGGTGCAGTGCTCGGCCACTGTGTCCAGCAGGTGGTTCATATCCACCTGGATTATGTTCTTGTCCTTGCATATCTTGTAGACCGCCGGCGTGATCACCATCCAGTACAGCAGTACCACAATAAGTTCGATAATCCTTTTTTGAAACATTCTCGCTGTGGTTGTTGTTCTTGTCGATGTTGGTTCTCGATGGTTCCGCGGGGAAGAGGAGCGCGCGCGCTTCAGAGCTCGATGCGGTTCGGTTTAAGCTTCGTTACTAAATGATGCACGGAGTGCGCAAAAGCCTGCTATATAAAAAAATTACAACGCCAATCGACCGCACTGATCGATGCAGTCAGCGCGGTCTCTGCTCGGTCTCAGTCTCACTCTCAGACGAAGCTCTGAAGTCTCAGCGAAGCTCTACCTCGGTGGGGCTCGCTTCGAGTCGATCCAACGAACGACGGTCAGCGATCAGCGATCTTGTTTATCAGTCGCGTATGGGTTTATCTTTAATCGTTCGCTATTCCAAACACGGATTGTATGTAAACAAAGTATGCCTACGTCAAAATCGAGCCACAGTACCAGGAATATCTACGCTTTTTCTTGGAACTGGTTTCGGGGTCACCCTCTGGGCGGCAGGCTGCTACTTCTTCCGATTCCGATTGCATTTCATTTCGAAAACGACAAACAGGTTGAGTGACAAATTGAGCTCAAGTGTGAGTCGGGTTTCATTTGTTGTTTGTTTGCTTTACAATTTGCATTTCTTAGATCATTTGGTAAGCCTCTCAGGTCGCCCTCTTGACTCGAATACTCGAAATCAGCAGGCGAAATTTTTGAGCTGTTGAATTGAGTCTTTTTTATTTGAAAATTGCTGTTGAGAATGATTCATGCTGAACTTAAATAATTCATTATGTGATTTAAGCGCTTTGGTAACTTACGTTGCCCTGCTGTCTGCTGTCCCTCTCCAACACAGCGTCTTTGTCTTTGTCTCCGTCTCCGATTGGGTGATGAATTTTCGATTTTATAAAATGCTTTCAACGTGATTTCATACACTTGGCTTTGGCTTTGGCTCCAACTGCAGCTCCGTCTCTGGTTAATATAGATAGTCCACCATTAATTGTGGCTAATTTCATTGTAAAAAAACAATCAGACCCAGCTGACAGATCTCCCTTTAGCACGGGTTCAAGGTGATTAAATCCAGAGGGAGAGAGAGCTCTCTCTATGTTTCGAGATATTCCCTCTGCTTGGATCGGATTTCGCAGGTGTCTTCTGGCTTTGCGTCAGAGATGAGTGAGTTAGTCCGAATCGTGAATGAGTGGTTGGGGGGGACTAGAAATCCCATAGTATGGGTTTCGATCAACAACATGACTGGGCATTAATTAGCATTTTAATCGGATTGGTGGGGTAGTTCACCTGGCACGAGCCACTCGACTCGCTAATGGTGGTCTGATCTTGACTTGCCCTACACCTGCTTCAGTTGCAGTTCCAGTTTCACTTTGAGTTCGATTCATGAATGGAGTTACGAAAGACTCGTTCTCCAATATAACGTACGAGCGTACGGGTATGGGTACGGGTACGGGTATATGTAACACCAATTATCATCTCGTTTCCATTCATTCATTAGAGTCCCCATTAGTCACCTTCCCCTCCACACACACCCATCATATATATACATATGCATATATGTAGTTGTAGTTGTATATATAGTATGTACATGTATATGGTTAGTGCCTGCACTTGTTACACCTACCGATTCCAATTCCGACTCCGACACCGACCCGATCCTACCTCATCTGCCTGCGCTTCCTTCGCTAATGTGCCAATTAATTCGCATCAATTGAAAGTATTTTTCGATTTTCAGTTGTTCTCTGACAAAGTTTTTCCAAATGTTTTTGTGTTTTATCTGTTTCTTTTTGATTATAGTGAAGGCAAAATGAAATACAACAAAACTTCCCACTGCGCTTTGACAAATATCAATACAGATATCGTATAAAAAATATATGTGTATATTTTGTTTGATCAAAACAACCAAAAAAAAAAAAAAGAAAAAAGTAAAGAAAAACCAAAAAAAAAGTCATTCAAAAGCTTGTATGTATAAAAACCCAACAAAAAATGTTGCAACAGACAAACAGAAAAATTTTCAACGACCAAAAAGCAAAATGTTTTCATCATTACATACTTTGTTTCCTCATCTTCGAACTTATCGTTTTGATTTTGTAATAAATGTAAGACTCGTTTGGATCCCTCCTATGAGGCCTACAAGCATGTCCTGATGCTACAGTTCCACAATCGATCCTATGTACTGTATATAACACACAGATCCAATCCAACTCTTTATTTTGTTGCACAAAAACCTCCTCCTACGCAAGTATTCCAATCTAACGACGATGGCAGACAATCCTAGTGTTCCTTAATGTTCCAGCGACTAGCGATCCATCTCCAGAGGCTGTAAAGTACTCCCATCAGACTATAGATAGATTTCAGTTTATCAGATCTTAAGTGGTCCGTGTATTGTACCGTATTGTGTTGGATGTTGTGTGGTAAATCATCTCTTTCGACATTTGACTTGATTTTGACATTCATTGAGTTCTGTTCCGTTCGGTTTTTGTTTCGATGTCTTGAGTTCTGTTCAGATATTGGCTCCCAACTAACTTGCACTTACCGATTCGATTAGACCTTAAGCTACACACCAAACATACAAACAAACAACAACACCAACAAACAACCAACAACCAAGAACCAAGAACCAACAACAACAAAAGCAATCACAGCCAGAAACAACAAGAAACAGATACATACATATATGTATGTACAATGTACATGCAACATGACAAAAGATAGACAAGAGCTACTACAAATACTACACTCAACCTGTAAATTTATACAAATTGCAATAATAAACTTTTCTTCTTCTTCTTTTCACCTTTTTCTCGAAATATGCTTACCAAAAAAATACCAAAACTAAATCCGAAAACCATTACACCGCCCTCTCGAAACTCAAAACTCAAAACTCAAAATACGAAACAATAATCCGTTATCTGTAACCCCGTAACCCGCAACCCCGTAACTGTGTGTAAACCCGTAACCGTACCACTACCACCCACGTACCCACGTCCATCCGTTCTTGTTCTTCGTTCCACTTCAGGGTAATGCGGCAAACTCATCGGAAACCTCAATGGCCACCCAGCCGGGCGGCTCGGTGACATCGCGTGCGGCGAGCGAGACGCGCTCTGGACCGCCCGGCTCGAGCAACGCGGGCGCTACAGGTAATAGCAGCGGTGGTGGCACCTCGGGTAGTACACAGACCGGTGCCAAATTCCGTCATGGCCTATTACAGCTAATGATACACACGATAGATCCACTACACGATGGTAAGTTCTTTCGTTCGTTGAGCTGTTGCCACAGTGTGTTTTGCACAAGTCAAGCCTAAAAAGCCTAATGCCTAACAAAAAAAACTAATATGAGAAAAGAAAACCCAACTAAAAGTCCCCCTAAACCCCCAATATTCCCCATCAGCCCATTCCAGATCCCTGTTCTAATCCCCAATCCTTGACCACCACGCTTACATCCAAAATAAGATAAATACAAATGCAATAACATATATCTCAACTACGCCAAACTCTACTCTATATACTCTACTATATATGCCTTCTATATACCTTCACCTGTACCTTCCACCTATCACCTACAACCTGTACCCAGTATCTAAAGTTATGTTATGTTCAGTTTTTGTTCCTTTTGAAAACTCTGTGTACATTCTGTGTTCTTCTAATTGGATGTTTGACTTGCCAGCCAGGGGGTTTCTTTTTCTATGCTTTCGCTCATTCTGTACTCTACCCATTGCTGTATCCATATCCGTATCTATATCTGTGTCTATTACAATTTCTATTTCCATTTCCTTCCCTTTACGTTGCGTTCTTGCCTTCGGTTTTGTTGTGTTTTCATATTCCTTTTTTTCCCTTTGCTTTTCTTTCTTTTCTTTTCTTTTCTTTTGGTTCTTATTTCTTTTTTAATGGCGACCTTGGAGCCACTTACCTAATTAGCACGCCAGCCAGCCCCAGACGGAGCGTCGACAAACAGTGCGGATGTCCGTTAAGGGGCAGGGGGAATTGACAGCTTAACCCTTTTGTTTAGGGCCCGGCAGGAAGACAGGAGGGACATCCGACTTGAGCGGAAAATCATTTAAAGGTCATCCTGGGACTCGATTTCGCTTCCCCCCCTTTCCCAGATTGATTTTGTTGCAAACCAAAACCAAAATTTCCAATCACCATTGATTTATTATGGATTAGGCACATTGTAGTAGCAGGGGTCTGTGCATGTACTCGTACCCATAAATATGTATGGGACAGACCCAACGTTGAGTCGTTGTTGCCACGGCAATGGCCCACACCGAACGAACAACAGCCAGGGTCGGCCTTTGGGGCGTGCTCGTCAAGGTTCGCAGGTGCAAAGTGTTAGAATTCGTGTAGCGCCAAGTGGGGGCCTACCTCAACGCGGAGTGGTGTCTCCCAGCTATACATTGAGGGAGGTTCCGATTTAAACTTAAGATGCCTGTACCTAAATAGGGGATTTGAGGTACCCCAGAGGTAGATTTCGAACTAGAGAGCATTTATTATTTGGATATGCAGGGAATCCCCCCACAAAGCGGTTTTACGCTTCGTCTAAAATTTATTCTTACATTTTGAGTTTCTGCCGCCTCACAGAGCTGCTATTTGCTAATTTATTTTCGCCTTTGTTTTGTTTTCATTTTGTTGCAAACAACAAAACAAAAGAAAAAAGCATTATCAACTAAAAGAATGAAAAAAAGAAGAGAAACAAACAAGAAAAAAAAATAAACCATAATAAAGAAAATATTTTATGTTGTTCAATGTCAGTTTGGAGTTACATTTATACTACCAATATATCCAATATCTATAAATATATATATATACATATGCGTTATATATCTAGCATTAAAAAAGTTATCATAAATTCCTAGAGTTTTTGAGCGCAGCTCAATGGCATACGTACTGGAAAGATACTTACGAGAGATATACTAGATGTATCCTAAAGTATGCCGTAGTACCTATGGAATTGTCTGTGGATTGAGTTGAGTTTGACGCGTGACAAAAACAAAACAATTTATTGGATTGTACATATTAACTATGCGTTGTCAATGTTGTATGTGTTAATCGTAATCGTTATAGTAATTGTAATTGTTAACGTAATTGAAATTGTAATTAGTTAGCAACTAGTACAATTGGCTCGCTGGCAGCAATGCTGTTCGAAATTGGCTTCCACTTAGATCTAGGCTTAGGCTTAGACTTAGGCTCGCTCTCGGTCTCGGTTTCATACAACTCACTCCGTCCCACACCCATCCCCATATCCGAGTATATTTAGTCACAAAGATCATTCAAAAAACAATCAACGCGCTCGATCCGGCTCGGGCTGCATGTGCGACTAGTCGAGCGGGTTGTTTTTGCATAGGTTTTTGTATAGGCATCGCTTTATGTCACTATGGAATGTTTGTCTAATATTTGTGTGTTTATAAGTTTATTTGTGTATGTGCGCTGTATGGGAATTGTGTTTTTGGGGCTGCAGCACTTGGTGGAAATCCGGCAAGAACCGATCTGAACAGAGCGGAAGCCATTCTTATGGCAATGATCTCAATAATCGATAATTGTGTGTGACCCAAGAGCACAAGTCCCATCATATCTTTTGTTCCGTTCACTGTATGAGCATGTTCTGGGTCTGTATTCGAAAGACATCCATTAGAATCCCCCTCGTACATATCACACTTACTGTACACTTACATGCAATATATATATATATAGTAGATACGTAAGATAAGCTATGATATAAGTCTATTGAATCGTGTACATATATACACACATATGTATATGTATATACTAACGGAGCAATGCTAGATAGGGGGTCCTTCGAATAGCCATTTAGTCCGACGATCCCCTCAAGAAAATATCAATTTAAAGAGTACTTCATGCCGCATTGACAACAACAAACAAAAAAAAAAAACAAAAACAATTCTAAAAACCCATCAGAAACCCCCCGTCCGATCCCGAAACATCAGCATCCAACAACCAGATCGATTAATAATAATACAAACTCTTAGTGCAAAACACAAGTTCACACTCAAAACATCGATCGAGAATCGAAAAGTTAGACCAAATACCCATGAGACTCTGACTCTGACACGGTAAATATCAGTAGTGATCTCTAGTCTAGATCTAGTAACTATATATAGCCATAGATGTAGTAATAGTCGGCTTAAGAACCCCCCGCTACTGTCCATTGCCCTCCCAATGTCCGCACTATTCTACTCGGCTGCTCTTCCGCTATACTCTGTCATCCCTATACTCTCTCCATAGACTAGACTACTTACTACTCGTATATACCCCCTACTTATTCGTACTTACTACAAGCAACCTCCAAATGCTGTTTCGCAACTGACATCAACATTTTGTATAAAATATTTTCAATATACCTACATATAGATAAACGTATATATATGCGTATATGAACGATCCAACCAATCCAAAGTACCCCGTTGGGCTAGGCCCTAAATTTGTTTGTAAATTACAAAGCTCTAAGAAAAAAACTAAATCTGAAACCGAAACCGAAACTCGTAACTGGGTTAATTCGTTTATTTCTGATTTTAATCGATGCAATTTTATTCTTTCTTTTTCTTCTTTTTTTCGTTTAATTTTTCGCAAAAAAAAATACAAAAAAAAATCAAATAAATAAAAAAAAACACTTGGATTTTGCGTTCAAAAACTCCATTCGTTGTGTGCCAACAAAAAATACCAAAAAATACGATACCGAAATGAAAATCGAATACCAAATACCAACTACAACAACAACAACTACAACTATTACTACAACAACATCGCTACTCTACTCTGCTACTCGCAACACACAACCACACCACCACCACCACCACCTACAAAACCACCAACAACACCTTCAACACCAACACCACCACACATGTTGTATTGTGTAAACAACAACCAAAAAAATACTGCATTATTTATCGAAACACACCCTCCCCAAAAAAAAACCACACACAATTACAATGACAAAGATGATGTTCCAGGCAAAGTGGACGAGAAGGCAACGCAGCTGCACGCCATTGCCTCGCTCAAGGTGCTGCTGGACGCCACCAAGCCGCAGCGGGGTGGCGCCACCACCTCGGCTGCGAATCACGTCAAGATCAACCTGAAGGAAACCGTCCTGGCGGATCGTCCCAATGGGAATATTGACACGACGCTCGATTCGGTAAGTTGTTTTGATCATTTCGCACCCCCTCCCACATTCTATAGCCCCTCGTCCGGGAGGATATATCTGCAACATATATGATGTGCTAATGAATTTATCCTCATGATTTCCCTTAGGCATGACTTTTCAGTTTCAAATATTCATTGATTTTATGTGTTCTCTGATTTTCCGTTTTGATTCTACTATTTCGTTTAAAAACAAATTGATTGTGTCACACAAAACGCGCTGCATTCTTCATACAAGCAATAATTAGGAAATATATATGTATATTGTATTGAATATCGTAAATCGGAATTGAGCTAGTGTAACATTCGCCGTGGCATTTGTGTCTGAATATCGTAACCTTAGATTTCCAGGAAACTCGGGACTCATAATTGAATATCGTATATGGAATATCGAGTATCGTATTGGAAATATCGGGAATTTTTTATCGTTAATCAAAATATCAAAATCGAATATCGTATTCGTCATAGAATAGGATACAAAAGACTCTACCGGACACGGGTTTAGCGACCAGTTCAAGCTCTCTACAAAAATGTACACACAATTTCACAATTCTAGCTGTTGGCATGTTTCCCTTACATGGCTAATTGATTGGTAGACTGACTGATTGATTGATCGATTAACTGATTGATGCAACGTTTGAACTGATTCTAAACTAAATCCTGGTGTGTTACTGCTACTCCCCCACCTATTCGTACATATTTGATGTTCTCTCCCTAAGTTTATTCCCAACCTCCCCCAATGTGTGTTTCCTCTTCGATGTGTTTTTAATTTATAGATACGTTTTCAATCCGTGTTTCTAAAATGTCAACTACATGTGTGTAGGTCCCAACGAATGAACAAAAACAAAAACCAAAGAAATTGAAACAGTGTATTTATGCAACGTTTATGTGTGACTTTAAATGGATTTTTGAGTTAATTCTTTAACGATTTGTGTCTGAATTCTTTTCCATTCAACTGTTCCACCCACCCCATCCCCCACCACACACACACACACGCCCAAACACCCCACTATCTCTCACACCCAGACACAAACACAAGACACTCGCCTCTCTTCCTGTGTCTCTACTTTCTGTTACTTTCTGCGTGTATGTTTATGTATCTCTCCCCCTTATCACTCAACATTCCCACATCTATCCATCCATCTAAAACAAACAGTCTATCTATCTATCTGTGTGTGTGTTTTGTCTTGCCCCAGAAATAATAATAAACAATAGCAATATGAAGAGCTAATTCGGAATAGTGAAATTTTTGCATATACTCGTACCGTATGATTATCGTACCCCCATTTGGAACTCATTTGCTTTGTGTCTTTACCTTACCTTATTTTATTTACCTTTACTCGTACCTAGTGTTGATCTACCCACAAAAACACAAAAAAAAAACGCATATATAGACAACAACAGACATTACTCGTACAAATATAAAGGAGAGCCAAACGATGCCTTGCATATTACAATTGCCATTCATATTTCACTAATGTGCGGTGCGATGCAGTCATTCCAATGCAAAGTAGTGCCTCAATTGCTGCGCCCCAAACCACCAATCGAACATCATCGCATACCATCCACACCCCATGACACCCCACGAGACACAGCAGCTCCAGCTCCAGCTACAGCTCTAGCTCAAGCTCCAGCGTACATATATCGTAATATCGTAATCGTTGGCATTTGGTTTTAAACGAACATTCTTATGCATAGGCGCAAGCACTTGGCTTTGGCCCCCAATAGCAGCAGCAGCATTGCATTCCGGATGCTCATTCCGCAGCCCCTTGCAGAGGCTATCAGAGTTCTGAGATCATATCTCATGTCTGTCTGTATCCAAAGCAAGAAACAGCTGAGATAACTAATTTTCATACCATCAATCAATTAATAGGACATTCCATAAACGATCTGCAAGGGTATGTAGCCTTCGGTTTGCCGAAGATAGACCCCGCTTTCTAGTTGACGCTTTTTAATTACTTTTTTGGTTCTATCGATTTATGCAAAGATCACAAAGCAAACAGACAAAATTCTGAGCCGCTGAATCGATGGCTCGATGGCTGCCACCTGCAATTTAAATCTGAATTCGACTCACGATTGACAGAACATGGAATATCTCCGAGTTGGGCCTCGCTCTCAAAAGAAAATAAATCCAAAAAAATATACTTCGATCTATCTATCTATTCAAATCAAAATCTAAATTTAAATCTATATCCCCTTCAAAAGAAGCAAATTGTGCTTTTGTTTCAACGCTATCTATCCCCACTATCCGTATCCGTATGTGTTTGTTATGTGAACCCCGAACAAATCCCAAGTACACTTATTCTACACATTGCGAACAGTCTTCTTTCTTCTGTCTATCCCCCAGTCTTCTACTATCTGTAAAAGTTTAAGTTAAAACGTTTTAATCAAAGTTTTATTTCGATATCTGATCTGAATCCGAGAACTTGAGTGCCAAACAAGTGCCAAAAGCTTATAATTACAACAATCTGTCTCTCTTTCTATATAATGTGTATACTCTACTCCCAAAAATACCTTATATATAAACATCAATTATATATATCTAAAATATCTTGAATAATCAACTTAAAGCCATCGTTGAGTGGTCGACGTCCTAGCTGGATTGAGCAGAGGGTCAAAATTCAGACACGCAAATTTAGCATCAAAGTTAGTTTCATGAACAATTTTTATTGATCTCTCTCTCGCTATCTCTCTGTATCTATCTATCTATCTATCTATCTATCTATCTATCTGTTTCTGTCTCTACATACTATCTCTCTTCAATATATTGCATAAAATCTTTATCATTTCTTATTACAAATACTACTGTATCGTAAACAACGAAGCTTTTATCTTCAACTCAGTAACAAAAGAATTATCCGACAATAGAGCACGCGGTCTCATGGCACACAATAGCTCCTTGGTAGTGGCCTCGTCATAGATCACAGACCAAAGAAATGTATATACATAGATAAATATAAAACTATTAAATTTATACGTATGTAGACAAGTTCCGTTAAGTTCCTTAAAAGTACTTTTATAGATGACTTGCCATTCAGAAATCTCCCAGGTAAACAAATTTAAAGATTCTCTGGAAGTTAATAAGTCACTCTGATGACAATCGTTCAATATGATTGATTAGTAAGAGCCGCAGAGCCGCAGCCCATGCGATGATTAAGGCTGACATAAATGTGAAACCAGATCCCGAATCAGAATCAGGGCTTAGGGGGCCACTGGCCAGGAGCGTGTGCAGTGCCAACCGCAGATAAATTTACACTTAGAGAACCGTCACCCACCGCCCACTTATCACATAGAAATGCTTCAGTGTCGCCTCTGACAAACACACTCACATCTGTACACTTAGTGTAGAGTAGATCTTAGATAGATATTTGACCTAGATCTAGCATTTTCTTATAACCATTTTTACTTTCTACTTTCGTTTACAATTAATCTAATCGACTTGGTAGACGTGTCGTTGGTGTGTTGTTGCACTTGCTAAACAAATACGAGCATGCCCACTGTACCGCAGTACCACTGTACCTACTTGCGATGCTGATAGAACTCTGCACGTTTTAAGTCTCTCACTCTCTCGTATCGTATCGTATCGTATCGTAATGTATTTGTAACTTTGATAGAAAGTAAGTGCACCTCTCTCTGTACCACACTAAGTATTTTGATTGAACCACACTCTGTAAGTCCCACAAGCCCCACAAGAGGAAACGAACCCAAGAAACAACCTGCAGACTTTTCTTAATTCAAAATCGTAACAAAATTTGTACTATGACCAAGAAGTATCTAAGTATCTGTAACTCACGCTCATCTGTATACAAAGCTCATAAGGCATTCCACAATTCAAATCGAATTCAGTCTCTGATCCCCGATTCACTCACTCACTAAGCGAATAACTCGTACTCGTACATAAGAACCACTCACTCACACACACACTCGGCATTTTTACTATATATTTTATATAACAAATTCCATATTATATATTCTCTATTATAAATACCATAAGTACTTTATACGGATACTATGCCTATAACTAATGTAAAGAGCAGCAGACAAAAGCGCACAATGTTGAGTCCAAGGGTTCTAATCGAATGTCTCTTGCTCCCTGCTCCCTTGCCTACTGCTTCCCGACCCGAAAGGCGCCCGAAATCGAGGACGAACCGGAACCCCTGAGCATGGCTTGGCCGGACACGGCGCGTAAGCGCCTCACTTATGTCCTGGTGGCCCCGCTCCTGGTGCCCATGTGGCTGACGCTGCCCGATACGCGAACGCCGCGTGGCAAGCGCTTCTTTCCGGTCACCTTCATCGGCTCCATTGTATGGATAGCGGCCTTCTCCTATCTGATGGTCTGGTGGGCAAACGTGGCCGGAGACACGGCCCGCATACCGCCCGAGGTACGTTGCCGATTCCATTCCTCCATTCTTTGCGGGGTAATTGAAACCTGAACCCGAGCCTCAAACTGATTCTCTCTTCCCTCTCTCTCTTCTGTTCTCTGTTCTCCTTCCCGTTAACGAATAGGTCATGGGACTGACCTTCCTGGCAGCGGGCACATCCATTCCGGACTTGATTACCTCGGTGATTGTGGCACGCAAGGGATTCGGCGATATGGCCGTCTCCAGCTCCGTGGGCAGCAACATATTCGATGTGACTGTGGGGTAAGTAAATCCATTTCCAAGTACGATACCAACAATCCTGCTCCCGAGACATCGAGAACTAATCTAATAAACTAATATGAATGCATTGCAAGCTTACCGATACCCTGGCTGCTCTATGGCATCATCTACGGTGCGCCCGTTGAGGTGAACTCGGTGGGCATGGTGTGTTCCATAACCATTTTGTTTATGATGCTCGTATTCGTGGTGATGTCGATTGCCTGCTTCCGTTGGCGCATGAACAAGGGGTTGGGCTTTACCATGTTTCTGTTGTATTTTGTCTTTGTCGCCGTCTCGCTGATGTTCGAATACGATGTAATCACATGCCCCTTCTAAATATGATGTGGGGGGCACGGGCAAAGACAAAATAGTATCAACGGTAACCGAGGGGTACCAATATACATATACCGCATAGATATCGAAGATAAATATGTATATCGAAGATATACCGGAAAGAGATTGAGATACAAAACGTGTTTTTGATAGCAAATCTCTTTCTCTCATCCAATTAGCTAAATTATATACAAAGCAAATTAATGAATGAATAACAAATTAATTACCAGTGGACTAAAGCTAAATAATCGAATTGTTAAACAGACACAGAAACATTCACACACAGACACATAAATACACACCCATACAAACACATGCGAACATGCGAAAACTTAACGTTAAAATGCGAGTTAGTTAGTGCCAGCGTTTCTTTTTCGAAAGACATTTACTTTAAAGTGTTTAGCCGCAGCTTTTTATGCATCCTGTACCCTATACCCCTCTATACTCTACGAACTCTATCGTATCTATCTATCTATCTATCTACCTATCTACGATCTACCATGATCTACTACGAGCAACCTTATTAGAAAGAAAGACGAACAATGGCTTCCCAACCAATTACTATCTATCTATGTATCCACCTAAGCGTTTGGGTTTAAACTATTCTAAAGGATTAAACGATGACAAGATTAAGACAAATATATATAAACTGTATATCTTGGCACAATGGCACCCACTATTCACGATATGAAGATACGATAAAGAATAGCGAAGAACAAGCAAGCAACAAACCAGCAAAGAATGCTACTACTTTTGTCGCCTTTCAGTTGCGTGCTCTACTAAGATTTCTTCTCCTAAAACAAGAGCCTCTCTCTAAACTCTATCTCTAGTTTAGCCACTTATAAACATACATACCGAATACGGAGGAATATATACCCCCACATACCCTCACACGCACACTTACAACATGGCATACTACTATATATTGACCTACACTACATATGTATATTGATTAAGTGATAATTTGCATAATTATTAAACAAGCAAAAGCTAAAGCAAAACTCTCAAAGTAAGCTATAATTATACTCGAAACAAAAATCGAATCAAAGCGATCAGAAAGCGAACAAGAGACAAGAGATCAAGGAATACTTTACAAACATTTTGCTAATGTATTTGCCACATACCAAAAAAAAAAAAAAAAAACTAATACCAAAGCATTATGATTATCGATTATACTGATTGAAATTCCAAGTCCAAATCCAGTCCTAATTCTAATTCTAGTTATGATTATGATTCTAGTTCTGATCTTAATTCTAATTCTAATCCTAATTCTAATTCTCATTCTTGCTGACGTGTAGAACGAGCAGAATTTAAATTTAAATTGAAACCATATTTATTATAGACTATTTCAAATCCAAAAAACTAAACCAACTTATAACAAAAAAAAAAAACAAAAGAAAACAGAAACTAAACCAAAACTAATTTCATATACTTTCATGCTTAATGAAGAGTCAAGTCCCCAAAAAAGTACATATATGTATATGTATATATATATGAGCATATAAACATATTGATATATATACTATATATATATATATAAACGACATACAAAACGATATTTAAATGAAATACGAAAGAAAATCAACTTGCTCTCTTTATTTAGAACGTACGTAACATTTTTCTAAACTAAAACTAAAACCAAAAACCCTTAAACTCGTATTAAAAAAAAGGTGGCCGCAAACCGAGCTAAAGCAAATGCAAAAGATTAAGCAAAAATAAAAAAAAAGATAATTTAACATAATACGCATACATATATACACCTAAATATATACATACATTATATATTTTATATATAACAGAAGATAACTTACTATATACATACATATACATATTTATATATATGCAAAACTATACTTAAGTAGGCAATGTATCTAACGGATATCCAAACGTTTGCATATGGCTCGCAATCAAGTTGAGGAAATGACAGAACAACAAACATGAAACAACAAACAAAGAGAAACAAAGATACACGCCCATACACACCCATACACAAACACAACATACACACATAGAACAGAAAGCAATAATTTTTATTACCAGAGATCTAGAAGGAAGCAGTGACATAACTTTATATACGAGTATATACATGTATATTGTACACCGGTACTATTCGAAGCTCGAAACTGTATATCAAACAGCAGCAGCAAACAGCAGAAGTTGTAGTGGAAGCCATCGGAAATAGTTATGTATGAATATATAGACATACATACATATATGCAGATGCAGATACATATATATGCTGTAATGTAATGTACTTACTGAATAATACGATATGCAAATGCAAGAATTAACGTAACTAAGTGGCTGCTCTTACACCCCATGGGTGCAGTGCATTCGATTGCACACAGATATTTATACATATATATATGATAAATAATATAAAATATACATATATAGATTATGGACAGAAACCAGAGATCACATCTACAGCGGAGAAGAACTTAACACCAAAAAGCTAAAACAGAAACAGGAGCCAGGAGAAGAAGACATTGTACAGAAACCCCTCCTACGACTCGCACACGGACAATGCTTACATCAGAACAATGCTCTCTCTCTCTCTTTATATAAGGCACACACCATCCATCCCTGCTATTCGATGCACTAGTCCAGGTTTGGCTGAGATCTTGGGATGTCCTTCTACGATATATGGGGTTCTCTAGCATGCCTTAAACCAAACCAAATGTGAATAGGGAATTCGTAGAACTTCTCCTTAAGCTTTCTTGGATCACTCCAATCATTCCTTTCTATGAGAGTTCTCCCTTGCTTCTCGGCTCTCATGATTACACTCTCAACACCAAAACCATTGACTGTAGTCCATCGATATCGATATAATAGATACATATATCCCAACTAGCAAGCTCACTTCTCACGAGTAGATTGCCTCGGTCGCCAGGCTTTAACAGAGACAACTTCCAAGAACAAACAAGAAATTAACTTAATCTTTTATACATGCTGTATGTTAAACTAAACTAAACAAAAAACAAAAGCGAAAAAACCTAAAAAATATCTTCCAAATTAACTTTAAAAACCAAGTCATATATATATATTATATAGCGAGCAAATACTTGAAAACTAAACAAACATTCATACTTAACTGAATACATCTTATTAGAACCTAACAAGAAGGAACACCCAGCAATTACTTGTACTAAAGATTCTCCTCACTCACAACAAACACACAATCACACATATCGCGCCCACTTTTTCTCTATAAAAAAGGTACACGAAAAGTACAAAAACCTATGTAGGGCCTACTACTACGAGTATGCTGCGATATCCCAAGAACGTAACTAACAGAATCGAAAAATTGTTAACGAACAGATACATTTAGCTTTGTGAGGCACTCTTCTGCTTAACGAAAAGCAAATCAAAAGCTAATCGGAAAGAACAATATTACATTGAAACACCTCCCCCGCCAAGAACCACTATCCCAAGTCCCCACATCGCCCCAAACGCACACACTGAACACACACAAATGTCGGAGTGGCCGTATAAGTCGCGCTTTAAGAAGAAGTATATACAAGAAACATATATATATACAGATATATATATGAAATTGTTATGGTTATAGATTTTTAACAAGTTGAATAATTGCATAAAAAGTAAAAGTGACAAAAAACCAAATAGAAAATACAAAAAAAAATTGTTGAAACATTAGCAAAAAACGTTCATAAAACAAAAACGAAGCGTAAGGAAGAGAACAAATAATAATAATTATAAAAAAAGCAGAAGAAAAGCGAAAAGAAACGAAACAGATATAGTAATGCTATATATACTTTATGAAATATTTAACTATGAAAATAAAATCATTGTTTGAAATTAAAGTAAAAAAGTAAACTTACTAAAAAAAAAATAAAACAAAAATTCAGTGTTTGCTAATTTTGTGTCCCGACCAAATTTTGAGTTTGCAGAATAACCCAACCGTAAGTATAGACCGATTGATTTCTATAATTCGTTCCGATCAATTGGCATTTTAACGACCTCAAATAAGAAGATATATATTCGAACATTTGTATGAAATTAGCAAACACACAAAACAAACCCAAGCACAGACCATTCGAAAGCATTTCTAGAGATGTGGCCACAACAATTACTACGAATACGCTCTCAAGTCAATCACCTATAACAATCGTCTGTAACTGTAACTGAACAACAAAACTACCAGAATAAACACCAAGAAATACTCGTACGAACATAACTTATGCGAACGATCTAACGGTCTAAAGAACGAACGAACGAACAAACAAACGAGCACATAATCATTGATTTCAGCTTTAAATAATCTATAACTAGACTTAAAATAGACCGTACTACTTATATAGAACACACATATACAACACAAATAATTATATATATATTGACTTTTATAAACAGGTACTATATATTACGAGTACGTCTGGGGATGGGATTTTATTATGCAAACCGTTGAAAGAGAATTACTTTTTTTTTAATACGAATACGAATACTAAATACGATAACGAATACAAAAATATAAATAAAACAAGTGAAATGCAATGTATACAATACTTATATTCGATTATACAATATTTAGAGAGCGTTCAAGTTGCGTCCGTTGTTTATAACACAAGAAACACAGCAAACAATAAATTTCGGCAGCCGCGTGAAACGGAACGGAACGAAACGGTACTGAACTGGCGCTCGGCTTCGATTTGTTTTTCGATTTTTCGTTCGATAACAATAACGATAGCGATACCAAATACGATAACGACAACCGAAGCAAATATGAATATATGAATCCAGTAAAAAGTAATAGTTAACATATTGGTAGACTTATTTAACGATTTTATAGCGTTTTCAAATTTATAAGTGTACGAACAAGATGCGTTTATTATTTGTAATGCCAGCGATGTAGCGATGTAGCAAATGGGGACCGGACACATCAGTATATAGTGCGTGAACGGGAATATACATATATAGCCGTCGTGTGTAATACAATTATCATTACCCACCAAAATATTTTGCGTTGTTAAGTTTCGATTGTTGTACTTATTGTTGGACTTTTACTTTACGAGTGTGTATTTTTTCGATAAACAAAACCAAAACCAAAACAGAACGTACAGCACGGACAGGTCGAGTGTTGGAAGATGGGCATGTAATTAGTACAGGAAGGATCGAGTAATTTTAATAGTGAACAATGAGAGTATTATAATAACAGACATTAATTTTAATAACTGATACGCTTCTAGCACATAAGATTGTACAAATGATTTATATACATAATAACGACAAACCACGAAAAAGGCGAACAAACACAGAAGTCGGGCTTCAGTTATATTCAGATCGAAGAACACTATATATTCCAACACCCCCTATGTTGCTGTTAGTCATCGGAGGACTCCAACCCCTCGGGCCCCATACCGTCTTCGGCCTTACGAACGTTCGAATGATGAATATATAATGAAATACAGCGAGTTATTTACTTTATACAAGTACGTCTAGTTAACGACATTTAGATTTTATACAAAACACACATACACATTGCCACACCGAAACACACCTCATTCCCTTACACTCCCCAAAAACCGCGAACCAAAACCCATTCGGAGCTCATCAAAAAGAAGAAGAAGAAGTACAGGAGCAAAAGGAGTAAAGCAAATCAAATATATAGTCAATTTCTAAACGATACATGCAAACATATATGGCTGGCACTCAAAAAATATACAATACATATATGAAACAAGAATTATATAAAGTTATGTAAAAGCATTTTAAAGGATCGGAAATAGGGAGCATAAGGAAGGAAGAGTGAAACCTAAAGCCGATTGGAGCGGATCTGATCGGAACGGAAGGGAATGGAACGGAAACGACACTTATGTAAATCAAAACGAAGCTATAGCAAATAAAAACCAAATGTTAACTAGTTATTTAGGTGAAATATACAACAAATCACACTCAGATACAGATAACGATAAAGATACAGATACAGAACGAGCAGCAGATACACAGATGCATTTACATTGCAGACAGACACTAACACACCCACATACACACACACACACGCACACACTGACACGGACACACGAACGTCTGTAACGGTGTGAATGCGCCGTTACGCAGCCAGAATTGTAGCAGAGCCGCAGCAAACGAATATAGAAACGAAAGAAAGAAGCAAAAATCCAAAAAGAAATGGCCGTTTAATAAACTTTTGTTATTAACAATGCAATCAGTCGTAAATTGCAGTTGATTGCAGTAAAGCATGTTGCGAAAACCAAAACGAAGTTAATGTTCAAACTAACTAATATATAACGAATATTATATAATACAACAAACTTAGACTGTATGTTATTTTCTCAATACAATACCTATAAAAAAAACAATAAAAACAGATTCAATAAAATGAGTTATCCAAATGCAGCACATGGCGTTTTAAATATTCAAATTCCCCGCTCACTTTTTTCCTTGGTATATTTACGGCATATTTTGAAAATGACGTTTCTGAGGTTCCAGTCACACTCGATAAAACAATTCAAGCGAAATATTTATTTTTCCATATATTAATATACTTTTGAAAATGACCGCCAAACCATATCAAAAGCGCAACGACTGTAGCTCGATACTATCATGATAGTCTCAAAACCATCGATAGTAGAGGCTAGCAGCAAAATATCGATACTATCGATATACCTCTACCACGCGACCAACAACACAAAAAACGTGTGTTTTGGTGTGCTGCGTGTTTTTCCTCAAATTAATCTGCATATAACAGATTTTACCAGACAAAACGAGCATTTTTCCAACCATCCACAATGAGACGTCCGAAGAAGGTAAGTGGAAGAGCAATCGCAGTATTTTAGATACCGCTGTGAGGTTATGTTTTTGGAGCACCCCTTAATGCTTGTCCTACGCAGTACGAGGCCGGTGAGGCCACCCAGTACATCAGCCGTCGGGCAGCGATCCGGAAGCTGCAGCTGTCGCTGAACGATTTCCGCCGTCTGTGCATCCTCAAGGGCGTCTATCCACGCGAGCCCAAGCACAGGCGCCGCGCCCAGAAGGGATCATCGGAGATCAAGATCCTGTACCACACAAAGGACATCCGGTTCCTGCTGCACGAGTCCATTGTGTGGACACTGCGTGACTACAAGGTAAGTGGAGTTTGGAATGGCAGTCTGAAAGCAGCCCCTTGAATTGTTCCCCCCTTCCAGATCTTTGCAAAGAAAAGCAGCCGCGACCGCGCCATCAAAGATTTTCGCAACCTGAAGCGCAGGTTGTCTCTGTTCCCCGAAATCAAACTCGATCACATTGTCAAGGAGCGCTATCCGACCTTCATAGACGCCCTCAAGGATTTGGATGATTGCCTGACTCTGCTCTTCCTGTTCAGCACGTTCCCCTCGCTACATCTGATTCCCCGCGAGCAGTCGAACTTGTGCCGACGTCTGACCATCGAGTTTCTGCACTATGTGATTGCCTCCAAGTCGCTGCGCAAGGTATTTATCTCCATCAAGGGCTACTACTTCCAGGCCGAGATTAAGGGCCAGAAGGTCACCTGGATCGTGCCCCACTACTACCCGTTCAAGCCGCAGTCGCGCCAGGAGGTTGACTTTAAGGTCATGTCCATTTTCGTGGAGTTCTACACAATCCTGCTGGGCTTCACCAACTTTCGTCTCTTCCACGGCCTCAACCTGGCCTATCCGCCTCAGTTCCCCTCCAGCCTGCTGCAGGACAACGCAGAGACATTCAAGGACGAGTCCAGCTTCGTGTCGGACCGCATTGCGGCCCTGAACTTTGAGCTGCTGCGCACCGACAAGGTGCAGGAGGACGAGGAGGAGCCCGACATTGACATGGAGCTGCTGGAGCAAGACGGCGACTCCAAGCGCATCATCAAAATGAAGCAGGATGCCCAGGAAATAACTCGTCTGCGCACCCTCTTTAAAGGTCTAAAGTTTTTCATCAATCGCGAGGTTCCCCGCGAGCCACTCGTCATTCTCATTCGCTCGTTTGGCGGCAAGGTCTCCTGGGACGCGTCCGTCTTCGCCGGCGCCACCTTCGCCGAGAACGACGAGACCATCACCCACCAGATCGTGGACAGGCCCAGTCTGAGCACACAGTACATCTCCAGGGACTACATTCAGCCCCAGTGGCTCTTCGACTGCGTGAATCAGCGCCAGCTGCTACCCACTAACGACTACTTCCTTGGCGAGACTCTTCCGCCCCATCTCTCGCCATTCGTCGACTCCAAGCGCGAATCGTACATACCGCCCGAGGAGAAGGCCCTCCACGATCCCTCTCTAATCGAGACTCACGGTAAGTTCTCTAGAGTCGAGTCTTCTTGATCCTCAAATATATCTAATACATAATTCACATCTTTTTTTAGATCAAAGTGATGAAGAGTCCGAAGAGGAGGATGCCGCCGAGAAAGAGGAGGAGGAGGTGGACCAGGAGCTGCTCGACGCGCAGCTGCAGCTGGCCTATCAGCAGGAGACAGCCGAGTACAAGAAGTTCGGAGGCCCCGATGGCGTCAACGAGGACGAAGAAGACCTCAGCGAAGAGGACGAAGAAGACCTCAGCGATGAGGACGATGATGATGATGTCGATGAGAAGACCAAGCGCAAGCAGCAGGAGAAGGAAAAGATGTCCGTGCAGTCTGGCAAAGTGCACAAAGTGAACAAGCGACAGGTGCACAAGGCCGAGGTGGACGAGCACCGCCTGCAGGCGCGTATGGTCAAGCCACGCCATCGCAACCTCTTCCGCAAGCTGATCCGCGAGAAGCAAACCAAGGAGAAGGAGGAGTGGCTGCTGCGCAAGAAGCGCCGCAACATCGACGCCGACACCAAGGAAGCCAAAAAGACGGCAAAACGCGAAGCCCGCAAACTGGCGGCCGAGGCAGCCGCCCGTGCCGCCAAAATGGTGAAGTGAGCAGTTGGAATGCTGTGTTCGAGTCTTGATCTAGGTACAAAACAATAAACAATGATAATCGAAATCCATCGAATCCTAAGTATTTTTATATATATATATATGTATAATCTTTATTTTGCACTTTACAAAATGATGAACAATTAATTTACATGCGGGGTAAAAAACTGAGCTAAAATTTAAAATATTGTACAACAATTGTCAACAGCAACTCGAAATTAGTTTTAAAATCAATCAATAGAAATCTGTTAGCAATAGTATCAAGTGGTTTCGGGGTTTGGTTTCCTTTCCTTCAGAGTCCTTCTTCGAGAACAGAACACAATCGAATCTCTAGGCCCAGCCATGGGGGGTAAAAACTTAAGCAATAGTTTGTATATAAGTATAAGTATATCGTATCCGTATCGTATCGTATCGTATGTATATAGTAGTATATTGTATAAGCCCTGACGCAGTCCGCAGTCTGTCTGTAGTACATATCTATTAATCTACGTGTATAATCGATCGCTAGTTAAGTCCTAAGTCAAATTTTTCGTTTAACAAATGCCTAACTTCTCGCCAGCTTCCATTTCACTCCATTCTACTCTACTCTATCCTTGCTTTCTCTATTCCTCCTAGTCGCTATCGCTATCATCTCCGCCTGCCGCACCATCCTCATCATCATCATCGTCACTGTCCTCCAGTTCGGGCATAGGGAAACGCAATAGAGCCGCCACTCCAGTTAGTTGAGCCAGTTCTGTCGATGAGAATAAATCAAGGAATGAAAGATATAGAGATAACAGCCGATTGGTAAGTGAGTCTCAAAAAAGATCTCTAAGGTGACGGGAACTACGTAGAATTTCAAGTCAATTGCATGCTAGATAGGCCCATGACATAGTCAACTACAACTTTTCCACTTAATGGCCTGCCTGGGGACGTGGGCGGTTCCGATTCAAGGCTCACCGGTTGTCGGTTCTCGGCTGTGACTCAATCTCTGAACTTGGCCAAAGGTTCTCTCGGTAATTCTATCTCTCTCTTTGCCTGCCCAATTATCGCTGGATTAATGTAGGTTCCACAAGATAATACTTTGTTTACTCGAATCATTTTTGTGGGTTGCCAGGCCCCGTCGCAATCGCTTAAATTCCACTTCAATGTTTATATATTTATGTAATTCCAAGCTGATTAAAATCCGCAGCGGGAAACAGTTGCTCATTCAGCACTTGAGCAAAAGATATCGTACGAATGGGAAGCACTTGAGAAATACTTGCAAGTGTGGATAGACGAGCATTAGTACAATGTATTGGGGGATGGGGATGGGATCTGATCTATTTCGGAACCTGCAACGACCCATTTTCGCGTCGAATCGGAAAGTGCTGCCAAGATAAAAGAACAGATTGGCATCCACGTGAGTCATTTGTCGGATGAAATGACTATTTAAAGCATTCAACACCACACAAATATGTGCAATTAATGCTTTCTAAATTACAAATTGAAATGCAAATGAAATCGAAAGTCCCTTCCGAAGGAGGCAAACATTTTGGCAGCCTTTCAATGCAATCTGGTGATGATGTATTCCGCTGTGAGATGTATGGATGGACTTTGTAATGCGGGAGACCCCTCCAAGAAATACGTCTACTACATGTACGCATATGAAAACAACATCTAGTGGCGCAGTGCAGTGGGGGATTTAAAAATAGAATATTTAACGAGGTCATTAGACAGGGGGAGGCCAGGCCCCTGCACACGAATATTAAAATTGAGCAAGCAAAGCATAGGAATTACAGAAGCAAAAACAAATGTGGCTGTGGAAAGTAGCTGCCATTGGAGATGCTCATCTCTATACACAAAGAAGTGCTCTCCCCAATCCCCCTTCATAGAAGTTTCTCCATCTTCTGCAGCTGCAGAGTGAGTCATTGGATCTGTCTTCGATGGAGAAATCCTCTCCTTCGTTGCTGCTACTCACGTTCTCCTGAGATGTGCATGCTGGAGAAGATTTTCACCTCGCCTCCAGCATCGCGAACAGACTCCACCAGGGTGACATACTCCTTCCTGAGATTAACATCCTGACATCTGAAATAAAAAAGAAGGAAACATGTAATAGATATTTAACATATGAATCGATTCATCTATTATCCATTTATGGATCGTGATATCTATTGCATTTTATATTCGACAATCGGATGGATCGTTAAAATGCCACATAGCAAAGTGCTCGATCATGGCACGTGATGGGCATAACAATCCAGAGTGGTGGATAAGGTGTCAAGTTGAACTAGAAATTGTGTCTTCCCTTGGAACGGGCTTTTCCAAATGCACGGGGAATGGAATGCACGAAGTCAGTCACAGTCAAGAAAAGCGCATAAAATGTCTGACAGTTCAAGAACCTCAGATAAATGATTATGTTAATGATAACCATTAAGCATTATCATTAACAGGTAACGCGTACGAGAGTACGAAAGTAAGAACAATGAAGCGAAGGAATCCCAATCCCATTTTAATTAAAACCGCTTTTCTGTTTGCAAAGAGAGAGAGTTAGCGCGGTGCAGAGAGCGGAATTTAATTCGATCGGTGACCAGTGGGAGCAGCTCTCCCCATGTGGAAGCCATTTACGTTCCACAGCACGTGCAGTGCTAGCAGAGTGAGAGAGCTGCTTGTGGGACCCAGCGGCAGTGCCTCGTCGACGTCTTCGCTTGAAGAATTAGTTGCAAAGCGGCTTTCTTGGGGGACGCATCGAAGAACGTGTACGAGGCTCGGAGACTGCCACGCGTAAAGAAAAATTGGTGCTAAGACCCGCGTTACAGCTGCTGCTGCCACAGAAACGAGTCTTCCATCCGTCCATCCATCCATCTATCAGCAAACTGCAAGCTGCAGCCGAACGCAGAAATACTGCACAAATCACGCATACAAAAAAGGTGTGTGGAACGGAACGAGTGAAAGTTGGACGATAGTTGCACTTGGGATTGTTGTTCATGGAGGGAGATATTCCGCTGACAGCTACAGTTTAGGGTTTCCAGCCGTTGACTCAGCGGAAAGCAATGCAGCAGCAGCAATTATATACATATGTATATCTGCTACCTGTATCTGCTTTTTACTCATCCGCTAACCGCAAGCTGCGATGAACCCACGAGAGGAGGAGAGCCATTGTTGTAGATGCAATAATTGCTGCTGTTTCCACTGCGTGACAATGATTGCACAATGGAATCAATTGTTATAATGGAATTAGCGTGCACCGTGGGCCCCGGCACCGGCCCCGTGCACGAGGTCCCGCCACGTCTAGCCGAAAGAGCCATGACTTCGCAGCCAGAAAGTACGGGGAAAAGCGAGGGAATGTGCGACACAAGATACGAAAACGAATACGAGTGCGAATAGTATCAGTAAATGCCCGTAAAAATGTCTAATTAAATGTGAGGCCGTGTGCCGGCGGTGGGGGGTGGAAACTGAACTTGACTCAACTGAACATCCTCTTGCCTCTTGCACGAACCTTGTGATACGCTCCAAAAACGCTGACAAAGAAAATAGAAATGGGAATACAGCGAAAGCACTCGAATAAGCTCACCTCCGCTCTTCTTTCTCTTGATTTCTCGACTTGTGAAACATTTGTATGCATGTCTAGGGGGTTTGTGATCTTTTCAAAAAAGCGACAACTCATTGATTTCGCCATTAAATAACCGCTAACCAAACAAAATCCAACCCCTGTGATACAAAACACTCGAAACAGAGCTGGGGAATGGCCCTAAGATTCAGTGATTCATGGATATCGTATTCAGTGATACATTCAACCCATAAACGGTGTCAATATCTGATATACACAGACAAGCCCTTTCACTTCTTGCCCATGCTCGTGTTGGGTCTGTTTCCCTATATGTAAAATTACAAAAAATTGTCTTTCAAGACAACATTAACATGCGCCGCCAGCTGCGACAACAACAGCAAACAGAAACAGCCATCGAAAAGGGGGGCACGTTTTGGATGCACAAGACACGAGGTTGCTGTAAGACAAAGAGGGACTAGAAAAACTGGTTGGAACATATAAATATTGTAATAATAAAATGCACATAGAAAGAGAACTAGTTGTCGATGGACATGCCCCGGAGAGGGAGTGAAATCGGTTAATGGATGCAGAACTAGGAGAACTTTATAAGTGGATCATATTACATGCGGCGTGTGGAACCCATTGAGAGCGATTCCAATGGAAAGCAGAAGTGGGAGAGGTGGTGGGAGCGAGAGTGCCCGCTGCTTCAAAAGTGGTCCCCGCCAAGTGCTGATCCATAAACGGAGCGATTAAATAAATTAAAATTCTTTGCTCTATAGCTGTTTTGCTGTTCTCCCAAGCTGTCGCCCACGAATGTTGATGTTGGGTTCTAATAATTAGCACTACTTTAAGCGAGAAACGCTACAAAGAAATGCTTCCAGAGAGCGATGAGGGATATACAGTATATATGTATATATGTACATACATACATCCGATTTACATCAAAGTGTAGTTCAGTTTCAAAGTTTACGTGTGCAAATCGCAAAACTCGTCTGGCGAAAACAGCTCTATAAACAGAAACGAGACCCAAAACCCAAAAACAGAGCACACGCAAATCGAGAGCTCGGGGACTGGGGACTGGCCGTGAGGAGCGGCGGATATGGTAGAGGAGATAGGAGAGCAGGGAATGAACGCACAAATCCCAAGCAACTTTAGCTCCAGCCGTCGTTAAAACTCAACAAAATATATATGTATCTCGATCTCCACTCAAGTTCCTACTCAAGTGCCGGCCACTTAACACCCTCCAAGATGCTCAACCGACAGCCCGACTACACCATCTCCGATCTGGGCCATCCCTGGCCATGCGACCATCACATGAAGATGAGAAGAGAGCTTTCGATGACTTGTGGCACACCTCCAGCATCGCCCAGCCGCCTCCTGCCCATGCGGGAGACGCTCGACGACTACTTCCAGCGGCTGCTGAGGCAAGAGGAGGAGCAGGATGACCTGGCCCGACAGAAGCACCACAAGAATCAACGGAATGAACAGCAACGGAGGCGGTAAATCAAATGAGATTTAAATGGAAAGTGCGTTCCCATCTAACCTAACCATTCTCTCTGCTTCTGTCTTTCGCAATTGCGAAACAATCAACAGCAATAAAAAATGTCGAGATAAAGGGGAGACAGCCACAACCACAACCACAGCGACGACGACGACGTCAACTTGCGATTTGAACAATTTCTGACGGAAGACACGGATGGTATAGAGGGGGAATATAGTAGGGGGAGCAACTAATTCAAAGCGGACTGATTAAAAGTGCTACAATAAACACACCTTTTTGCATAGAACTTTAAGTACATTAAACGTTAAGTAAAGAAGAACGAGAACCCGATAAACACTTAATTTTAATTTAATTGCGAGGCAGTTTGGATCTTTCGTTGCTGGAATTTCAACGGTCCATTAAATTCGTACAAAATGGTAAACAAAAAAGCTAAAGATCAGTGCGAAGAGAGGCACAAAGCGGACAGCCAGAACAGACGGCCAAAAATGGCAGAGAACGACGCAAGGCGAGGCACACGGCAACCTTGATCATGAGCACGTCGCCATGGGGCCAACAAATTGCTGCTCTGGGACGTGCTTTCTTTAAATGGATAAAACCTGCGAATGGAGTAGAGATCTATCTACAATACGCAGCGGAAGATTAAGAATCGTCCAACATAAATGGGGGCATCATCATGATGGGTGGTTGGGAATATTCTCATCTATAGAAAGCAGACAGAGTATAGACATCCAGGTTCACTCTCTCCTCATGCATCTCCCAATGAAGATCTATCCATACATTGGCATCTGTTGCAGAATATACTGTTGCTTTCCCTTTTCTGATTCTGCCAATACTCTAAATTAACAATTCAAATATTAAGATGGATTTCCTTCCCTCATGAATCCAACAAAACATTGCCAGATGCTCCACCTTCTGCACATATGTGAACATAAATTGTTGTCGCGCTTGTCGCTAGCAATTGGCTAAAGTTGAAGGTTCTCTGTGTGCTATCGTGCTCTTGATCTCTCCGCTTGATGGGGCTTCATGTGTCCGTCTGTGTTCTTCCGCTTGGAATTGGCCTTGAGAGGGAAATCCGCCAAGTGTGGACGACGGGGACTCACCTAAACAGATTGTCGGAGATGAGCAGCGTCTCGATGGCCTGGGATTCGGCAGCGCGCAGCACGTGCTTCTTGCCATAGAAGGCCTTGGCCGGTTCGCATTGGAGCATCATGTAGAACTGTTCCAAAGCCTTGACCTCGCCAGCGGCCTTTGTATCAGACATTTTGGCCACCACAGCGGGATCCTGGAGAACTTCTGTAATTGGGAATGGCGAATAATTGCAGAAGACTATCCAAAAAAGAAGGGATTGAGATTGGCTTACCCTTTAGCGAATGCTTGAACCCTGACGAGGCATGGACGAGCATGAATTTGCTCTTGTTGTCCAGCAACAGCTTGTAGTCCATTTTGACGGCCTGCTGGAACATGTAGTCGTAGAACTGGTCCCGCACAAAGCCGGGCGAGGCGATCAGCACGCACTTGACCACATCGAAGTTGACGTGACGGAGGATGCTCTGCATCACCTGCTCGTAGAACTTGGCCAGGCCCTTCTCGTGCTGCTGGACGCTGCCCTTTCGCTTGCGTGGTATGGAGACTTCGATCTTGCTGCGCACCAGCGTCATGCTGGCGGTGATGAGGCAGACATGGGCCAGTCCCTCTTGCATGACAACGGCGGCAACGTCGGCCGACTGGGTGGGATCGCAGGCCATCTCGATGCGCTCCAGGGCGATAGTGTCCCACTCGGGCTTGCGCAGCTCGAACTTGCGGTTCAGCTCGAGGTCGAGGGTGTGGTAGGCGCCCATCTTCACGTAGGGATTCTCCTCGATGTTGCGCCCTTTCAGGCGCAGCACGCAGGCCTGGGTGTCGAAGTCGATCGTTTCCACGGCGATGGTGAGGGTGGTGCGCACCCGGCTGCTGGTGGAGGAGCCGGTCGCCGTCTCGTTCTGCACTTTTCTGATGGTGGTGCTGCGGACGCTGTCGCCCTCCGCTATCAGGTTGTACGCGTGCCACATGTCCTCCGACTCCTCGGGCATGAGGGTCACATTGCTGCAAGAAAACCGATTGGGGAGCGGAGGGCATTAATGAATTCCATGGGGAATGGGAGCACTTACCCCTGCATGCCCTTGTCCACGTATTTGCCCAGCAGTTTCATATCGTTACGCCCCACGAATCCTGCGGATTCCCGAATCCCTGCGTCAGGGAGGGTTTACTTTTGTAGGGTTTACTTTTGTTGTAGGCACTTCGTGCTTTGCGTTTGCTGCTGCGGGGAGCTGCTTGTCACTTGAATCTGGCTGTATGTTCCCTCGGGCCACGTGAATCGCAATGCATTTTTGTCATTTGATCAACCAATTTCCCAAATTTCACACAGTCGACCCGAAGTTTCGGCGGACAAGTGGCATTCACACGGAACTGACGGGTCGGGAACAGCTGACCCGCTTCTGTGGCGGTATATATCTGGTATTTTCCGATTCCGAATTTCCGGTTTCACGCATCAGCATACGGTCATACTGGACATGTGCTAAAAATTAGGAAAATCCAAATATTCCGATTTTGTTTTGTACTGGAAAAATACACGCTACACGCTTTTATTTATGTTACGACTTTGTACGCATGGTTGCTTAAACCATTCACTTAAACCTAAACTAACAGCCTTTCAATCTCCTGCTGAATGGAAGTAATCTGCGACTTCAGTTGGCTGCCCTCGTTGGTGGTCACCGAGCAGGCCACGATGGGCCTGGAGACGCCACAGGCGCGGCCCAGCGCCTGCTTGGAGCGCACAAACACATACGGCACGTTCTTGTCCTCGCACAGCAGCGGCAAGTGGAGCAGAATCTCGATCGGCTCAGTGTCCCCAGCGAGCACCACAATGTCGGCCAGACCACGGTTCAGCGTCTTGGTGGCCTCATTGGCGCCCTTTCGCAGCTGGTTGTAGTTCAGAGCCTGCTGCAGCAGATTCATTATCTTGGCCGTCAGTTGGGCATCTGCCAGGGGGAATGCTTTCGGGTTCACTTCCTCGGTCTGTGGGGGCGGTAGAATGTTTATATTTCACTTGGGCAATGTTCGCAATAAGGATGCTTACCATTTTAATGATTGTTTTAGTTGTTGGTTGGAATATAATCAAAATTAAATGCAACCTCTCGGCTTGTTGCTTCACTGAGGGCAATGGCGGCGGTACACTTACTAAAACACGTGCATTAGCGATGTAAATACCAGTTGGGATTGTTGATATTATATCGATATAATGATATAGGTGATATTTTTTATTTTTGATACGATAATATCGGTACGATACTTTTGTCGCCGACTATGTCAAGAATCGATATTTTTAGAAAATATCGACATTGATTGGGATGGGCTCAGTGTGCAGAGGGCATTCGTTTAAAGGGAAGATTATGAATAAAATGTTTAATTTTGAACAATCCTCAATTCATTTCGGTGGAAAAATAGCATTCAAAACTATCGATGGCGCTAATATCAATCGTTTGATAACCATAACCAACTATCGATGAGTTGGGAGTGCCATGCAGCCCTGTAGTGGCAATCGAATCTGTGTGACGCGCTTGCAACCCTTGCATTTTTTTCGCTTGCTTGTAGGTTAATTGAAAGTATTTTTTTTGCAAATAAAACGTTTATTGAGCTGAGAGCGCACCAGCAAACTGGCGACAATGGCGGGCGGCAACACTCCGCGTGTTATACAGGTGACCAACATTGCGCCGCAGGCCACCAAGGACCAGATGCAAACGCTGTTCGGCAACATTGGCAAAATTGAGGAGATCCGGCTCTACCCCACCATCCGAGATGTCTCGTGCCCTGTGCAGTCGCGTATCTGCTATGTGAAGTACACGGAGACGACCAGTGTGCCTGTGGCCCAGCATCTCACCAACACGGTGTTCATTGATCGCGCCCTGATTGTCATCCCCGTGCTGGCAATTCCCGAGGAGTACCGCGCTCTGGAGATGCTCAAGAACGGAACCATAGTGCCGGGTCTGCAAAAGCCCGACTCGAAACTGCCGCCCGAAGTGATCAACCGCATCGAAGGCCAGCTGCCGCAACAAGTTATCAAGACTTATGACCCCAAGCTGGTGGAGTTCAATCTGCCAGAGTATCCGGCCCTGCCCTCGTTCTATGACGCCCGCAAAATTGAGGAGATCCGGCGAACCATTATTGTGTGCGATGTGAAGAACGAGTGGCGCCTGGACGACCTAATGGAGTGCTTCCAGAGGGCCGGAGAGGTGAAATATGCGCGCTGGGCCGAGAAGGACAACAAGACGTACTGCATGATTGAATTCTGCGAGCAGACCAGCATCATCCACGCCCTCCGCATGCAGGGACAGGAGTTCAAGGGCGGCTACCTGAGTGTCTATCATTCGACATACTGCATCACCAAGCCGGAGGCCAAGTCCAACGAGGCGGCCCAGGCGGAGATCGAGGAGGCCATGACCATTGTGAAGGAAGCGCAGAGTATGATATCGGCCGCTATTGATCCAGTGATTGGCATGCTGGCCAAGGACAAGCGACGCCGGTCCCGCTCCCGTTCCCGCTCTCGGGATCGCCGCACCAGCCGCTCTCGCTCGCATCGCTCCACGTCCCGAAGACGCTCACGTCGCTCTGGCTCCAGGGAGCGACGCAGTGGTTCGCGCTCCAGGCGCTCTCGCTCCAGGGGAAAACACTCGTCCCGTTCCCGAAGCAAACGCTCTAGATCCCGTCACCGTCGCAGCACCTCCCGTTCGCGTAGATCACGTTCTCGCGGTGGGAAACCATCAAGAACGCGCGGCAAGCGATCTAGGTCCCGTCATCGTCGCAGCACCTCACGGTCCCGACGTTCACGCTCGCACGGCGCCGGCGGCAGCACCAGCAGCAAACGCTCCCGTTCCCGCGAGCGCAGCAAGAAGTCGCACCGCGAGAAGCGCTCCTCCCGTTCGCCCAGGTCGCGCAGCAAACGCAGCTCGCCCTCGCCAACACCGGTGAACGCCCTAAGCAGCAAGACACGTACAAGCCGTAGTAAAGATGTGTCCACGGTTGTCGCAAAGACTGCCTCATCGGCCGTCCGGCGGCGCGAACGCTCTCGCACACCCGAGGCACCAGGACGCAAACTGAAGGTTATCTCCGAGGATATAGAGTTGAAGAGCTCGCGCTCCAGCGCCGATTCCAAGTCCCGCAAATCGGTGAGCGTTGAGAAGTCGGACAACATGGATATATCCAACTCCCCATAGAGCCTAGATATATGGACCTACACGAATTCATAATAAATACATATTTAAGTAATCCCCAATTATATGATGTCAAGTATGAGATTTCCTCATTTCCACTTTCAGTTTCCATCAAGTATAAAGTCAAATTTAGAACTGCAGCAACACGTATTGTATCCTTACTCGAGAGCAGTCATTAAAAATACATAATTAAGCTTCTAAGACCAATATGTCCACCAACTGATTTATTTTAAGGAATTTCTTTCAGTGCATTGCACAGCTGAGGAACGACTTGTTTTTCGTTCTTGCAGCAAAGCTCTACGCCATAAATGCTGGCGATTTCAAAGCTTTGCAAGCTTTTCCCCCTGTCAGCGACGGAGCGAACGTCGAAATCAGACAGAAGTCGAAAGTTGGTCCCATCGAACGCCTGTCGTCAGCGGTTTTTAAGTTATATTAAATCTACATTTGATAAAGAATTAAAACCAAAATCCTCACAAGATGTCTGCAGCAACAAAAGGTATATACATATTGGGAAAACGAACCCCAGTGATGGATAAAGAGTTCCTGGGAGATGAATGTGGTTGCGAGAGACTGGTCGAGGCTTTGCTGAGAGCGAACTTTGGACTTGTTTGCTATCCCCCGCACAGAGCCGGTTGCACTTTGGACCTGTTGAATTGAAAACAAAATTCTGATTTAGTTTCTACAATTTGAATAATCATTCTTGCTTACACGCATATTATAATATATGTGTGTATGTACACAGGTATATATATCGTGGCTGCCAAGCGCACGGCATTCGGCACCTTCGGTGGCGCCCTGAAGGCCATTAACCAGACACAGCTGCAGACAGTAGCTGCCAAAGCTGCTCTAGAGGCGGCTGGTCTGAAGGGAGAGCAGGTAGACACCGTCATTGTCGGCAATGTGATTGCGGTGAGTGGGAACAGAATCCCAATTACCTTCAGAATCGAATTGATTGGGGATTTCTATGTTGCAGTCATCCTCCACGGACGGCATTTATGTGCCCCGGCATGTAGGCCTTAACTGTGGTGTGCCCATTGAGAAGCCCGCCTTGGGGATCAACCGCTTGTGCGGTTCTGGGTTCCAGTCGATCGTAAACGGAGCCCAGGACATTCTGGTGGGCGGTGCCAAGGTGGCGCTGACCGGCGGCGTGGAGAACATGTCCCAGAGTCCGTTCATTGCCCGTAACATTCGTTTTGGCACCACCCTCGGGGCCAACTACAATCTGGAGGACGCCCTCTGGGCAGGTCTTACCGACAGCCGCTGCAAACTTCCCATGGCCCTCACAGCCGAAAACCTGGCCGATCAGTACAAGATCAGCAGGGAGCGTGTGGATGAGTTCGCACTGCTGTCGCAAAAGAACTGGGAGAAGGGTCAGAAGGAGGGCGCCTTCGATGCGGAGATCACTCCCATTAAGCTGAAGGTTAAGGGAAAGGAGGTAGACTTTGTCATCGATGAGCATCCTCGCCCCAAGACCACCATCGAAGGCCTGAACAAGCTGCCCTCGCTCTTCAAGAAGAACGGAGTTGTTACGGCCGGCACAGCGTCTGGCATCTGTGACGGAGCTGCCGCCGTTATTGTTGCCTCTGAAGAGGCTCTGAAGGAGTACAACCTCAAGCCCCTGGCCCGCCTGGTCGCCTTCTCCTTTGTAGGCGTCAACCCAGAGATTATGGGTATTGGCCCAGTGCCTGCCATCCAGAATGTACTCAAGGTGGCCGGCAAGAAGCTGGAGGACATTGATCTCATTGAGGTGAGACCAGATCCCACTTAAAAGGAAAAAGACCCTGTTGACCGATTCCTCGTTTTGCTCTGTGCAGATCAACGAAGCTTTTGCTGCCCAAACTCTTGCCTGTGCCGATGTTCTGAAGCTGGATCCCTCCAAGTTGAATGTGAATGGCGGTGCCATCGCCTTGGGACATCCTTTGGGTGCCAGTGGTTCTCGCATCACCGGTCACCTGGTCCATGAGTTGCAGTAAGTTGCCTGTCGTTAAACGATCCGGGTAGATATATAATCTTTCTTTCCCTCTCGCAGGCGCAAGGGACTCAAGTATGGCATTGGCTCGGCCTGCATTGGAGGTGGCCAGGGCATTGCCTTGCTGCTTGAAGCTGTCTAAGTTGGATTGTTCAGCTAGAGCTGTCCTCCTTTCTGCATTTATGATTATATTAGTACTGAAAATTCCCCACAAAAAGAAACCCCTTTAATTAGAAATAAAGCAAAAAATAATTTTATCTTTACAATTTATTAAATCATTTGCGAATGGAAGTGTATCAGCTTTCTACAAGAAAGACAACAATTGCATCTTCGTGGTATACAAATTTCTATGTTCATTGCTGGAAATGCTTAACGGACGACTGATGGGTGATATGTCTCAGCCCATGTACGAGTTTTGGATTAACGGAATTCTCGCCCGCTGTTTAGGGTAGGGAATCAATCTCTTAGAGGGCCTAACATTACGAGTAGATGACGAAATTTGTTCAGTTCGTTTGGGCGCTGGTGGAGAAGAGTGCCAGGGCTCCGCTGGCGAGGCCAACGGAGAAAATGTAGTTAACAAAAGGCGTCGAGTTCTTCAGCAGAAAGAAGCTGATGAAGATGATGACGGCCAGGTAGATGGAATTGTTGTAGAAAATCGAAAAGGTGGTGGCCTCGTAGTCGGCGACCTCGTTCTTCTTCCAGAGGATGCGCTCGTCCTTCTCCTTGCGCGTGACCTTCTTATCGTCGCCCAGCTGGCGGTTCACCTCGCGGGTAACAGCGTCCTCGCGACGTCCGGCAATCTTGTGCTTCAGCTGGAACTTGATGTTCTTGTAGGCAGTGGCCATCAGATAGGTGCTAGCGGCGGTCACCAAAACAAACAGAATAGAGCTGGGCCACAGGTCCATGTTGTGTATGCGCCAGAAGAGCCCTACGAAGCAAAACTTTCATTCATAAAGGGCGGCCGAAAAAATCAACAACGTGTCACTTTACTCACAGATGGGCACCGCGGAAACGATGAAGGCATTGCCGTAGAAGAGGGCCGAGGACTTTGTGCTCACATTGCGGCTGAAATCCTGCAGCAGAAGCTCTTCCTCCTTGGTGAAGCCAGAAGACTGCACTTTTTGTTGCTTGCCAGAGCCCATTTTTCACAATTTTAGTTTAACGAAAGCAAGAGCTACAGTGAAAGTTGCTACAACGCACACAAAAGTCTATAACGAAGTGTACACGAATGCACAAGAGTCAAGGGTAGTCGGCTTGTCGCCGATGTGACGTGTAAACGTCAAACCCAGAGTTGCACCGGGACGTCTAATTGACAGCCCTGGTGGCCGATAGTTGGCAAGCAACCATTTACCGATAGGAAAGCAACAGGTTCTGCAGCTGAGCGGAATTTGTATTTATATTAATTCAGTTTGAATTTAAAGGTGCGCTAATGAGTAAAGGGAACAATCGGCATCTGTTTAATGTTGCGGTTGTGTTCAAAACAGTCCAATTGTTGAATTTAAAGCTTAGAAGCTAAACTGTCACTGCAAACGGAACCTGTCCAAAGGTCATTTCAAGTTGTTTACATGTTTCGTGCATTTTAGGTCTGTAATGCTCCGAACAAAAGTCTTAAGTCTGGTGGTCCGTAGTGGACCTAGCCGGCTCATGTCCACCGCCACCAAGCTGACCACAGTGGAGGTGAATGACAAAACAGGAATCGCCACCCTTACCATGTGCAGGGCTCCAGTAAATGGCCTCAATTTGGAACTGCTCAAGGATCTGAAAACCTCCATTGACGAAATCGAGAGCAACAAAAGCCGGGGTCTCATACTGACATCCGTAAGATAGTGCATTCAATTCTCGGCGATCCCATATAATCAATTGCATAACACACTTGCAGTCCAATGCGACAATATTCTCAGCCGGTCTGGATATCCTGGAAATGTACAAACCCGAAAAGGAGAGGATTCGTGCCTTTTGGAAACAACTGCAGGAGGTTTGGCTTGCCCTCTATGGTAGCAGTGTCCCCACTGCAGCTGCCATCAATGTAAGTTTCCAGGTACGATACGGATCCAGATACGGCTGTTCTAACGATTTGGTTTCGTAGGGCCACTCGCCCGCCGGAGGCTGCCTTCTGGCCACATCTTGCGAGTACAGAGTCATGCTGCCAAAATTCACCATTGGTTTAAATGAGACTCAACTGGGCATTGTGGCGCCCAAGTGGTTCATGTCGTCGTTCCTGAGCGTCCTTCCACAACGTCAGGCAGAGCGGGCTCTCAATCAGGGCCGTATGTTCTCGACGGAGGAGGCCCTGCAAATCGGCCTCATCGACGAGACTGCAAACAGCAAAGAAGAGGCGGTGGAAAAGTGTGCCGCCTTTATAGGCACATTCGCCAGAGTGAATCCTTTGGCTCGGGCACTGACCAAACAGCAGTTCCGCGCAGCCGATTTGCAGCAATTGGAAAACGAGCGTCAGGACGATCTGGAGAAGTTTTTGTTCTTTGTTAACCAGCCAGCCGTGCAGAGGGGTCTGGGCATTTATCTCGAGGGTCTAAAAAAGAAGGCCAGTAAATAATCATATGTTGAAATTATAGTTGCCAATTTTTAAATAAAGGCAATTCCTTTTGTATTTCAGTTTGTTGAAAATTCAAATTAGATTTCTTGTATTCGAAACCTTGTGTCGTGGCGACGATAAGATAATCGAATGAGAAATCACAGTCGTGGATCGATAATGGCAGAACAGGTTATAATATGCTGAAATGTATACCGGCCAGAGGTCTGAAGAAGAAGGCCAAAGAGCAATAATCATTTTTTTACATTTATAAAAATAATATCAATGAAATCATTTGAATTTATGTTCTAAATTCGTTCCTTTCGATAGGCAGTTTTCACGCGCTATCGATTGCCGATCTCTGTGTTTTCTTTAGGTTCGCGTCCCGACTGCAAATGAAGAAAAACGAGTTAATTTGTTTAATTTTATGCCTGCCGCTGAGTGCGTGATTGCTACTCAAGATCAAAAGTCGTAGAAATGTTGCGCAACAGGGTGATAGGGAATCTCCGGCAGATAAAACCCATCCTTTGGAGCCAATCTTTGCGATCGCTCTCAAACGCAGGAAACTCGGGTCTCACAACGATCGAAGTGGACGACAAAAGTGGAATTGCCACATTATCAATGAGTCTGCCGCCCGTGAACACTCTCACCTTGAAGCTGATGCACGACCTAATTGATTCCATCAACCAGATTGAGTGCAACAAGAGCCGTGGGCTCATTCTGACGTCGGTGAGTCTGCACAGGGGACAAAGGCGTTCTCTGACACGATTTCTTTATTATTATCCAGAGCAATGACAGAGTTTTCTCCGCCGGTCTTGACCTCAAAGAGTTGCACAAGCCCGATCAGGAGAGGCTGAAGGAGTTCTGGACAATCTTCCAAGACTTGTGGCTGGCCCTGCATCTTTGCGGCATTCCAACAGCTGCGGCCATCAACGTAAGTCCTGATTCTGCATGGAACAAGCCCTCCCCTAATCGTTTTCCCATTTCAGGGTCATGCGCCTGCCGCTGGCTGCATAATGGCGACGGCATGCGAGTACCGCGTCATGCTGCCTAATTTCTTCATCGGAGTGCATGCCACGCGGTTTAGTTTCCTCGTCTCCAAGTGGATGATGCTCTCCTATCTGAGTGTGCTGCCACGCCGCATTGTCGAGCGGGCGCTGAACCAAGGTAAGCTATTCAGCACTCAGGAGGCCCTGGAGGTGGGCCTCATCGATGAGGTGGCCGGTACCAAAGAGGAGGCCTTGGCCCAGTGTGCCGCCTTCATTGGCACATTTGATAAGGCCAATCCCATTGCCAGAACACTGACCAAGCGAATGTGTCGTGAAACTGATGTTAGCGAGCTGCTCAGGGATCGTGCCGGGGACCTGCGTGCCTGTGTGGACTACATCAATACTCCCCTTTTCCAAGCGGGACTGAGCGCCCACCTCGAGGGCCTCAAGGAGAAAAAATAGAAGGTCAAGGCATCAAACTGATGTTTTCCAAAGTGCTGCATTTATTATTGAAATTTAAAATTAAACTGTTACTTCCAAATCTCATTCCTGGTTCAACTCCTGTGGAAGATTGGCCAGAGCACCTGTCATCATTTCCATGAACGAATTGATTTCCAATATTTTGGCACGATGGCGGTCCACTTCCTTGCTGGAAAGAGAGTGTCTATAGGTTTTTGTTGTCTTTGAATTCGGTCTCCACTTACTTGTTCAGCTGCTGGATCATGTTGTCAATGAACTCCCTGCTGCGTATGGCCATGCGATCCTCGCGTGCATCGATGCGCAATATGTGGGTTATTCGCATGCGCTCGACCAGCTGCAGTACCGCCTCGCGATCGTCCACACACATCATCAACTCTTTGGGAACAGCACCGATTTCCTGACGAGCCAGTTTGGTGGACAGGAATTGTGTCACAATCTCCGTCATGTTATCTGCAAAGTGGCTGCACACATCGCGTAGCTGGAGGAAAAAAACCTGAGCTTGCTCCACAAAGCCGGCCATCAGCTGGGAGATCTTGCGATGAAAGTTCCGAGTGGATTCCTGCGGATAGAAGCGACATAAGTTTAAGGAATAATTCAATCTTCTCCTACCCACCTCAACAGCCTCGTGCAAATGTAATTCCTGGGACATCAAGCTCTGCCACATCTCGTTGAGGGCATCATCAAATTGTCTGTTGAGGGTGTCCACCTGGGAGAACTCTTCTGACCCGTCTTCGCTCTCATCCAGCTCTCGCAACTTCGAGCTTAACTCCTCGAAAGTTCGATCCTTGTATTGCAAAAACTTTTCGATCTGCGACTGGCCTAGGGACTGGAGCTCTTGCTGCCCCTCCTGCAAGTTTGCGTTAAAATCCCGGATCTCTTCATCCCGTTCTCCAAAGCGCTCCAGGCCCAGCCTGTAGATCTTCTGGGTCAACTGGTGGACATCTTTGGCATACTCCTCGGTCAGCTCTTGCACCGGAGCCCCCACCAGCATCAGGAGTCGCCCGTTCTCGTCGTCTCGCCACAGGGAATCGTACAGCTGCTGTCCATCTAGATGCTCCACAAAGCTGGAAGCTAGTCGCTCAGCTTCGGCTGCCTCTGTTGCATCCGTTTCAAGGACCTGAATCTCTCGCTCCTGTTTGTCCTCGATCTCGCGTAGTTCGCGACTGTAGGGAAAGGGAGTTGACAATCCGGATGAGAAAATATATGGAGGATTCTCACTAGAAACGCTTCCTCGCCGCTTCCCGGGTGTCCGCCTTGATAAAAACGTATTCATAGTAATTCAATTGGGGCAAAATGGCAATCACATAGAGAGATAGAGGGAAGTTTGGCTGCTGGGCAATGGGATTACCTTCCAGATTAAGGACTTTCAGGCTGTTTACAAAGCGCAGTCGTTCGATCTAGAGAGGAAGACGTGATTAAAAGATGCAGTTTCCTTAAGAGAAGTCTCACCCCATCCACCGTTTCGATCAGATTATTGCCAATGCTGAGGATGACCAGCTTGTCAAGGGTAAGGTTCTCAATTTTCCTGATGCGATTGCTGAACAGCGAGAGGGTTTCCAGGTTGACCAGCGTCTCCAGGTTCTCGATTTTCGTGATGTAATTGAAGCTGAGGTTCAGCTCCTTGAGAGCCGTGAGCATTCCAATGTGCTCTATGACCTCAATTTTGTTGCAGTTGAGGCACAGCTTGGTGAGATTGGGCAACATCCAGAGGTGGTCGATACGCAAGAGATCTTCAAAGACATCCCTCAGATTACACCCGCTCCAAAGCACTCTTTCGGGCGGACTTACTCTTGAATTCTAGCCGCATGGTTCGGATGCGCTCGTAGACCACAGGCTCTAGCTGATGCAGGCGACCCGACTCTCCCTTTTGTCCCTCCCCTAGGTAGGCAGTCTCGATCATCTGGCGATCAATGATGCCCGGCTCTGGGCAGTTGATCTCCTCGAGAAAGCCCCTTGCCGGTTCCTCACTCTCATGTTCTGAACCCTGGCTGACCTGCTCGTCCATTTTGATTGACTCTCGTTTAACATTTGCCAGGCGGTGTCGTCGTGCAGCGTCGAGTCCATTCCATATCAAGGTTATGGTTGCTGGGGTAACCGAAAACAACAGAGCCCTGCCTAGTAACCACCTGGGCCGTGGTCTGTGCGTATTCCACCCCATCGCTGACTCTTGGAACAGGTGCAAGGGGTCCCTTCTCTGTCTCTCCGGTATGGCCGGCTCCATGTCCCGATTGATTCCACTCGTAGACCTTCGTGCGTTCGGCTCTCTGGGGGTGCAGCGGAGGCGAGGGATGGTCTAGTTAGGGTTGCGGTTCTTTAGGTTTTCGGGTTGTTGTGGATATCGGCTCTGGCAGTTGTTAATGTTTGCTTCTAAAATAAACTCCAGTTCGCGAGTGGTTACTCACATAGGAAGAAACTCGAGAGATCTATATTTAACTCGTCCGATTCGTATTACCCAGTGATCAAGTGGAGAGAATCTGGTTTAAATGCGATTGTGACTGAGGTACGACTAGGGAATAGGGAACGCAGAATAGGGAAGCGGAGCCCTTCCTTCCATTGACCGAAAGGCAATCGATAAAGTGACACCCTCACCTTTCAGTTTGTTTATTTGTTTGTACACAGTGCGAAAAGTTAGTCGCATATCAGATATAGTAATACCCAAATCCCCCCGAGATGTGCGTGTGTCCCTTGTGCAAATCTAATAAATTAGTTAAATGTGAATAGGTTCAAGGCTTCGCTGCGGGCAGCCCAGCATTTTGACTAAAGTCACACCGAAACGTGACTCAAATCGCCCTGAGACTCCTTCCAACAACGTAACCCACAATAATCATACACACGAGAAAGTACATGTACAGAAGCTACCATACGTACATCTGTATCTGTGTAGGAAATAAAAGAAATTGTTTGTTTTCCTTAACGAACTATATTCGCCGTGACCAATTTATTTTTCAAATGTAGATTCCTAGAATCTCCCGAGTCCAAAGGAATACCATCTTCCAGTGGCTATGGCCCCAGATATTCCAACAATCAGGAGTAGTACTTGAATGCCCAGCTTCATCATTAGATTGCGACTGAGTTAAGTGTTCCCCCAAGTGGATCTTTTATAGAAATTGCCAATCTCTAATTGAATTGGCAATGCCTTAAATGAGTGTTAACTAGATCTTAATAGGTTCCTTATTATTTCCGGTGCTTGCATAAGGCCTGTGCAGGAAATTTGCATGACTAATAGTATACTCGAATGATTTTATTCCCGATCCAATTGGGAATGCGCGAAAGCTTTGGATGGTATTAGGAAAGCGATAAGTAATCATCTATAAAAATCTTCAAAAATTCAAAAAAAGATGAAGCGGAAGATCCTCCGAAAGGCGTTGCCAGTTTGATTAGGGAAGGGAATATAAATAGTATAATTAAGACTCAGAAGAATGCAGATCCAAATCATTTCGAAACTGAACATGTGGCATTAATGCAAACACCGCGCAAAATTGGGAATTTAAAGGTTTTAAAGGCGTTGCCAATTTGATTAGAGAAGGGAATATAAATAGTATAATTAAGACTCAGAAGAATGCAGATCCAAATCATGTCGAAACTGAAGATGTGTCTAACGACTGTACTGCTCATTGTGGCCAACGCCCATACTGGGAAATATTCCTTTGGAATGGGCAGAAATTAGCATTACAATTTCCTTAGCCACTCATTCAGCTCTTGTTTGGCGGGGATATAGCACTAATGAAGACACCTAATAAAATCCGGATTCCATAAATTAGTCTCTTTTCTTATCTTTGACTGTGGAAAGGATATCTTCCATAAAATACCAAAAAGGATGCGCAATCTGCCATTATAACATATAACTATAACTAACATTATAACTTCGAATCAGATGTAGATATGTCCGGATTTTTATTAGTCGATTGTAACTGTTTTTTATTATCTGGGACTCTTTACTTGTGTGTACTTTCCTTTGAAAGTCGAACAGGCTGTAATTACAAGCCCGTCGACCCTGACCACTAACCGCCCTATCAACCTAATCATCTATAAAAATCTTAAAAAATTCAAAAAAAGATGAAGCTGAAGATCCTTCTACTTTTGTGGCCTACCTCAATGGAAGATATTCCTTCCATTCAGGAAATTAAATTTGATTTTGCAAATTATTTAGTTATTGTTTAGCTTATATTGGCTTTACTAACAAGTGGCATTATATTGACTTTGCTGACAAGTGGCATTAATGCAAACACCGCACAAAATTGGGAATTTAAAGGTTTTAAAGGCGTTGCCAATTTGATTAGAGAAGGGAATATAAATAGTATAATTAAGACTCAGAAGAATGCAGATCCAAATCATTTCGAAACTGAACATGTGGCATTAATGCAAACACCGCACCAAATTGGGAATTTAAAGGTTTTAAAGGCGTTGCCAATTTGATTAGGGAAGGGAATATAAATAGTATAATTATGACTCAAAAGAATGCAGATCCAAATCATGTCGAAACTGAAGATGTATCTAACGACTGTACTGCTCATTGTGGCCAACGCCTGGACTGGGCGATTTTCCTTTGGATTGGGCAGAAATTAGCATTACATTTTCTTTAGCCACTCATTCAGCTCTTGTTTGGCGGGGAGATAGCACTAATGAAGACACCTAATAAAATCCGGATTCCATAAATTAGTCTCTTTTCTTATCTTTGACTGTGGAAAGGATATCTTCCATAAAATACCAAAAAGGATGCGCAATCTGCCATTATAACATATAACTATAACTAACATTATAACTTCGAATCAGATGTAGATATGTCCGGATTTTTATTAGTCGATTGTAACTGTTTTTTATTATCTGGGACTCTTTACTTGTGTGTACTTTCCTTTGAAAGTCGAACAGGCTGTAATTACAAGCCCGTCGACCCTGACCACTAACCGCCCTATCAACCTAATCATCTATAAAAATCTTAAAAAATTCAAAAAAAGATGAAGCTGAAGATCCTTCTACTTTTGTGGCCTACCTCAATGGAAGATATTCCTTCCATTCAGGAAATTAAATTTGATTTTGCAAATTATTTAGTTATTGTTTAGCTTATATTGGCTTTACTAACAAGTGGCATTATATTGACTTTGCTGACAAGTGGCATTAATGCAAACACCGCACAAAATTGGGAATTTAAAGGTTTTAAAGGCGTTGCCAATTTGATTAGAGAAGGGAATATAAATAGTATAATTAAGACTCAGAAGAATGCAGATCCAAATCATGTCGAAACTGAAGATGTGTCTAACGACTGTACTGCTCATTGTGGCCAACGCCCATACTGGGAAATATTCCTTTGGAATGGGCAGAAATTAGCATTACAATTTCCTTAGCCACTCATTCAGCTCTTGTTTGGCGGGGATATAGCACTAATGAAGACACCTAATAAAATCCGGATTCCATAAATTAGTCTCTTTTCTTATCTTTGACTGTGGAAAGGATATCTTCCATAAAATACCAAAAAGGATGCGCAATCTGCCATTATAACATATAACTATAACTAACATTATAACTTCGAATCAGATGTAGATATGTCCGGATTTTTATTAGTCGATTGTAACTGTTTTTTATTATCTGCGACTCTTTACTTGTGTGTACTTTCCTTTGAAAGTCGAACAGGCTGTAATTACAAGCCCGTCGACCCTGACCACTCACCGCCCTATCCTCATCCCATCCGCTAATGTTGATATCTGTGACCTTGACGGAGAGTTGTTTTTCGGTTAAATCAAATGAAATTCGGGCAAGCTTATCGGTTGGTGCTTCTGGATCAATATATTGATTCCAGTTGGATAGGGGGCATCCGAGAATCGGGCACACACGTCCGGCCAACGGGCTCATGGCCGATTTGATTCGATTCCATTTTTAGTGCATGTCATTTAATTCAAACTCTGAGATTCGCTTGAGGTTTGCCCGTGTGGGCGGAGGTGTATAAATAATAAAAAACCCTTTATTGCTTGCCCATAAACGAAACTCGTTCATTTGTTTATTTCTTTGTGCAGGTGCATCCAGAAACTATGTGAAGAATTGAAGAGTGCTATTGTAATAAGCATGAACCGATACATAACGCTGACCCAACTGGGGGACGGCACCTACGGCACCGTCGTGCTGGGCCAGCGCAAGGACACCGGCGAGAAGGTGGCCATAAAGAGAATGAAACGCAAGTACTACTCCTGGGAGGAGGCTATGAACCTGCGGGAAGTTAAGGTGGGTTCTAAACAATTTCTAGAGTTCGATTCCTCCTAAATGAGTGCCCCCAATTGCAGTCCCTGAAGAAACTGTCGCATCCGAACATCGTCAAGCTCAAGGAAGTGATTAGAGAGAACGACACCCTCTACTTTGTGTTCGAATACATGAAAGAGAACCTCTACCAAATGATCAAGGATCGGGACACCCACCTGCCCGAGCCCGAGCTTAAGAGCATTCTCTTCCAGGTGAGCCGGAAGCAAGCACTGAGATCTTTTTCCATCTGTTACTCATCTCCTTGATAGGTTCTCACTGGCCTGGCCTTCATGCATCGTCATGGCTTCTTCCATCGCGATCTGAAGCCGGAAAATCTTCTCTGTTCTGGCCCAGAGCTGATCAAAATAGCCGACTTCGGCTTAGCAAGGGAGATCAGGTCGAGGCCGCCGTTCACGGACTATGTGTCGACACGGTGGTATCGGGCGCCAGAGGTGCTGTTGCACTCCACTAACTACGGCAGCACCATCGACCTGTGGGCAATGGGCTGCATCATGGCAGAGCTGTACACGTTCCGACCGCTCTTTCCGGGTAGCAGCGAGATGGACCAGCTGTTCAAGATCTGCTCCGTGCTGGGTACGCCAGAGAAGGTGAGTGCACCACCTGAACACCGCTGAACATTATAATCTGAAAATATGTTATTGCTTTGCAGGGTGACTGGCCAGATGGTTACCGACTGGCGTCCATGATCCACTTCCGCTATCCAGATTGTATCAAAGTGCCACTAAGCAGCGTCGTCAGCCGCTGCAGCCAAAACGGACTCGATTTGCTCGAAGATATGCTCGCCTACGATCCCGACAAGCGTCCCACGGCCCAGCAGAGCCTCAAGTATCCGTACTTTCACGCCCTCAAACGAATCTCGCCAACGGCGGCCACCAAGGCGAATGTTCGCCTCAGCTCCAAGTATGCGGCGGCTTCTTCTGGCCAGCTCCTGCTACCTCAGACCCAGACTGTGTCAAACCACGTGCTTCCGGTGCAGGAGAAGCTCCAAGTTGTCACAGAGCTCATCCACCAGGGCAACAGCAACAACAACAACAACCTTAGCAATGGCAAGGGTCTCTCGAAGAACGTGAGCCTGAGAAAGTACCAGCCGAAGCTGAGCTTCTTAACCAGCCACGATATGGGCATGCCTGTTGCTGGGGGAGGATCGATCCCGCAATCCCTGGCAGATTCTTCCAGCCTGGTCGGACCCACAGGAGATCAACGCCAGACACAGCACCAGCCACAGAACGGAGGTGAATCCATCAACGACATCTACTTGAATCGCAACATTGCCCAGCTTTTTGGATTGCCCGCAGCAGAGGGATCTCAGCAGCATTTGTACCACCCGAATGTCTCCTTCAGCAACACCATGTCCCGCAACGCTGGAGCCATTTATGTGAATGGAAGCCAGCTGAGCTACGACACGGCCAACAAGAATACCAAAAACAATCCCAAGCTCGTTGTTGGCGCAGCTGGCACCAACGGTGGCTACTATGTACCGGTGACACGCAACTCCGTCTTGGCCCCTGATTCCAAGGTCTACAACGTGTTCTCTAAGGTGAGCGCCAACCAAGCCCCGCCCAGCTTAATCGTGCGCCAGCCACAGCAACAGCAGCATCAACATCCCTCCTATGAAGCGTCATCCATGTTGGGTGAGGGAGTACTCAATGGAGCCGGCATTCGGTTGTCCGCGCGATCCCGTCCGACCGCGCAGGAATCCAAGGTGAGGTCTGACGATCTGGACCAGATACTCGGGTGAGTTTTTTGTGAATAGACGGAAACGACTGTGGGCAAATTGCAAAGTGTGCACTTTACTGTGAAGTCCTTATCTATCGTTCGCTGCACTTGAGATTCATTTCGTTCCCTCACCATGTGACTTTGTCTTTCGTGTAGCTCCAAGCTGAAAACCTCCGCCAAACGCCAGCGCAATGCTAAGGCCAATATGCTCCTGGAGGACCTGTTTGGCCAGCTGTCGATGGACTCTGACAGTGACGGCAAGTACCCTCACACAGTTCCGCCCACGCAGCAGGCGAAGAGTGGCGCCCATCGAGAACGCGACCTCTTCGGCGAAAGCTTCCTGCGACCCGGCATCCGGAAGAAGAACACCCAGAGCAGCCTAGAGGTGAACAACGGCAGTCACGCGGACTCGCTGTAAGTAGGAGGCGGGGAAGGAGGCCCTGGCCTGCATGCTCGTGTAGACCTTGTCCCATGCTTCTTTGAATCCTCATGCTCTCAAGATCATGCGCTATCATCCATATCGTCCATGTTGTGCTCCCTATACTTTGTGCTCTTTCTATACATTGTGCTCTGTGTCTTTCATTTCTCCCTTTCTCTCTCCTCTCTCTCTCTCTCTCACTCTGTGTTCTCTGTCATCGTTTTGTGTCTTTTCATTTGCTTGTCATTGAACATTTTGTGTGGGTGCAGTGATAACTGCTCCTCGTCCTCCCCATCAATTGATGAAGAATGTCGCTTTTGGCCCATAAGGTAAAAACCAACATTCGCCGCCAAGTTGTAAATAAATTTGAGTAGAATTTGAACTACCTAGAAGTAAGAAGCATTGTCACTATATCATATCATCTGTACAATTACCGTAGCCACAACATATTATTTGCCTTCCTCTGTGTACGTACGTATTTGGGATTAATTACTGACCCGAATATTTGCTTTGAGTTTTATTTCTGTATGGCACACTAATCTCTTTATTAAATATGAATTTGAGTACCTCTATCACGAAGTCTTAATTTTATCACGTGTCCACATTCTTTCAGAGCACAAAACAGACAGAAGCAGAAGCCAGCAGCAGAAACAGGAGCCGCGGCATTCCCCTGGGATGAGACCAACAAGACGGAGGATGAGAAGCTGACCGCCTGGATGGTGGCCGAGAACGGTAACTTGAATTTGGGGAATCAGCAAGCGTAGAAGTCGAGAGCACTCCAATCAATCCAAATCAAGTAGTCGGTTAGAAACTGAAAATTCGGGGCAGCACCACATAACAATCCACAACACATTGGGTTATTGGCATGCATGGCGTTCCACCAGGTATTTCTATTATCACATTATCATATTCCCAGGATCGCTGCTGGAGAATAAATTTTGAGGAGATCATCGACTAGCAAAGTGCCGTTGTACCTGAAACAGAATGGAATGAATACTTCTTTTTCGAACTGAATCTGAATACAAGTCGTCAAATCATCAAATCATCCAATCAGCGTGTAGAGGTAGAGTTAATCTTGTTAATGCTGTGATACAGAATAAGCTAAATATTGATCTATGAGCGTAAGTTGTAATTTAATCTATAATAATATAATCCGAGTGAATTTTGAACATAAAGCTTTTTGCTAACCCGCCCCTTGAGCACAGAAACTCGTAGAGCTGAAGGTGGAACTGGAGGTGGAGTAAGTGCAAGGGATTCGGTTTCATTTCCCTAATGCGATTTCGCCAAGAGTTGGTACGCGTTGCATAAGCCCCAACCAGTGCACTTTTTGCGGGGGATTCAATTTCATCTCACATAACTTGGCCACTACGACAATGAGCCACGGGCTCTGCATATAAAAGCTTGTTAAGACAAGCCCTTAGTCATCAGTCGATTGAGTACGTTCCACCCACAGCCACAGCCCCATCTCCAGCTCCAGCATGAGTGCCCTGGTAAGCGACAAACACTATGGAAGTCTATCACAATATCACAAATCAGCACTTGAGTAGTCTTCCAGAATTGGCATTTGCCTGATCCTGTGTGCATTTGCCGCTGTTCAGGCTTCCATCATAGCCAGCCACCCCGATGAGCTGATTTCGAGTCCAGCTCAGTATGAGTTTCAATATGCCGTCCATGATAGCCACACTGGGGATATCAAAGACCAGTTCGAGCATCGGCGCGGCGATTATGTGACGGGTCGTTACTCCCTCATTGAGCCCGATGGCCATCGTCGCATTGTGGACTACACCTCCGACCCGCTGCTCGGTTTCAATGCACAGGTTCGCCGAGAGCCCATTGCCAGCATCTCCCGCTACTGAACAGACACCGAAAAGGGATATTCTCCGCTGAAGTGACTCTTGACCTGCACGCATAGTCTGAAACTAAAATATATCATATGATCTGTATTTGTAGAATATATCCGCAGGCTGTTGTGCGAAAAGAGTTTTTCTGATAGAGATTGTTTTCTAAAAATGCATTTATTGCCGTCTATTTAGACATAATATATACAATATTAGGCGGATGAGATAGGACCCCGCTTATACCAATATGCGGCAGTATCGGTAACTGAGTGGCGAAGAGTCTAAGTGGAAAAGTCGTCGAAGAAGACACAGAAAAGATGCATATGTAATGTGTAGAATGTAGATACGATCCGAAACAAGGTGGTGTCTGGGTATCAGGTAAATCATAGTTCGGCTAGAGTTCAGATACAGATGCAGATGCTAGTGCTAGTGCGGATGGGTGGTCGTCGTCGATGCGATGAAATCAGTGTTTGATATCTCTCTCTCTTCCTATCCAACCCTCCAACTTAGTGGTACAGGCCGAGGGGTAGTTTGGGCAGAGGAGACAGGATTTTAGCAATGGGAGCAGCCTTAATCACCTTGTGGCCCAGAGGATCCCGGCGGACGACGGCATTGAAACCATTGTGGGCATCCGAGGTGTAGTCTACGGTACGCAGGTATCCGTCGGCATCGATTAGCGTGTACTGGCCCTGCACTTGATCTCCCTTACGGGACTCCGTCTGGCTCTTGATGTCGCCGGTGTGCTCGTCGTGCACCGAATAGGCAAAGTCATAGTGTGCGGGCGCCTCAACCTCGACAGCCTTGAGCAGGGGCTTGATAAGTCCCGGGGAGTGGTAGATGGGACTCAGTGGCAGCTCGATGGCGGCGGCAGCGCCCACACCCAGGATGAACAGAGACAAAAGCTGCAAGGGAACATATTGAGAAAGGTGGTTAGTGGAAACTTTCTTTTACGATTTTCCCTAATCCTTTTGACTTACAGCGAACATTTTGGCTTGGAATTTGTTTAGATTTGGTTTGTGGTGGCTTGGTAGTTGGCTTCACTTGCGGCTCCTGCACTGAACTATGTCTCCAACTGTCGCGTTCGTAACTTTTATATGGCTCGTCGAGTCAAAGCTCTCTGTCCCCACCTCCACTCAAAATCCAAGCCCAAGCACACGCACCACGCACCGCGAACCGGAATCCGGCTAATGCAAAATTGTTATAATTTTTTAATTTTATTTTTTGGCAAATTTTGTGTTGCGGTAATAAAACATTCACGGTGCTATGCTCCAGTTTGTTGCAACAATGTAGGCAAGGCTAAGCTTTTGTCTCTGGATTGTCAATCGGGTCCTATGTGACCCATAAGCCAGGGTCATACAATGGCACCCAGCATACCATTCAAGCTACAATCATGGTCCAAAGTCAAGTGAAAGTTTTCTTTTATTAGAAAAACAATTAAACCAATATGATGGGTTTTAGTGGATATTCCTGTATGTTCAAAGTTAATATTAATTTTGAATGATGCTGATGGTGATACGAACAGGGCTTTGATAGAGGTTTAAGAAAGAAAGGATTGGCTGAATATGGTAAGTATACTTGGAGATCAATCTATAAATTTCTTATTTTTATTAGCGTTTCCCTTAAGCCTTCAATTCAATTGGACTACTTATGTGAATCCACCAGAATCTCCATAATATTTTCAACTCCACTAATAGGATCAGTCTGCTGACAAGTTAGCTGACATATTGAATGGCTGAATGGCAGGGGATAGAGGCTTGTTGTTAATCGCCGTCACAGCAAACAAATTGCACGCTGACATTCGAAGATTGTTTGATCGACAAACCCGAGAAATGCCGTAAAGAGCTTTGTCGATTTTCCACTTAATTAATTAATCAAATTGCAACATCCGCCTGCGGGCCGAGCCCCCCAAGATCTTTGATCTGGACAGATCTGGGCCTGGTCAGGTGGCAGTGAAGTCGCATTCGCCTTTCACGCATGCTCCGCTCAAAAATCAATGCGACAAAGGTAGGCAAAGTAAAGGCTCCGAACACCAAACTCGTTGCTAAATTCGATGTGAAGTAATATGCGCTATAGTGGAGTGGTGTGGAGTGGGGTCAGGTAAAGTTGAGTGGGGTGGAGCTGACAGGTGGTGCGGTGCGTATTAGTATATTGCGCCACATTCATTTAGAACAAGATTACGATTTCATTGCGAGTGGTAGTGGACCAATTTTGGAGTCGCCACCGCCTGCTCACGCACTTGGACAGCTCGACTTATCTGCCCCTTCTCCCCAGGACCCCTATCAACGTTCTCCACCATCCGTGGTCGTGCCTGCTGTCTAGCAATGCCCAACCCAATCAGCAACAAGACATATAAATTTAAGTAGTCTCTATACATAATAAGTTGTGTCTACTTAGCGACATATACACATGAGTCCGATACAAGTACGAGGAGCGGATTGGCTACGGCGACTATGGCGATCACTACGACTAGCGCTATGACTCTGACTACCAACAGATCGGATTTTTAGCAACCCCAACTAACTATTTATTTTTCAAACGAGCGGGAACGTTCTCCCGATCATGAGGAGGGGTGGCACGCCCAGATCGGATAGAAAATTGCCGACTTATAGCGATTTTACTAAAATACGATTTTAAAAACCGTTAAAAAGGCATTTCCTTATTGTCCTTGATGTCCTAAATAGGTTGACTCGACGGGGGACATTTTTCCGGTTACGAGGATATGTATCACGTCCAGATCGGATGAGAAATGGCGGAGTTATATACAATAAAGCACAAATAAATAACACATATTCTGCATTTTGTTGTAAAAAAAGTTAGTGGGTGCTAGTGGTGCTAGTGGGGGCGCCACTGTGCAAAACGTCGTTTTCACAGTAGCGCCCCCACTAGCACCGACGGCCAATGATGGAACTAATGTAATTTAGTTCCAGAATTCTCCGTCGGTAACCATGGGGGCGCCATTGTGCAAAACGTCGTTTTCACAGTAGCGCCCCCACTAGCACTGACGGCCAATGATGGAACTAAAGTACACTAGTTCCAGAAATCTCCGTTCACAAATGGGGGCGCCAGTGTGCAAACGACGTTATTTCACAGTGGCACCCCCAGAATGACCGACGGCCATTGCTGGAACTAACTTTTTTTTTACAACAAAATGCAGAATATGTGTTATTTATTTGTGCTTTATTGTATATAACTCCGCCATTTCTCATCCGATCTGGACGTGATACATATCCTCGTAACCGGAAAAATGTCCCCCGTCGAGTCAACCTATTTAGGACATCAAGGACAATAAGGAAATGCCTTTTTAACGGTTTTTAAAATCGTATTTTAGTAAAATCGCTATAAGTCGGTCATTTCCTTTCCGATCTGGACTTGCGACGGCTTCTTGTGATCGGAAAAATGTCATTAATTTTATGGTAAGAAAATGTTAATTTAAAAGGGACTTTAACATACAAATTTTACGCATTTCTAAAATTTTTATTATCCATTTCAATTGCGGTTTGTTTTTGTTTTTTTTTAAATATCAAAAATTGCAAATACATATTCACTAATTTTTTTTTAGATATTCTTAATTTTTCAGATGTGTTAACAATACGACGCACTACACATAATCATTCGTCCACATATGAATTGTATATGTAAAAAAATTTAAGGAAATCGCTAGCACATTGCACTACGTAGAGCTGTATAATAAATATTTTCATAATAATTGGCAATTTCAAAAAAAGGTGAAAGTTGCACTTTGCTTGTACTTTAAACCATCTATTCGTCATTAAAAAAAATGTAATAATAATAAACACAATAAGAACAATAAGAACGGATAAATGGTTTAAGCACAGACAAATTGCCAGTGAGGTAAACAAAAAAGCAAAAGCTGTTAACAAGAAATTATGCCACGGTTCCCAGCTGACAACGTGCCGCGAATGGCTCATTGTCTGAGGGAAAATGACAGCTTGGGCCTGGAATTGTTTTTGCCTAATATGACTTTTTGCTCTTCTTTGACGCGTTTTTCCTGTTCTTTGCGCATTCGTTGGCGTTCCTCGTCCATCAGACGCTGTTCTTCAATTATTGATAAGCGTTCCTCAGCCTAAAACAACACAACATTAAAACAACTTTTCCAAGAAACAATAATCTTTTATAGCTTACCAATTTTCTTTGCGCCTCTTCAATTTTACGATTATTTTCGGCCAAAATCTCTTCAAGCTCTTCGCGTTTTTGCTTTTCATCCTCCTATAAAACCCAAACAAAATGTCGTATTAATAAATCATGCCTAATATTTTAGCCACAGCTTAGAACTATGAAATAGAAACAGTTTCTTGACATCAGCGATGCGATGGAAACTGTGCGAGAATTGGACGCACAGAAGTTTGTGGTTTCAATTTTTTTTTGCTTGATGGGCTGCAAATGCAGTAAAATCTATTTTTATGTTTAACAATAAGTTACAAAGAAAATTTTGGTGAAAGTAAAAACATTTAGTAGTGTCTAATAAGAATGTTTTAAGTAAGTTTTTTTTTTTAGTTTTTTACATTATAATAGCACACAACATAAACAAATGTACTAGTATTTCTAAATTGTTGGTCATTTCATTTCATTTATTTTTTGTTTTGTTTTGTTGCTACTTACTATTTAAATAGGTCATTATTCCAGTATAATGGCTAAATTTGTTTGGTAATTTTTAAACTTTTTGGATATTTTTCATTTTTTTTTTTTTGCTGATTTTATAAACATTTTTTGAAAAATAAAAAGCTTCAAAAACAAACATGAAAATCGCAAACTAGGCACAAAAATGTGTAAAATTGGTAATCCGACTTAATAAAAATTATAGACAGATGTTCTATAACGCTAAAACTTGGCGAGTGAATCTTAAACTATCTTCAGTCTTCTCGTAGTCCATCATATATTGTTTAGCTATGTGTTTAGCTAGTATCGTTATAGTTGATGGCTTATCACACCGTCCACGAAGTATCGTTTGCTTAGGACACTCACCCGTCTTTTGTCTTTGTTTTTCAAGCAGCGTACAGTTGGAACTAATTAGTCGGCAGGCTCAAAGCCCGCCCCCATAACTAGACCACCTAACTATAGAAACTAACTTAAAGAATCAGGACTGTACGCGAACCTGGGTTTTTGGGAGAAGAGTAGAGGAGAGGAGTGGGGGATCAACCTCTGCTTATCTGTCCTTCCATGGACCAAGTGCTTCACAGCAGGCTTGCTTTAATTCCGGCAGGGGGGCTCTGTGTGATTTGTGATTTGCTGCGATTTCTGTGTATTTATTGCGGGCTCTCGCATGAAACACACACTTACTCGTACAGACAACAAGAGTATCACGCTGAATACGGTCTACAGAAAGCGAAGTATGCGCCCAACGATAACAACGGGTTACAAAAACCAATACCAAAATAAAAGTTTTTAAAATATATAGGTAAGAACAAACAAAAAATGAAGCTAAGAGTAAAAGTACGCAATATTTGTTTGGCATCAAAACTGTGACACATGCGACATTTGGCAATGTCGTCATTTTGGCTTTTTTGGTAGGAAAAATAAAAATTACAAAATTATTGGCAAGAAGATAGATGCGAAACCTGCCGCGGCGTTCCCAGGGGCTCAGTGGGGTTGTGTGCAGGCTTGCGATAGGGGCGAGCTGAAAAATGCCAGGTTAGTGATGCAAATGGTGGTGGGGTGTTAGCCATGTCTACGCCTTTAAGCAGTTAAATATGGGGTGTTTCATGGGCTGTGCAAATTATTTAAATGAGGGGATGGGGGCTTGGGAATATTTTACAGATGCATGTACACACGCGCACACTGAGCCGTTGCTGAAAACGCCGCCAGAGCGATTTCTGGTGGCATTGTGAAGACGACTGTTTTTAACTGCTGTTTATGTTTTTTCATGTTTTCGGTAGTTGTTGTTTTGTGTGTAGTTTTCTGACAGTGATAGCAGCAGTCGTCCAGCGAAATCTGATTACGAGCACCTACCTCGCGACGGCGTTCTTCTTCGCGTATCTGTTCGCGCCGCCTCTCCAGTTCCAGCATCATTTCTCGCTCCATTTCAGCCTTGGCCGTCTCGACGCGACGGTTAACCTCTTGTTCAATCTCGTCGCGCCGCTTTTCTAGCTCCTCCTCAACACGCTTCTTGACCAGCATCTCAATACGTTTCGCTGCTTCCTCCTCGACGGTTTTTTGTTCAGCCTCTTTTTGCCGCCGCTGCCGCTCCATTTCCGCCAGACGCTCTACCTGCAGCTGGTTTTGCTGCAATAGATTTTTGATACATTTAGTTTAATCCCCATTGTAGGAAACACCGCTTACCTCATCCAGCTTCTTGAAGCGGCTGCGCTTGTGTCTGCTACGCTGAGACTCATGGTCCGAGTATTGGCTGTCACCGCTCGATGAACTGGACCGTTTTCGAGGCTTTGATATAGACGGTGAGCTGCGATATTCTGTGTGCCTGTCGCTACGGTGCCGTTCTCGTTCTCGGTCACGCCGGCCATGGTGGTTCACCTCTGTTGATTTATCTCTGCCAGTTCTCGTGCTGCTACGCTCGTGGTCGTGGTCCCGATCCCGATTGTGCGACTTACTGCGTTTCTTGTGCTTGCTTTTGTGACGGCGTTTTCCCGACGTGCTTGGGGTGCGTGAACGGGAACCCATGGTAAAATAATTACAATTATTTTTATCACTAGCTTTATTGAGAGCTGGTTTCAGCTTACACAACAAAACAATCAATCTAATCAAATAAATTTATACAATTTTCACAATGCTCGAAAACAGTGTTGCTAACGTTGCTAGAATCCATTTTTCTGACACCCTTTAGTGCTATTTTAAACTGGTATTTTTTTTTAGCGTTTTCTTAAGTGTTGCACAACTTTCCATTTATTTTAATTATAATTTTACAATTATTTCGTGAAACTTGTCTATCATCTCTTTATAGTCCTTAAAACCAGCGCAGTCTTTGGCCGCCTCCTTGCCCAGCCACTTAAACTCCGTATGCTCATCGGAGAGAATAGGTGCCTGGTTGGGATTTCGGAGCTCAGCCAACCAATATATCACGATTTTTGGCTTTGCCTGAGATTCAGGTTTCGACCTGACCTCATAATTAAGCGTTATTGGTGTGTCCTGGTATATAATCAAGTCCTTTTCGTCATAACTGTTTATGCATTTCAATTAGTTATGTATGTGTGCACATTTGTGGTATCGTAAGTCACTTGCCCGGCTTCCTCTTTAGTTTCCCGCAGCGCTGTGGTGAAATCGTCCTCTCCCGGGTCCACGTGACCCTTGGGTGCACTCCAGTGAAAGCTACCATAGGAGGCTTTCAACAGTAAGTACTCTATCTCCCCACAAAGACGCCGAAAAACAACAAAACCAGCCGCTTTTCTCATTTTGTTGGTGATGACTGTCCCAGTGTTGGAAAGGATTGTCAGGTAAAAACATATGATATGTTGATAGGGCTCCAGTGTTGTAAAGGGTTACCGAAAGTTACATGAGGCTCCATGTGCACGTTTCTGAGTGAAATTACATAAAAACTAAATTAAGTACACGATGTACGCATTACTTCGCCGCTTTGCGGGAAACTCCATCCGCACCAATCAACTGAGATGTTACTCTTCCTTCACGCCGAGAGATGTGGTGCGGGACACCGCCGATGAAGCCGGCACGCTGCTCACACGCTTTGCCAAACATATCGCACTGGTGCGGTACCAGGATAAGGAAAATGTGCGCGATGTTCCGACGACAGTGCGCTATGCCGACTATTTTCCAATCACAGACGGTCGCTACTTTCAGCGATCTGTGGAGAAGACAGACGCTTCACAACTGCCAGCCCTGATCATTCTAGCATCCAGCTATCGATCAAATGCTGCACTTCCAATGTATGCAACCGCTCTAAACACATTGGATGCACATGCAGTGGCACAGCTAGCAAAGATGGACACCTCAACAGTGCTTGAAACGCTGTATTCATTCCTTTTCCTAATACCAAACTGGCTCAAACGAACGGATTTTCATCAGGAAGCAGTGCGCCGGCTGGCAAAGGAAGATTTCCGTGACAACAAAGAGCGATTTCTTCAAGTTTGCTTTTACATGGGTCTGCAAAAGAAGCAGACAATATCAAACGATTTTCAGGCGCTTCTGGAGGAGCAACTTCCAAAGCATTTGTCAGCTTTAACTGAGCTGGATCTCGCTCTGATTAGCAATGCTGCCTATAAGACGTCGACTGTGATTACGGGCAGTGTGAAAGAAGCTTATGACACAACTTTGGCTAATGCCGTTTTAGGCTTGAAGATTACACCAGAAAACTCAGCTTTGTTAATCTCTTTAATCAAGGCTCTGCGGCTGCAGCGTGTGCGTGACGAGCGAGTGTGCCAGCATCTGCAGCAAATTTGCTTGGACTCTACTCAAATAACTCAAATTGAACCTAGAGGATTGGGACACATTTTTGCATTCTTTGCCGAGCAACGTTGGGACCAAGAAGAATGTATGGCCGTCGTAGTGGAGCGGCTAATGACGCTTAAGCCAGGCGACTTGAGGGCCAAAGATTTAGCCACATTACTGTGGTCTAGCGCACAACTCAACTGTCAATTGTCTGCCGCGCAGCTCAGGCAGTTGGAGCTGGCTGCCCTTCAGAAACTTGATCATGGCGAGTATAATTTTTACCCAGACAATCTGATAGACACCTGCCTATCCCTGTACACGTTGGGACATTACTCAAAGGATTTGATAGACGCCGCCGAAGAGCTAAAGGCTACACAACGTCACCAAAAAGCACAACCCAAGGTGGACAGTCGTTTAACAGTCTTGCGTTCGGCTGTGGCCATTGAACATCCATCACTGGCCAAATTGAAAACCGAACAGGTGTTCAAGGAGTTTACCCGTGCCCCTGGCTACTTGCTTAGGGATCGGACGGACTTCACCAAGTATGCTGAACAGCTGGGTCTAGATGCTGAGATAGAGGGCGTTGATCTAGTCTGCCCCATCAGTGGCATCAATATTCCCAGCTTGCGGGTGCAGACTACGGGCGATCAGGCGAGCGTCTACTTCGTGGAGCTACTCACTCCAGAACAAACTTTAAAGTTTAGTAAGAAACCCACGTCATTAGTGCGCCTAAAGCAGCGGCTCTTGGATTCCTTAGGCCAAAAAGTTGTTTTGGTAAGTCATCCCATTAATCAAAGCGAACGAACTAATTGTTTTGTTTTATAGCTGCACTCCGGAAATATGGCGACCACTGCCAAGCAACTCCATGCGCTTCTACAACCAGCTGTCGAGAGTATAGAAGATACTGAGGTCGTCCAAGGCCTAAGCAACTGAATCATGTGATATCGAAGCTAATCTTATAGGCTTCATAGGCTAGTTACAGATTGTAGCTTTATTTAACAATGTTTTATGTACGTGTAAATATTATTTAAATATTAATAGCACTAAACGTAATGTTCAACAATAATGTATAATACAAGGAATGGGTTATGGTAACAATACGCTCCGTCACTCTCAACGGATGGATTTAATCTTGGCCTTGAGAACGACATAGGACACGAACCTGAAAATGAGGATCATTGCACTCAGGGCAATAACGTCATTCCAGAACTGATCACCAGACATCGTAATCTCCTCCAGAAACTTCTTTGGATACCTTGAAGGTATATCGTGGCACATAAGAAAGATTAGGTCCCAGATTTTCAGGGAAAAATGGTTGCTATTTACCTGTAGTGGCAATACGGCGCCTCATTGCACTCTAGAACTCCCCGATCTAGTCCGTATATGGCAGATATAAAGCCTTCCAGCCCATATCTCAAATAGGATATGTGACTGCCCCACCGCAAGTAGCTGGGGAGGTCCCGCAACGTCACTCCAAAGCCAGCAAACATCATCATGGGAATGGTGAGCACGGGCGCCAAGAATGTCCCATTCACCACATCGAACCAAGCACCTATCATCAGCCCAAAGCTGTGGCCTACAAACACTGTCAGTAAACTAATGGCAAAGAACATCCAGAAGCGAACCCACTCCATGGGCTGGTAGCTCCACAGATAAACAATCGAGGTGAATAGGAAGCAACTGATGATCTTCAATAGAAATTATAGTTGGAATTGGCAAAGGAACTTTAGATTTGTCTGATGAATTACGCACCGATATGGGGAGGTCCACGAGGGTCATGGCAGTATAGTAGGCTTTCATGGAGTACCAGCGGTTGAAATGTTCCTTTATCAGAATGGACATCTCAATAGGGACTGTTATTGACGGAGAGCAGTTAAGAGGTGGAAACGATGCATTTTTACCCTACAACGCTTATAGAAGGATAATATTTACTTACAGGTCAGAACTGTTAACATCATCGTGGTCATGGAGTGGTGCATCAATATGGCAAATAGTAAATTGTAATTATCCAAGACCCGCGATCCCTCGCGACCCGTGTGATCGTACATGGCTCCGAACAGCAAGGCCACAGCTATGTTGACTCCGATGCGGAGATGTGTCATGGTCGTATCTCGGCGCGCCTTGATGTAGCCTCTCCGCAGCAGCACTGAGCACTGGTTCGCGTAGCTGGTGTCCTCCAACGAGTTATTCTTGGTACGCTTCGGAATGGGATACTTTCGCATTAAGGCCTCGGAGCGCAGCACCGCACTGGCATTGTTGAACCATGTCAAACAGCTCCCGTTCTCCGTGGCGCTTTTGAGTGTGTCTATTTTGTCATAGCCGTACTCTCCGCATGCCAGTTCGATAACTTAAGAGTGAAAGGTTGGGATGAAGTTGCTCTAAATATATGCCTTAAAGGGGGCCATCTCTTGACTTACTGTAATCCGCCGGGTTGTGATACATGGGGCAAGGCAGGTCCACGGCTTGGAGGAAAGGAACCAACTTCTCTGTGCCACCCTGGTAGACGCAGTTGCCTGCCGACAGAACGTATACCTCATCGAAGATCTGGAATAGCCTGGCCGTGGGCTGGTGGATGGTGCATATGATGGTGCGGCCCTGGGTTGTCAGCTTCTTGAGCAACTCGAGGACTTTGGTGCAGGAGCTGCTGTCCAAGCCACTGCAATAGGGTGAGAAATGGATAAAAAAAAAGCTTGGAGTGACAAAGGGAGTTGGGATCCTACGTGGTGGGCTCGTCTAGAAACATCACAGTGGGATTGTTGATCAGCTCCATTGCAATGGATAGCCTCTTCTTCTGACCACCGGACAGGCGCAATGTGAGTGTCTGGTCGTGATCGTACAGACCCAAAAGTAGCAGTATGTCTTCGATCTGGAATGAGTATTTCCAGAATAAAACCCACTCGAACATTTCAATGCTTTGTAATATTTAAACATACCCTGCTCTCCTTCTCCTCGTAGCTTACGGTATGACCCAATTTCAAGTCGGCGGCTATATGCATGTTCTCGTTCACCGTCAACAGGGGCTGAAGACGATCATCCTGTGTTATGTAGCAGGACATACGACGGAAGGAGGCTGAGCAAATAAATGAAACCATTAGAAGGCGAACGTTTCCCAAGCATTTCAAACTACTTACGCAAATCGCGTCGTCGGCCATTCAGCAATATGGATCCATCCACGCCGGTGGTCTTGAAACCCGAAAGAGCATCCAGCAAAGTGGACTTTCCCGCCCCCGAGGGACCCATAATGGCAATAAGCTGACTCCCAGGAAACTTTCCACAGACGTTGTGTAAGATTTCCTTAGATCCTAAAAAGAAAAGTGTAAATATTTTTGCAATTAGTTAATGCTCTCATGCTCTCACGTAATACTAGTTGTCTCTGTGTGACATTCCGAGTGCACTCGTACTCTCGTAAGGTCGGTTCATGAGGGCAATGGGTAACCGGTTAAGCAAACTATATTCTAGCATTCCATCTGGAAATTGTAGGCCAATAACGGCTTAGGGGGGTGAACTACATACTAAACTAGAATAGTTAACCCCAGGCTCCATTTCAATATATGTACATACGTAGAAGCAGCATTCATGATGCATCAACGTTTACTGTGGAAGCGGAGTACCCTCTCGAGTCCACAGGGCGGGGCTAACATTAATTAACTGGTTAATATGATAACTCGATAACAATGGCATTATTTCAATCTATTACCACAGCTCCCAACAGGCATATTATCTTTATATACGTACTTAGTATAATTGCTGACACGAGGCAAAGAGTGGCTCTGGCTTGGTCAACGCCCCGGGCCCTAATCAAGTTACCAGGCGCAAATCGATGTCGATTTTGATATCATTTGGTTGCTTATTTCTTTGGTTCTTCCTAAACTTTGATATCGTCGAACATGGCCTGTAAAAACCCCTTCCCAGTGCTGACCCAGATATATCGAATAACAAATACTCTTTCCATTTCCGCATTGTTTAGCTGGTTTATTTTAGCAGACCTGTGACAGAGAGTCGAATCAAAGGAAGAGAACCTTTGAATGACTAACTCTGGCCCTGATAGGCATGCACCGGCACTGGAATAGGAAGCGTGAAAGGGGTAGGAAAGGGGTTAGGTGCTTATCTAATCAATGGAGAACAAAGTTGGCGAAAGAACTAACAGGCAAGTGTTTATTGCTGGTTGGTATGTGAAGCATGACCAAAACCAATAACCTTGAAAGACTCTTCTGCTATATCAATAATTGTGTGCACGACTTTACTAGAGGCAGTAGCCTAATCTTGGATATGAACTGGTAATGGGAACGGAAACAATTTTTCCTTGGGGTGCTGCATAAGAAGTAGCCGCTTACCATCATAAACCTAATTCAGCTATGCTCCCAATCTAATATTAAATAATAACCAGTTGCCAATCTTATCGATCCATATCTTAGATCATGCGATCGCAGCTCAAGTTCTTTGTAAATGTCTTCGCCCCCTTATGAATGCTTACCACGGTTGAATCCCAAGTTCACAGTCAGCGACAGCTCCTTGAACTCAATGTCCACTGGCTCGCGAGCCGGCAAATTGTTGAGGGCATCCGTGTCGAAGTGCACCTCCTCCTCGGCCACAGACTCCAGAGGCGGCTGCTTGGTGGCCGCTGCCCCATTGCTGTACGCTACTTGAGGTGGGGTCGGAGCGGAAGTTGGTGCGGACGAGGGCGTGGTGCTGGTGGCTGTGTTCGTCTGACCATTACGCCAATTGCTTGCACTGGTCATCGGCACTGTGGTGGCGTTGTAGACTCGTCCAGAGGTGGCTTCTCCAATCTCAATTCCGAGACCGATGCCAGCGACACCGTCGCCAGCGTTAAAGAACTGCTCCCGCGCAGTCGGCATTATCTTTGGTTAACTGTAAAAGACAAAAAATTCAATCACTTCGATTAGTTTTGTCGTGTTGTTGCCCAGCGATTGATTGATTGAATTAATGAATTATGCAATCATGGATTGTGCGGTATGCCTCTTGTCTCTTGTGAGAACCTTACAGCCGCTCAAGCCAACTTCGAGACCAGCCTGGCAGTTTATAGCGATTTTCCCACAAACGGGTTTAATTGAGGCTCATTTCGCACTTTGATCGACGCTGACGGTTTTCGCTCTTTCCGAATAAAATCAACCTTTGAGGCTGTGCTCTCCCTTTGTTACACGCCTTAAGTGTCTTCCGGATGGTTCCCTGGGAGCAGATGCCGCCGCTCAGCTAATCCGACGTTCATCTGATTCTGCTTCTGACGAGCCATGAGAGATCAGAGATGAATAATGAAACATTTAAATTATCTGCAACAGCCCCAATGAAATTTACATTTACATAAGCGAAAATGTAGCACGCAGTTTACTCCACACTTCGCGCAGCCAGAGCTATTAAATACGAGTAGATTTAATGCCAGCACAGATTTTTGCAAAAAGATCAAGGCACAGGCGGTGGCGGCTGCGACAATCAAACAATCAAATGCGAATAAAAATTTACAATAGTTGCGACAATTGCTAAAAGCGCCCATCCGCGTGTGTTTGCATTGATCTGCTACAATCCGATCTGGTGGGATCTGATTCTGATCGCAACAAAAGCATTGTTTCATGTATAGCATAGCGTTAAGAACAACTGCAACTGCAATCGTCGCTGTCGCTGTCGTTGTCGGTGACGAAGCTATGGGTAGTACTTCTCGTGTGTGTCATCTTTAACCCGCGGCATCTTATCGCCATCTGGGACTATGGCGCGAAAACAAAAGCCCCATCACGATCCAAGAGAAGCGCCTGCCCACCGCAGCTGGGACATTTACCTTTGCATGGGAAAGCGTTGCATTGGGAAAGGTAAGAATCGCTAATGAGGACTGCACTTGAATCCGTGCAAACAGCTATCAGCTGTCCGCTGCAATTACTACCCATGTCAACGGCCGAAGTAGCAGCGGCAGCCCCTGTAGGGCTAAAATGAAGGGGGGGACTAGACCTACACTACTCAAGAGTGACGTTGACGGGTCTTAATCAGTTGTATTTCACTATTGATTGATACGAGTGCTGTCTCTCTCGTTGTCACGTTTTGC